GGATGTCGAAGAAGAAGACGGGGCCGATGTCAAAGGTTATGAGGCGGCTATGAAAGGGCTATAAATTAGTAGTGCAGAGCCTCCTTGATGGCGTCGTAGATTCCTGCAAAAAGTCAAACGTTAGTATATGATATATAGAGCAAAAAGTAAAAGTGGCTGGAGAGAAACATACTGGTGACGTCTGGCATGTTGAAACGCTCGTAAATGAGGCCAGTGTGAACATCCCAGCCGGTGACACGCTTGACGGGAGCCTCGAGACTCAAGAAAGCGCCTTCCTGGATACTGGCAGCTACCTCGGCACCCACGCCGGCATTCATCATGGACTCGTGCACAACGATGGCACGGCCGGTCTTGCGTACACTTTTGAGCACAGTCTCACGGTCCCAGGGGTAGATGCATCGGAGATCGATGAGCTCAACGGTGGCGCCCTTGAAGTCCTTCTCGGCGGCAGCAATGGCTTGGCTACAGAGATAGAGCGGCTGGCCGTAAGAGATGACGGTGACATCAGCTCCCTGCTTAATGACGTCCGCCTTGTCGAGAGGTAAGGTATAAGATTCAGTGGGGACATGCTCGACTGCTGCACGGTACAAGATCTTGGGTTCCATGAAGATGACGGGGTCGTTGCAGTGCAAAATAGCGTTGATCAAGAGACCCTTGGCTTGCGTGGGGGAACGAGGTATGACAACACGCATGCCGGGAACATGAGTGAAGAGAGCCTCGGGGGACTGCGAGTGGTATAGAGCACCGTGGCCTACACCACCGCACGGCATCCGGACGACGAGCCCGCCAACGTGGCCGCCGGTGCTGCCCTCACGGTATCTGAACTTTGCCGCCTCATTGACAATCTGGTCAAAGGCTGGGAAGACGTAGTCTGCAAACTGAATCTCCGCCACAGGCTTGAACCCTTCGGCGGCTGCTCCAATGCCGAATCCGAGGATTCCCTGCTCGGTCAGCGGAGTGTTGAAGACTCTCTCGGAGCCAAACTCGGTCTGCAGGTCGACAGAGCAGCGGAAGACACCACCAAAGGCCACGTCCTCGCCAAACAGCAGCACCCGTTCGTCAGCGGCCAGGGCACTTCGCAGAGCTGCGTTGATGGACTGGTACAGGTTCAGGCGCTTGGTGGGAGCGTTGGCCGGCAGCTCCTTGTTCGAGGCGAGCGAGGAGGGAGCATGGTGCAGCAGCGGCGTGGCTGCGTAGTTGACCGGCAGGTTCATCTTCGCCCCGGGGGCATGGGACGAGTATAGACGGGCGTTGCCATACTGTGCCCTTGATAGCAGCCGTCTCACGCCTGTTCGGGACGCCATGCCGAATCTATATTGCTTCTCTGCTTATCTGTCCGCTGTTTCGGTACGTCTGTGCTGCTTCTGTCGCTGGCGTCTCGCTGGGTATAGCTCAATTGGCGGCCAGCAGTGAGGTCGGCGTCTGCAGCGGCAATCGCGAGATGTTTTCTGTCGTTGTCGTTGTTGCTGCTCGAAGTTGGAAGTCGAGGGAGTCGCTTTTTTTCCCTTTTCGGCTGCTGCGCGAGATACGAAGGCGGGACTCGCAGCCCGACGTTAGCCGGCGTCACGTGGCCGAAAGAGTCACCTGATGGATTAAGGAATAACTTTGATCCGAAATATTATGTAACACCAAGTCACCTGATTTAAAGTCACATGATGAAACCCGAAATTGGATGGCGGAAAAAAACTTCGACTTCAACAAACTCGAGATATCAAGATCGAGAGGTCGATGGCTGCCATTTAACGGGAGAGACGGAAGAGAGCTGCTATAATACTAATATTATCATTCTACGGACGTCAAAGTGTGCCAGATACTATAAAAGAGAAAGGGAAGTGGGGAAAAAGGTCAAGTCATGACTGCGTGGACTGCTCCTTCATGTAGGCATCGACGGTGCGCTTGATGGCCTCCCGCATGCCCACCAGCGGACGATAGCCCAGCCGGGTCTTAATCTTCGAGATATCGAACGTCCTCGTCATGGACAGGTAACGAACCATCTTGCGGTTGAGACCCGACTCTCTTCTACCCAGGCTGATCGCCCAGACGGTCCACTCGGCCACGACGACGACGGCATAGAAGAGCGCAGCCGGGACCTGCCAGATCTCCTCTCGCTTGGTGGGATAGCCGGCTGCGTCGCCCACGGTATAGACAAACTCCCAGAAGGGTATGTGCTCGTCGTTGGTAACCACAAAGACCTCTCCGTCCACCCGTTTGTCGGCTGGTGGCGGTGGTGCAGCCGGGTCGATGTCGACCAGCGCCTTTGCGGCGAGAACATGGGCGTAGGCACAGTTGCCCAGGTACGTAAAGTCGAACAGGTTCTTCCCGTCTCCGACTCTGACCTTGTTGCGGCCGCTCTTGGCGTTACTGACCATGCGAGGGATGGTAAGGCTGTCGCCTTCGCCGAAAAGGGTTGTGCCTCGCAGGATAACGGTCAGCAAGCCATTGGTCCTGTTGGCTGCGACCACCATCTCCTCTGCCAGCGCTTTGGTGTGCGAGTAGAACTCGGGCTGTTCCGGGTAAAAGACCCGGGGCAGGTCTTCGGTGGCCTCTATGATGTCGGAAAAGCCATTGTGGATAACAGACGAGCTGGATGTGTAGACCAGAGCTCGGACGGACCGCACCTCCTGGATGGCGTCTAGTAGATATCGGTTGCCCTCGACGTTGATCTTCTCGTAGAGACGCTGGGTATTCTTCTGCTGCATGAGAAGAGGCGAGGCTGAGTGGAAGATTGTCCGAGGCTTGACCTGCTGCAGGGCTTTCAGGATGTCTTCCTTGCTGCCTATGCTTCCCTTGATATATTTGGCTCCCTCCACAATGTTTCTCTTCGTCTCGATGTCAAACACCGTCACGTCTGATGCGTCTCCTTTTTCCAGCAGCTGCTTGACGATAGTATGTCCCAGCCCACCGCATCCTCCGATGACCAGAACTGGGTCCATCATGGTGACCTTCCTAGGAGTCTTTTCTTGTTGGTATAAGTATTGGCTCCTGGAGTAGCGTGGTTGCCTGTATTGCTATTGTCGACCAACAACAACAACACGCGGGCGAGCTGTTGTATTTATAGTTAGCTGGCTAACGAACAAACAAAGAACCCAGGAGGACCCCTGCTCCAGCTAGTTAATCACAACATATGCAGTGGAAGATTACAGAAGGATTGATCTGCCCTGGGATTCCGAGATTCGGTTCGCATTAAAATCATCTATACGGTAGGAGAGTCATGACTCAAGGGTTGCCAGCTTTCACCTGCTGCAATTCCCCTGTTATCTTGTCTACAGTCTATGTAGCCAGCTAACATCTAGTAGCATATTTCTAATCTCTAACATCTATCTATCCTCAGAACGAGCTTCCTTGCGTTGCTAAGCCTTGTTTCTTTCTCTGCCGGAAGAACGCTGGGAAAAATATCACGCAGCTGCAAATTATCGCCAGCTTCATCTCCACGGCACTACAGACCAGTTAGTTAGCTAGTCGTCACCCATCAACTAGTTATAGCAAAGGAGCGGAAACGGACCTGTACGGTGATAGAGAGGCACCCGTGTATATCGGATCTTTCTTGTTGAACTTGGCTATAATGATAACCAGTCGAACAATACTCATCGAACAGGCACTATGTCAACACGATCAGCATGGGTACGCTTCCAATAATGATGTCAACCAGCACGGCGGCTCTTACATGAATCCAGCAAGGAAGAGAGTCATGACTCCTATCTTCCTCTTGTACGGCATTTTCAAGCCCTTGATCTGGCTGATGGGAATTGCAAGGATATAGAAATCGCTAAGGACATTCCATAGTCCGAAGAAAAGATTTGTCGTGCTCACTACCTTGTTGCTGCATATCTTGATGCCCAGGGCCTTGACGCCGTTACATCTTGACACGCGGATGATAGATACCGTCAGATAGGGAACAGTTACGATCGATATAACCACTATGCCGATGTAAATCAACCGACGAAGCTCCCTTATGATATGGAACAGCTGGTTGAGCAGCAGAAGGATTGAGATCTTGATGAAGAAGCTCGTCAGGATATAGATGATGTCAACGGCAGCATATTGCTGTTCCTGTTAGCATCGCGGCTATCCAGCAGGCCAACCAGCTAAGGAGTTCAGGGTCTGCCCTTACTTTGGTCCTGGTCATTGTGAGACTTAGGGCTGGAATATCCCACATGTGTCTCCCGTAGTTGACCGTCGTATCTAAACACTGGTAAGCCCCCTACGCCAGACCCACAGAAGTAAAGAAGACACATACTGTGAATGGTCAAGGCTGAGTGGGCTATCGAACCCATCTACACCCCGTGGGCGAAAGTTAGCAATCGCAAGGCTAGCTTCATGCATAAGCCGTATGTGTCTACGGACCGTCGCCAACACACAAAACACTTGTTTAACAAATTAGCAAACACGAGCCGTGATAACTCAATTGACCATTCAACTGGTTTGTTAATTGGGGGCCAAAAAAAAAAATACTCACCATCTGATAAATCCCACCGCAACTGAGAATACCGGCTCTTTGCGATGAACCTGGCTATTACCGCAACCATCATAAGGCCTAGCGAGATCGCATTCACAATAACTATCGGCATGGCCAAGCTTGGAGGATCCACGAAGTTGGACTTGACGCCTGGGGGTGGAGGCCCGGCCGGCAGTTTCCACAGGTCACTGAGATCGCGCGATTCCATGATGCCGGAGATTGTAGATTCGGGGAATCACTCGTTGCAGCTGGCACCGAGAGGTGAGGCAACATAGCGGCCTCGACGGCCCTTGACTAGTCATTATATATGTACAGAGAAGAAGTTATGCGGGTCTGAGCTTCCTCCTCCCGTATATCTCGGGTACTCGGGCGCGATGGGATGATGGACGGCCTAGGGAGTACAACAACATCCTCTTTTGGCATCACAGCCTTGCCTACGGAGTTTCTTCAGTTCAACGTGGAGCTTGGAGCATGGAGTATGGGTTTGAAGACCGAATCAGCGCATTCCTACATGGATTTCGGAACGAGGATGCGTTTATTTCAGGTCTTGCCAAACAATAAAATATAGCATCTGCACCTTTATGCACCTAGCCGGCAGCCCCCGTCCATATTCCTAGGCTTCTTCACGGGAAACGTCTCTGATTCAGCCAGTTACATGCATTGTTCAGAAGCCGCCTTGCATTTGTTTACGAGATCTCCACCGGGGAAGACACACCCATGTTAATCTGCATGACAAGATGTTTCATGGATGTGTGCTCAATTCTCCAGTTCACTTGCTCTACAGCCTCGCAATGCCACCAGCAAACTTCAACCCAATGAGAAGCGAGATATGTCGTCCTATTTATCGCCCCCAACGTCCAAAAAATTTCATACTTGATATCGGCTCCGATTAAAACACAATGTAACCCATGCGCACGAGCTGTTTCATATATACAAGGTGACCAGAACTCCATACGCCGCCATCATTTCACATCGCTCATCAACCAAAAGAAAAAGAAAATTCAAAGCCATGGATCTACCAGCACGGAGCCCTGCATTGCTCAGCGACTCCTCCACGAGGCTCTGTCCCACATTAGGGATAGGGCGACGTCAAATGACGTTGCAATGCCAGGATGGTGAATCCTTCAGCGCAGATGCGAATTTTAATAACCGAGACACGATGTTGGCAGATAACCGTCGAATACCTTGGACAGCATCAGTTCCCGTGCCCAAGCTGAGAGTGCTGGAGAGTTGGCTCACCCTAGATCACTACCTGTTCTCCCCTCGCTTTTGCTGCTTCCTTCTGTCCCTTCACCATCTCCAATTGCAGATAATGGACGAGGCCAAGGATACCGCAGTACGCTAGGAGATAGCATACCCACTGGCTGCTGGTTGGCTGGATCATAGCAAGCGGTTCGAGCATTTTGTGGTAGTTTGGACTTTGGTTTTATGCTATAATCTCTCACTGACTGTATATCTGTTCAGGTCTGGTGGTTTGAGATGCAGGGTCTTGCTCCCTTTTAGGCCAGTCCAGAGTTCGATATTTATATCTTAACCTGCTTGCTACCTTACCACCACAACGAGCCGCTGATCACCATGCTTATTACACCTCGGGTGACAAGGCTGAGGACAAGGTTGCAACCTGCATGTCTAAGCCTGAGGGGGCCATGACCATCTATAGCCCCCACAGTCACAGCCATCATCACCATCTTGTCCCGCCTCCCCAGACTCGTTGTCTAGAAAACAATGTATCAAGTCCATGTCTGTTAGTTATGGGCATGTTACCGGGGCTCCTGCCTCCTCGGAACTGGACCCAGAGCACGCTGATTCGCATCTGCCACTGATCATCCCTGACCAGGTCTCGTCTACTAGTATCTATCAGCCTGAGCTGATGTCCCGCCGCCGAGTACCCAGGGAATGGATGTATTAAAGCACCCAGCTACGCTGCTTTCTTTAGCAATTACCTCTAAGTTGATTGTCATTGCCTAGTGATTGTCTTCCTTGGCCGGCTCTGGCACACGTGGTATTAAACTTTCAGTTGTCTGACAAGATGCTCTCCAAACTTGGATGGACTGAGTCCGCATTATGCGTTCTACTGCCTCTCTATCTAGTATACCTCATACAAAGATACTTTAAGCTACGAGTGTCTGTTAAGATTCCTTCCCTGGGTTGGTCTAAGGTGCCTTACATAGGACACTCCCTGTCCTTCCTTCGAGGAGGGGCTGAACTACATTCTATGTTCGAGTGAGTAAGCAACACAAACAACCGTCATCTCCTTCGAACTAACCGTCAAATAAAGGCCGTATCGCAAGACTACAACTCCAATTCATTTCAACATTTGTGGAACCGATCTGTTTCTCATAAACTCCCCTGAAATTGTCAGAAAAATCGCCAACAAACCTCATATATTCACAGAAGGTGCTCTACGAGGAGATTTTGCCTTAAAAGTACTTGACCTTCCCAAGGGTGCTGCTCAAGTGCTAGGCAACGATAACTCTGGGTCTGCTCTCCGGCCATTACCTGGAAGCACATTGCCACCGGAAAGGCGTATCGTGAGAATGCAGCATGAAACAACGTTCAACCTATTAGCGTCTCCATCCGGAATACATATGTTCGTTCTTCAGTTTACTAACTTCATGGAGAAGCTGATCCTCTCTAATGATATAGGCGAGCAATGGGTCGAACTACCAGACCTATTTCACTTTATTCAAAATCTTACATCAACAGCCATGATGAATGCCCTCTGTGGGCCTCGCCTGGTTGGGAAGAACCCTGGCTTTGTTGACGAATTTTGGACTTTTGATCTGAACATTCATTACCTCAACCTGGGCATTGCTCCATTGTTCAGACCTGAAGGGGTCAAGGCTCGTGATAGATGCATAAAAGCTCTTATAGAGTGGAAGAAAAACGCTATCCGAGACTCGGCAGACAAAGACTACCCTGACTCATTGCTCTGGGATGAAATCTGGGGGTTCAAGATCATGCGGGATAGAGATGAAATGTATAGCCGCTTCCCCGAATACTGTAACGACCAGGCTCGTGCGGGCGCTGATTTAGGCATCCTTTGGGCGTAAGTATCTCCCTAATCTAAGATTATACTACATCATGGATCTCTAAACTAACGATGGTTTAGATGTAATGATAACCTCATTCCTGTCGGGTTTTGGCTAGTCCAAAGAATTCTTAGTTCTCCTAACTTACGGGAACGGTTCATGAAAGAATTTGATAACGCAAGGCTACCCTCACAACCAGGAGATACCCTTCCACGTTTCAACACACATGTCCTTGCAAAGACCCCTTTTCTTCAGTCCACATATCATGAGGTCCTACGGACTCAAGTAACCAGCTTCACAGCACGCACTGTTCGCCAGAATTGCCAGATAGGAGAGTATATGTTCCCCAAGGGTTCCGTCACCCTTTCATCGTCATGGGGAGTCCACAACAACCCAGGTCTCTGGGGGTCTCGGCCTGGCGCGGAGGAGCACCCTGTTGAGGAATTTTGGCCAGAACGATTCCTTATCTGTCCATATGAGAGGGCGGCAAAGGAAGGAAAACCTTCACCTGAATTAGGAAAAGGGCCGGAATTTTCTTTGAAGGGTCTCGATGGCACGTTCTTCCCGTTTGGGATAGGCCACAACGCATGCCCAGGTCGCCATTTTGCTACACATGCGATCCTCAATATAGCAGCTACAATGCTTTCTGTATTCGACTTTGAGCCCATTGACACATGGGCAGGTGAGGGCATGGATTACACGACATTTGGATATACACCCGCCAGGCCACTGAAGAAGATACCCTTCAGAATACGAAGGAAGATTCGCCCAGCTGGAGGAGAAGAAAGGTCCCACTGTTAAATGCTCTGGTTTAGCCTCGTTTCTGAGATTTTGACTCTCTTCTCGTGGTTTAAGCTGATGATAGATGGCAGTATCACCCTTTTTCCGCCTCCTGAAGGCTAAGTCAGTGAAGCATTTGAATATAGCCATTTGCTGTTCTCGCCATTCACTCACGCCATTACTAGACTTTTGCACAGGCGGTGTTCAATCTTTTAGATGTGTACATATTTATACATACATAACATCTCTGCACACATTGCTAGTGTTGTTTCAGTGTTAGATATATCAAGAAACAACAATTCAGAGTTCTATAATAAATCCCATCAACATTATATAGGGCTGCCACTTAGTGCTGGGCGTATAGGTGGTGCAATAGTTATGATGATATGGAGCATGGTAGAACACTAGCTTTTATCTCGAGTAGCTTAGGCAGTATGGGTTTCAGTAAGGTTTGGAACGTCGGTCGATACTGCGCTTGAAATTAAAGTAACATTCTTAGTCAGGTCGTCAAAATTGATACCATATATGGTTAGGAAATGCCAAAACTTTGGATACCAAAACCTCCTAAAACATACAGGAAGCAGTTTATTAATTTCTCAAATTGCCACGGCCAAAGGTGCGTGCGCTCCGGCCATGAGATACAGCTCTGATTACTATTTATCATCCATATTCCTTCACGGCATCGGGCTTTTTGGTCCGAGCTGAGTCCGCTTCAATAATCGGTTCCGTAGGGATCAATAAGATTTATCAGTGCATGTCCAGGAAAAGGTATTGAGTAGACGTGGGAATTCACTGCATAGTAGACACTCTGCGGCCTTTCCTCTTTTCCATATCGCTGCTTTGGTCTATTTTAACATTGTATTTCGACCTACTTCTTGATGTTATGATGTGAAAATAAGCATTGAGCGAGATCTTCGGGAGAGCCACGACGCCTAAGACTCGGATCAACCCTTGGCAAAAATTGTTGCTGGGTGTCGCCCTTTTTCCAGCCTCTACACGTGTTGAGGTCCTGTTTGAAGCGTAAAGGCCCACATTTCATTTCCTATGCTGATACACTAAGCCACAGAATTGAAATATTACGCCCTGCATGACAGGCACTGAAGCCGTAAAAAATGCGAGTACAGCGCTTTGTAATTTGAGAATACTTGCTGAGGTCAGCTGCTGGATCACAAACGTGATCCCTTCGGATGCAGGGTATAGTGGCAATATCTTTGTTATCGCGTCCCAGAAATGGGCGAGGTTCTCAGAAAATGGAATTTTCCGCATTGAAAAGCAGCCAGGATTGAGGGGCCGGGTCGGGTATTGTACTCCGAAAACCACGTCAGATAGTCATTATTCGGAATATTTAGTGACCGAGAACTGACAAGGAGCGTATTCCAGGTCCCTTGTTATGCGGTATATTCAAATGTTCTAGTTTGCATCTAGACTATGTAATGCATCGTGGTAGGATCGTCGAGTGGGTGTGGGCCATTAAGACGATAGATAAATTCAAATTCCATGTGTTCGAGGGTCCATTTCAGATAGCGTTCAGTTATCTGAAGCCAGCAATCAGTAATCTATCCGAACTGTCCGCATTTCTGGCATTTGCGGCTGATTGTTTTCATCCTCAAATGGGTCTTCAGCCATTAGGAACCCTGGCATTTGTATAGTTTAGCGTGTTTAAAGATTACCGGTGTCGGATCACCTGGCGAACCATTGCAAAATAACAACGATACCGGGTTTACCGGTCACAGCCCTAAAATCTCCTTTTCGGGGAAGCCCTCGTCACATATACCCTGCACAATGGGAGCCACGTTAATGATGTGTGGAAACGTGGTGTTGCAAGGCGCATCCTACCCTGTGTCGGAGGATCAAGCACAACTTAGATGGATACGCAGGCTGACGTACAGGGATGGCGGGGTTCGACGGTTATTGCTGATAAACATCTGTGTGAGTTCAAAACAAAAATGGAAAGAGGAGACGGCCGCATTTGCTGTTGTTTGCTGCGGTTGATGATTATTTTGGTTGTTGACAACGAAAGAAATAAGACGAAAAAAATTGGTTGAAAATGCCAACAATCAAATGATGAGTCACATACTTTCTTGGCACATGAGAACCTTATTGGCATTTGAGGCTCGTGCTCGCTTAGTCAGCGCTCGTCCTTTTCTCGGCTTTTGGGAAAGATAATATAATGGTGATGGCATAGTGATGATGATGATGATGAGTGGGAAACGGGGGTTGGCTAGTCGGTGGCTAAAGCTGTAATTCCGCGTACCTTCATGCGAGTGGCCCCTGTCAATTTAGCTGCCAACCTAGTACTTTGTAACTACACTTGTGCGACAGTCATATTGTAGAAAACCTCCATACCTGCTTCGCCAACCCATGGGCACATACTCTGTAAATATTCTTCTTGCTCTGTGTTTTCTCCTATTTTATGGCGGAGCTCTCGCCTGGTGGCCCCTGAGCATGGAATAAGCTTAAGCGGCCCACCAGCGTCCCGCCATCTTAAAGCTAATTCGGTAGGCCCTTGTGTAGTTAACGAGTTAACTAAGCCACACGATGCTCGAACTCGTGTTAACTAATTGTCAGGCCGACATTTCCCGTTAAACGTGGCACTTTTCAGCTAGTTATATATAAGCTATCTTGGTTGTACCCCGTAGAAGCTACAGTGTTTATTGTTTTACGATACTTTCCACTCTAGTTTTATCATATCGATTGCTGCAGTCTTCCTTGCATAATGACGCATACGACCAAGGATACACTTAAGAATGTAACTACAACTTAAGATACTGCTTAAATAGGGTCATATACTACTAGCAGAAAACATAGAGATGGAGGAGGAAAGATGTTATCAGTATTGTCAGCCGGTATACTCACCCGCAGTCACCCTCTAGGAGTTATATCCCTGCCGTAATGTCGGCATCGCCCCTAGCTAATGCCTCGCCGAACTTGGGCTGCACTGCAAGGTTTCGTCTAGTGTTATAACGGGAAATATGGTGCGCTAGAACGACTTTCGTCCCCACGAGCCAAAATATGTGTATGAATATAGGATTTGGCAGGCCTCGCGTTCTGCCCAAAACATAACTAACAGATGTGAGAGATTTCAAGGGCCTGGCCAGCGGCCTCAACGTACGGAGTACTTCCATCATTGTAAAAGGTATGTAAAAAAAGCAATGATTCAAGCCTAAAGGCCCCATTACTCTGTATATACCCAATAATACTCCTTTGCAATGATGGAATATTCAACGCAATTCATAGGCTGTGTGGCTGCGCTGAGTCTTCTGTAACGAAGCGCTGCCATTGCACTCCAGCGGAGCGCATGATCCCCTTGCGTTTGAAATCCAGACTGGTAGAGACTACAGAAACCTGTTGGAGAGCATATATGTCTGATAATCTTCAATGCACTCCGTGTGCAGCCAGACATAAGACACGAGCAATCCCTTGGCCAGCAGGCATCACTGTTACATCTGAAGCATTTCTCCACCTTGAGATCATGGCTCCACATCTGTCCCCTCGAACTTTCTGGTAACGCCAATCACAGCCATGCAGGGGATGTGGTATCACTGTGCTTTATTTTCTGGATACTGGCAGAAGAATACCTGCAACGAAAATGCATGTTAGCGAGATCAATCACCTCATATTCCGGTTGGCTAGTGTATGCTCATTTTTGTCCTCGTGCTGCAGGATCTGAGGCAATCTTCACACTTCGGATATGTGTTGCGGCATTCCTCTTCGCTCTAACTATAGCCAAGAGCGAGGTGCATCAGGTCGGTCTCCCGTAGACTGATCAAGCTTTGATACAGTGTTTTCTCTTTATTGGAAAGTGCTGCCGAAGCGAAAGAAGTGTTTTAGCGGTTCTTGACCTCGGGTCCGTGTGCAGGGGGCCCCCTGGCGATACCCCAAAGAAAAAAAAGTCTAAGCTTGAACTGTATAGTCAGAACACCGAATGCAGTCACCCTGTACTGCCTGGAGCATTTTTGCCAGTACTTGAAATTCTACCAATAGAGATAAAATCACACATGAGCATGGCCCGGGATAAAACATTATTCGATGTAATATTCTCCGTGTTTGTGGAGATCCTCGTTGCAGTCAGTTCGGGTGTGTGTACCTCGTATATATTATAGTTAACAGCTTGCGATGGTCAGCCCGGGATGATCACCATGCGAAGCCAGAATACAGATAAGCCTTGCCCAATTAAAATAAAAGCAGACAGTCAGCTGCGGTGGTGCCCCCGCGGTCTTCTGACGTACCTTGCGGCCATTTTTGGTCTCTTGGTTTTGGGAGGGGGGAGCTCTTGGCCCCAATTGCTGTAATCACCAACCACCTTGAGTTGCATATACGACGGAGTACTCGCGCACACATATCTATATATAGTAAGAGCCACTCCATATCCGATATATCCTAGCTGCAAGGCCCGTACTTCGTATATCACACGGGCACTCAAGACCACCAAACCCACTCAATTTCCCCGCGGTATTACCCACACATACGCCACATTCAACTTGCACAATACCCTGTTGATTCTGTACGTAGTGCCGTTGGTAGATGTAGAGCAGGATGAGAAGGAGGCGGGCATCCTTCTCGCTCCAAATAGGCGGACATGGTATATAATGCTTCATACACCGATATTCCTCCAAGTTAATATTTCCCCTGCGCGGTGGAATACCTCCACCCAAAACGCCGCCTTGCCATATTCCTCCTTGGATCATGGATAATATGTACAATCCACGACCACGACCACGGCCACGGCCCCTCCAGCCCGCCCGATATCTTGCTTAGTCATATAGTATCACGTGGTAACTAAATACGCGAGTGGAATTAAAGTTGCAAAAAGAAAACTTTAAATTATCTCGAAAAGCCGAGACTTCGTATAAAATGCAAAAAACATATCACCGCAACCAAGACGATAGCAGATGAGAGTAAGGCAAAAAGACCTCTAATGCATCAAGTTCGGTAGCTATTGTTGCAAAGATCTGATAAAGAGCTACGGCTGTCTCGCTAATGGAAGCACAGTGTTTTATTCTCTATTCCTTCAGCCTTGGATCGCCCGACCCATGAGAATCCTCACACTGGGTATGTTCCTCAAGGTCGACTTCCGCAGCGAGGCCGGGGTCATTCTACGATGGCATTGGAGCATGTGGCTTGGTCTGATCACCGAAGCATTACAATTACATACTTATAGTTCATACAGCGAGGTATATGCACTACCGCCACCCCCCTCCCCTCAAGAATGCTCTGAAATATTGGACAGGAAGGACACAGAGATACGAATGAGCTCGTATCTCGTTTTTACATATAAGTGAGTGAGCTCTGCACTAGGATACCTCTCTTTAAGATATACCAAGACGAAGAGAACCCTTCTTCAACACCTTGGAAGGCAGACGTGCAAAAGGGATAGCTGCCCAAGGGTTGCACGATAGACACCACCAAGCATCGCCGAGCATCAATTAAGCACAGATGGAGTCAGCAGCCGCTGGTGATACTTCTCCGCACTCGGTGCCTGTGAGAAGGTTGGACAATATTCGAGCCAGTTGTGATAACTGCTCAAGGTCGAAAGTGCGTTGCAGCAAGGAGCAACCGAAATGCCAACGGTGCATTCATCAGGGCGTCAGTTGCATATACAGCCCATCGCAGAGAGTACGACGGAGACCTTTACGAGAGCCAATAGTCGAAACTCCCCGGAGAATTGACTCTGCCCGGGAGAATGCCTTCAACAAAACGATTACCAGCCACGACAGCCATATCATGAACAGCCTGCACCACCACGGCCCGGGAAACAACAACATAAACCATGACGGCAAGATGCGGGAACGTCTACATGGTTTCGACATGGATTTCGACAGAGCGCCAACCGCGGCCAATTCTCACCACGCGTTCTCGGAGCTCAGCATGTTCCAGACCGATATCGACAGCCCCTGGGGCGGCCTGATTACGACCCTGGACGAGCCGCCCCATATCCCGTGGCAGCAGTTTGAGCAACCCAGCCCCTTTCACGACTTGGACCCTCATTTCCCACCCCGATTCAACCGAGGCGAAGGCACAAAGTCGCCTCAGTCACCGTTACGTCAGGCTCCACTAGAGGAAATTATCACAAAAAGTACTAATTATGGCCATCAGTGCTCAGAATTGGCCACTACCACCATTCAGAAACTCGACATCCCCATGCTTCCTTGCTCATCAGTGTCGAACAACCCCAATGCTGCCGCTGCCATGATTGCAGCTATGTCTTCTTCTGTCTCTGATGCTTCAGGCACCGCCGCTCCCGTATTATCGTCATTGTCCAGTCAGGCTCCTCGGCGCGGGTCCCGCAGTTTTGAAATTATCTTGAGGGACAACAGAGCCGCACTCGACGATATGCTTACCATTTTGCAATGTTCATGTACGGTCAAGGCGGAGCTTGTCTTCCTAGTAACTGCCGTATGCTCACGGGTGCTGTCTTGGTACGAAGCCAGCCTGGAACGTAGCAGCAGCAGCAGCAATAATTCCAGCACTCCAACGGCAAGCAATACTTCCACTTCATCAAGCAGTATCTCAGCTGGAACAACAGCTGCTACTACAAGCTCTAATGCATCATCTTCTCCTTTCTTTGACTGGGTATTCATTCCATCTATCCGCATGGGGGCCTACGCTCTCGACCACGAGCATTCAGAGCGCATGGTTGCACAACTAATACAAACGGAATTGACGAAGGTGAAAGAAGTTATTGACGCATTTGCGCGAACATACTGCCACCACAGTGATGGACCTTCGAAGTACGGGCCGCATGGCCTGGTTAACGAGGATAGTGAGGACAAGTTACACTTAGCGTTGGAGGCATTCTTACGCAGCCGGCTGCGGGCAGTTGTGAGAGCTGCAAGGGAACATCTGAGTTGAATGAAGAGTAATAAGGTCTGTCATAAAAGTTGAGCAGAAATAATAGAATTCATAACCATAATAGCTTCACCATGAATGTGCACATGCTCCTGGTGGTAATATTTCTTGAATAACTACATCTTCCCCAGCATTGGTTGAGCAAAACGGAAAAGGTCTCTTTTGTCCAATGTTCCCTTCAACTCTTGCAACCGCTTCCAGTTCTGCCCGAAACTGTTTTGCGTTTCTTCGTCTTTGCCCATGAAGCTAACATAGACGGGTTTCAGAGCTTGCCCGGTACCCTTGATATCCGCCATCAGCCCGTCTACCCAAGCCTGGGCGCGTTCCATACCTCCGGCTCCGTCAGGCACTGGTGCGTTGATATGGAACAGGATATGTGGCTCTCGAGTGCCGAAACATGTGCTGTTGTTCGGCTTTGTTCCTTTTCCATGGCCGACGTGGGAGACTACATTGTATCGGCCGCCAATTGGGATGTCCTCTGCATACTTGAGCAGTATAGCAATCGTCTCCGGGGTGAATCGAGGAATTGATATCGAACGTGTGCAGACATCGATGGGATCCTTGAATGGCTTCGTAGTCATGGCCTGGAAATCTTTGAATGTCGCTAAAAATAGCCATTTGTTTCAGTATTTGAGCAGTAATATGACTATGGAAAGGAATATGGGGGAGACTCACTCTCTGTGGTTGTATCTACAACGACGGTGGCCAGCTGCTTGAGAGTTTCTAACCACTTCTTCCCTTCATCAAGGTCGTTGGAGTCGGCCCATGTATAGATCAAGCTCATACCGAGCCCGACTCTGCTGCGGTTGAAACCGACCTGTATACCCAATGCATCCGGGACGCCTTTATCCAGCAACTCTTGGGTTCTATGTAAAGCCTGTTCGGTCTCCTCCCACTTGTACACGATGAACCCGCCCAGGATCGTTGGCATGTGGTACACCTTGACTGTGACCTCGACAATGACACCGAAGTTCCCTCCAGCTCCGCGGATGGCCCAGAGAAGCTCAGATTCAGGTTTCGCTTCGACCAGTCTGCCGTCTGCCAGCACCACTTTGGCTGCAAGGATATTGTCCACACCCAGGCCGAGATAGTCATTGAAAGGGCCGTATCCACCCCAGACGGCCCATCCAGTCCATCCCACGTCTGCTGCAGTCCCGTTGGAGGTGCAAAGACCATGATTGTTGAGGAAGCCGACCAGGTTACCGGAGAGTATGCCTCCACCAGCAGTCACGGACTGTTTGTCTTCAGCCAGCCTTGCCTGGTCCAGCTCTCGGACGTCGATAGTAACGCTGTCAGCAATACATCCACGGCCCCAGACGTCATGGCCACCTCCACGGACTGCGAGTGGCGGACATTCATTACCAGCTGGCAAATCACTGACTGCTCGGACAATCAGCTGTACCTGTTCGATGGTGACTGGCCTGCAGATGACCAGTGGCCTAGCGGTGATGAGTTTGTTGAAACATCCACGGAGAGACTCGTAGTGAGGGGACGAGCGAGTATACAGCTTTAGAGCGCTGTCTAGGGTTGTGAGCGTTTGGATGATCGGCTCAGACCCCTGAGCATCAACGGCAGGATCAAACGGGGTCGGTTCCTGACGGTGCTCGGCCGTGGAGGAAAAAGGGGCGGAATCAAGCATGCTGGGCGGCTTTGTCTGTGTTAATTATCTGTAGCTAGCTGTCTATTCGTGGATATGATTGTACTTGATAACTAACTACGATGGGGATAGCACCGAGTATAGATATATCTGTTGCACCGCTATACAAGTGGCAACCAGATACAAAGCCCACGATAGATCTAGTTAACTATCGGGGGACCAAGAAATTCGGTCCCGAGGAGCGGCCCCATGGGCTGGTACGCCCGCTCCTGGGCATACATATTGGCAGTAAGCTATGCAGTGGTAAGCCTTTAGCCGAGTGGATGTTAGCTCGGGACAAAGACAGAGAACAAAGCAGAATCAGCCACGGCGTAGGTTGTTGATATTACTTGCGGGATATAGAGTTACGATTTACGATCTCTCGCAGGTACGGTAACTAGGCTTTGAGCATCTCGTAAAAAAAAAAAAAGAAAACTTCCTTTATTCCGGCCTGTAGTTAATGAACTTTAGTTAAACACGCATGAAAGTATGGAACATCTATTGATAGTAACGGACTGGGGAAGCTAAGGGAGGAGATGGATGTACAGTGGAGATGGACATTACGCCGGTCTACCGCTGAAAAGGGGCGCCCTCCCCCTCTATCAATGCCTGCCAGTAGCTCCAGTCGATTTGCGATATGTCGACTGCAGGCTCCTCGGTGGTACCGGAGAGAACGAGATCTTGCCCCGTATCCCTGACGGCTGCAGCGGTGGCGGCGGGAGAAAGGTACTCGTCTAGTACAGGTGATACCTGGGCCGAGGGTGACGACGGGCGCCGATCCCTGCGAAGACTGCGGAGTTTCGATATGCACTGGGGTTCGGCTGCGTACTGGAGAAGATGTGAGGAGTTTTGCGTCGTGGATGCGAGCTTGTCCCACGCCCTTGTGGTCAGACTGACGAGTGCGGAGACAAGAGTGTTGGTTCTCGCTGCAGTGATGATCTCCGGGTGGTCCGCATAGAGCTGATTGACTCGCTCCCAAGCCTGCCGGACCAGATCGCCCTCGAACCGGGCCAGCAGCTCGGTCAGGACAAGGATGAGGGCCTCGAAGGGAAACGCCATGGCTACGTGCCAGCGGTATGGCTGCAGTGGCTTGTGCGAGTATGCAAGGTTGTCGTACCCGATGATCTCCAGGCCCAGACTGAAGACCTGGTCCCTTTCTGCCTGGGCGAGGCTGGGCCCCTTGCCCGAGTACCACTGGCGAGTGTGCATGGACAGGCGCATCTGGCAGACAGAAGAGCGGCCTAAGTAGAGAGCTAGCAGGTGGAAGGGGATGGAGGGATCGCATTTCTTAAGGTACCGCTGCTCTAGCCTGGCCTCGAGCTCGTCTATCAGCTGGCTCTCCTCTGCCCTATGCGCCGCACTGCTGTTGCCGTCGTCTGCATGGCGGTGTTCGAGGGTCTTGAGCCTGCGCATGCACTCGCCGACCTCGAACCGGATGCGGCAGAAGAGCATCTCTGTCGGTCCGTCGTACTCGGCGGGCAGCTCGCGCATGGACGGGACGAGGTCGCTGTCGTTGAGGTTGAGTGGGCAGCGGGTGTCCCAGAAGAGATACGAGTCTGGGTTGACGGCCACGCCGGAAAGTTGGGCGGAGCGGCTATCGAGGATGAGGATCTGCCACCAAAGCCGCCGGCGGTTCTCCTGCTCGAAGACAGAGAAGCCCCTGAGACTGGCCTCGCGGTGCAGGCCCATGGCCCTGGCCGTGCGAGAGGCAATGCCGGTGAACAGCCAGAGCGTATGAGGTTCGTATGTATGCCGTGTTGCCAGCTAGTCACCTATATCGTTAGCATCTAACTATGATATAGACTGTCGATTATGGTAGAGAACAGAGGTAGTGATAGTAGTACCAAGTATAGAGTGAGGGCCTGTAGGGTGATGATATTAGTTGACCGCAGGAACTCGGCGTTGGTCAGGGCCTGCTTGGTCGCCTTGGAGAAACGGCTGATAAGAGCTACCCTGGACTCGGCCAGCAGTCTCAGACAGGTCTCCTCGTCTGTTGATGTTACTGCTGCCGTGTAGATGGCGAAGAGCAGGGCCTCGGTGCTGCGGGAGACGCTGCGCAGGTCTGCGGCCGCGTCCAGGACCATCCGCTGCACCGTCTGCGCGTGGAAGATCTTGACTATCGGGTTGACGTTGTTCAGATAGACCTGCCACAGCTGGAAGAGCTGTGGTGCTGGCGGATGCATGCCGTGGAGGTCGATGTAGCGGGAGTCGCCGAACAGGCTCAGGGGCTCGCTCTCTGGCGGCTCGATATCAAACTGCGACTCTTCATCCGCGTCCAGGTTCTCCGGATCTTGCAGCTATTCCCGTTAGAAGATCCATGCATATAGAATGTAGATATGGGATATGTCCAGGCAAGGGGCTGGTGTAGCTACCTCATCCGACAGGCCCTTCCACAGCCAGCTAGCGATATCAAAGTCAGCTCCAAGTCTACAACTATACAGCTTAAGTGAGACTTACTTCTCAACATAGCGCGAGTCCTTCGACTTGACTATCATCTGGCCCTGAGGAGGCGCTGGCGGAGGCAGCAGAAGCTCTCGCGAGGCCGTCTCCCCCGTCTGCTCGTCATCGACCTGGATGCCGTGCTCCCTGAGGGCCTCTTCGCAGCACCGCAGCCGGCGCACCAGACGCTCGTTCGCTGCCGCTGCTGCCCGGCCGGCCTCTCGTCGCTGCATCGATGGCTTCGTCCGCCTACCGGGGACACACTCTATCCTGTTTCTGCGGCAGGACGAGCATGGCTGCTGTCCGTCGCACCGCACCTTGCGCTGCTGGCAGGAGAAGCACGAGTGGTTGCGGGTGATGCGCGGGTGGGCTGGATGCATGCTGTCTCCCATCTCCGTCTTATCATACACATGCAACGGCCTCTGGTAGCCAGCCAGCTATCTATCTAGCTGGTTATCAGTGTCTAATGCCTAATAATGTGTATCTATTGTAGAACCGACCGGGCTCTCCCCTGGCATCCGCGGCCTCTGATCCCCGGTCGATCACTTGCTCGGTCCCGTCGGCGCCTGCGCTGGCTGTCTCTCGGTCCCGGAGGATGCAGGAAAAAGCAATAACTAACTGTTGAAGGAAAAAAAAAAGAAAAGACAAAGCAGGGGACGGTCCCGAGGAGCAAGTCTTCTTTGTGGTTGATGGTGATCTTCTTCTGTTAGGCCTGAGGAGTTGCTTTGTATACAGATATTATATATATATATATATATATATATATTGCCGGGAATACACAAAATGGCTGCGAGATTACCCCTGAGCAGACCTCCCACGGAGTATCACCACCAACACAGACGAACACGATGAAAGAAGACGAGAAGTCGCCTCTCGAGACCGTTAAGAAAGAGTCTTCAGAGGTCAGCTCGCAGCAGCCAGCGCCAGAGACGATGGTGGACGAGAAGAAGTCAGACGCTCAGGGGGCGCCAGACGATGGCAGCTACACCAGCGGCGCCCGTCTGGTCGTCATCATGGTCGCCGTCCTCATGTCTCTCTTCCTCGTTGCCCTAGTAAGAGCTTACTCCATGCATAGATAGATATCTTTGGCGATAGTTGATGGTTACTGACTGGCTGCGCAGGATCGTACTATCATCGCTACAGCGGTGCCTGAGATCGCCAACCAGTTCCACGCCCTGAACGATATCAATTGGTACGCCAGCGCCTACCTGATCACCAGTTGTGCCACGCAGCTCTCCTGGGGCAAAGTGTACACCTTCTACTCGACCAAGTTTGTCCTGCTCAGCGCCATCGTCATCTTCGAGGTCGGCTCTGCCCTCTGCGGCGCTGCTCCAAACTCGACCGCTTTCATCGTCGGCCGCGCCATCGCAGGCACTGGTTCGGCTGGCATCTTCTCAGGCACCACCGTCGTTATCGCCCAGGTAGTGCCTCTGAGGAAACGTCCCGTCTATGTTGGCATGATGGGCTCCATCTTCGGCATTGCCTCAATCATCGGGCCTCTCATGGGCGGTGCCTTTACCGACAGAGTCACCTGGAGATGGTGCTTCTACATCAAGTGAGTATCCCTGGTTGATGCATATATCTACTCAAATAGCCCAAGTAGAGCTCGGCTGATTGATACAATTACTAGTCTCCCTATTGGAGGTGTAACCATGGCTGTTCTCGTCTTCCTCCTGAATGTTCGCTCCAAGAAAGAGTCGACCTCCTGGCAGACGCAGCTCAACCGCCTTGACCCTATTGGCAGCGTCCTCTTCCTCCCCTCGGCCACCTGCTTCCTCCTGGCCCTCCAGCTAGGCGGAACCTCGTACCCCTGGAACAGCGGCCGCATCATCGCCCTCTTCGTCGTCTCAGGCGTGCTCATGATTGCCTTCGTCGCCGTCCAGATCTGGAGACAGGAAGATGCCACAGTGCCGCCCCGTATCTTCTGCCAGCGCAGCATCGCCAGCGGAACTGCCTTCTCTGCCTGTGTCGGTGGCGGCCTCATCTCCATGCTCTACGCTCTGCCTATCTGGTTCCAAGCCGTCAAGGGCACCACTGCCGTCCAGTCAGGCATTGATACCATCCCCATGGTCCTCTCCCTGGTCGTCGGATCTATCCTTTCCGGCAGCATCATCACCGCCACAGGTCACTATGTTCCGTGGATGTACGTCTCGACCGTCCTTATGTCAGTAGGTGCTGGCCTGACCACTACCTTCAAGCCCGATACCAACCACTCCGCCTGGATCGGATACCAGGTCCTGTTTGGTTTCGGTATTGGCACCGGCCTCCAGCAAGCCAGTCTGGCTGCTCAGACCGTACTCAACATGAAAGATCTCTCGACCGGAGTTTCTCTCATGTTCTTTGCCCAGTCTCTCGGTGGTGCCCTTTTCGTTGCCATCAGTCAGTCCCTTTTCTCTAACGCCCTCGCCTCCAACCTGGCTCAGGTGCCAGGTCTGGATGTAGCAACAGTTCTGGCTAGCGGTGCGAAGGATCTCAAAAAGGTGGTCCCTCTTGACAAGTTACCTCTGGTTCTGCCCCTTTACAACAACAGTTTGAGGAGATCCTTCATTGTCTCCCTGGCTGTCTCCTGCCTGATGATCCTTCCTACCATTGGAATGGAGTATCGCACCATCAAGAAGAAGGAAAAGGCCCCAGCCCCAGAGGCAACTGAGGCTTAGCCGACCTAGCTACATGCTTGCGTATATAGATTGCCAAAATTTACATAGTATTTTTCTGCCTAATGTTTAATATACATCTCCCTCTGTCGTATCTTGTAGAGATACATATGAAGCTCTTTTCATTATACTCGTTCAACTATTAGGCCAAATGATACACACATATGATATGAAGATAAAATATATGAAGCTGAAGCTGAGTATTTTCTAGTATTTATTAGACCCTAAGATAAGTCGACACGTAGATATGAATCAAACTCTTGGTCGGTCACATTTGCAACGGCTGTCTATTCGCGTCGATCAAGTGTTATCTCAAGAACAGACATAACACTTCCAACAGGCTGAACCACATTCTTCAAAGCCAACCGTTCATCCACAGAACCCAGCAGCTCCTTCCAGTCTTGCAAGTCTCTTTCTAAGCTATTGAATGCCTCCAACATAGTCATATCCCTGGCTCTCAGCAGACGCTCCTGGGCAGAGGGGATAGACCCCGGCTGCGGCAAGACGGTGTCCATGATGATAATGCGAGACGTATCCTTCAGAGCAGGTAGAAGGTTCTGCAAAATCTTGACGGCTTCTTTCTTTGGCCAGTCGTGCAGAATCATACGAAGCAGATACACGTCTGCGCCCTGGAATGGCTGGGGCTGGAAGAAATCATGACCCTCGAAGAAGATGCGCGAAGTAACGCTCTTGCCCAGCTTTTCCTGTTGCTCCGGCGAGGCCAGAAACGCTTGTCCGTCCGCTGCGTTCTCAGGCAGATCCTGGACAATGAAGTTAAGGTCCGGGAATGTCGATGCGAGAGAAATACTTGCTGCTCCGCTGGAACCACCGACCTGCGTTCAAAACATATGAATTAGCGTCTATACCTCGCTAATAGTGTACTTGGGACTAACTTACATCTACAACAGTCCCTTTACCCAGGCTGGCCCAGTCAAACCCTTCAATGAGATAGTGCATTCCAGTGCCGCCGCTCTTTTGCACATTCTTCATGTAACTGGCAAACTGCCGCGTCTTGTCGGGCTGGGTCTTGAGATGGTCGAAGAAGGGTAGATCGGTGTCGAATGCAACGTTGTACGCAGTCTGAGTCTTTTCTTCACTGTCTGTCCACTTCTCTGTTGCTTCAACCAATTTTGCGGCCATTGGGACCGACGCCTCGCACATAAACGATGCCCAGTCATAGAAACTGGAGTCTGACGCGATTAGAATTGACGTTGCCGTGTGAGCAACTGTGTTGGGCTCCGGCTCGCAGAACAAGTGACTCGTCATGGCCATGCGAGCGACGGTCTTGAGCTGTTTGACCGAAACTCCTGCCGCCGCTGCAAGGGCTGGGTAAGCAATGGACGAGTCGCGCGGGACCAGTTGGAAGATTTTGAAATGGGTGAGCCATCGAAGGCACGCAATATGCTGATACTGTAAACAATAAACATCAATTTAGCGGCTGAGGCTGTGGCATGGTAGAAATAGATTTACTTACTCCGACAGCTAAATGCGGCAGATACTCGCTGGGGCCGGCAGCCAGATGGAAGATCTGGAGGGCAGCTCCCATCAAAGCCTGTCGCGCCGCACCTATCTCAGGGGGTGCAGAAGCCGGGATCGATGTTGCTGGAGCATCACTAGCAAAAGATGGAGCAGCATGGCCGCTGGACCGCAGAAACTCGCTCACTATTTTCGCGTTTTCCTGCATCTGAGAGGCGAGTTCCTCCAGTGCTGACTCTTGTAAGTGTGTCCCATTTGCTTTGGGAATGTTACCGTTAGTTTGTTCAACAATAGTAGAAGACATTGTTGAAGCAGCTTTGAATCCCAGAGATGCTGAGTATGGAAATGCAGGAAATACAGAGTGAAATTGCGGCGCCTTCAAAAGGAACTCAGCAATGATGGGCAGGGCGCAGTTACCATAGATCAATAAAGCTCGAATATCTAGAATAATATTTTGAATCGGGTATGATAACCAACAGTTTCTTCGAGGATACACTACACTGGACAATCTCAATACCCAAACTTCTGCTATGCCGAGAGCCCTCACCCGACTCGGCCCTTACTGTCTGCTATATTGGCTTCAGGTAAATCTAGCCTTGTCTCCATTCACATGGAAAGATATTTCCGTGATTTATATATAGAATCACCATGCACGTAGCAAGCTACGTGTATAGTTTGCTTGGGTACACATTATTGGACGCTACGGTGTAACAAGCATGCCGCATATTTGACCTGGGGGCTGAGTTTAGATGCTTATCGACCTATGCGGCAGGAGTCGTTACTATAGCCCAGATTGCGAGTCCTAGAAGAGCTTCGATGTAATCACGAAACCTAATCCTTAGTGCTAACTTGTTATCGGTATAAGAAAACAAGAGCAATAAAGCGTAAGCTTTCTCCATCGCGCCCATAAAAATAAACAATTTATCCCGCTCGGGGGACCAGCGTTGGTAATATTTTCAGCCTCGGTGCCCATTACCTGGGAAGGATCCTACCCCGATCCTACCCCGAGACCCGATGCTTAGCCCGATCTCAGCTATGGTGTCTCGCGCTGCAGGGATAAATGCAAAAATGGGGGATCCACTTTTACGGGACGATCATCACGGGTCCCACATGAACTAAATTAAGCTTATTCCGTGAACTCGCTCCGCGTGCTGACAGGGGCCTGTGCCAAACTTTCACGTGAGCGGAAGTGCAAAAGGGCAAAGCAATACTTCCCGACCTCCACTCCGTATTTCCAAGGATGTGAAAAGTGCTTCCGTACACGGCCTGAATATAGTTACTTTATGCTCAAACATTAATTGGTAAAGTTGTAGGCTATCATATCTATAGTTACATAACAGAGCACCAATCGAACGCCTTAAGCCAAGTCGCATTTGAACATGGGTGGGAACCCCCATACATTGGTAACCCGAGCGCTTCGGGAGTAGCTGCACACTCATGCTCGCGAGATTTACCAGGTCAGTCCAGGAATCCCCCTTTACCTGAGGCGTATTCTGGTGGTACCTTGGGCCACGCATCAATACCATCCATAAAGGCAATCGCCATTCCACCACCCAGGTGGATCTCAAAATGGCAGTGCATGAGCCACGGCCCAGGATTGTTTGAATGATACCGTAACACAATCCAAGATGGTCCATCAAAGGATGTAATAAAAGTATCCCGATAATTGGGTGTTTTGAGATTAAATTTGGTTGGCTCGGCCTTCATTGCTTCTTCCACTGACGAATAGTTCCAGTGGCCTTCTCCAGCACCGATCTGCCAGGTCTTTCCAGAATGCTTGTGCATGATATGAGGAAACTCCTGAGGCTGGTTCGGAAGGGAGCCTACCTGGACAACAAGGTCGATCCACGTGTTGTTCTTAGTACGGATGACAAGGCTTTCGTCCATCGCATCGGCCGAATTTGGGTGGTAGAGTAGCGGGGCGTATGCGCTGCGATCCTCCTGGTACATCGCACCACCTTTCATGGTGTAGGTCCACGCAGTTTTCACACGATGGGTATCAAGGAGAAAAAGAGCATCTGCGTGCTTTGCAGGTGCATTTGGAGGGTAAGGCGGTAATTTATCGCGGTCAAGAGTAACAGCGTAGGTTGTGTTTAGGCCGCCATAGTTGATAATGCCCTCGCTCTCCTTTTCTTCATTGACATTTTTTTCATTTGGACCCCGTTTGTATCGCATTGTGGCATATGATCCAATGATTTGAGTTAGTCCTGTATCCATGACTCGAATTGTGTAATCCCGAGCAGCGTTTTTGTGTAGCTTAACCATGACCGAATACCGTTCACCCGCATAGAACTTGACAGTATCAACTTTCTGGGGCTCAATAAAGTGCCCATCTGCCTCATAAACCCACATCTCATGATTGTCAATGGCAAAAACTGGCGTTTTAAACGTTGCTGCGTCCACAAAATTGAAGCTCACCCACTCATCGGCTGGATCAACTTCAAAAACTGCCTGCTCCCCGTTGGAGGGCACGCATCCTTGTTGTAGGTGGCGTGGAATTGTCTCAGGCCGGCCATCACGTAGATATTTATTTTCTGTTGACTTGACAAAAGGGAGGCACCTATGCGACCATTTAGTGATAATCCCATTAGTGCTTCTGTGTAAATATATGCCTTACCCTTTATCATTGACATGGCGGGGATATATGGCCCATTTCATATAATCCATCGTGTGATTAACAAGAAAATCCTCTCCTGGACAGTATACGCTACCTTTTCCGTTGATGAGGATGCTATCCACGCAGCTATATTACCGTTTGTAAGCTTCTGCAAAGAACAGTAGCAAAAAAATAGGCGCATACAATATAGTATAACCTGAGTCTTCTTGCGCTTTCATATATTCCCATGACTTGAACCGGGTCCAGTCTGAGACAACCACAACATGAGGATTCGCAACGGCTTTTCTCATGTTTTCAATATCCTTGGATTTATTGCTGATGAGTGACCAAGGAGCTGGAGCTGTTGGTTTTGGCCTAATCCACGTCAGAGTAGGCCCTTTGACTGAATTGAATATAAAGGGAAGTTTATACCTGATATACATCGCACCAAACAGGCCGTCAAACATTGTTGTCCTCGTATGAGAATGCCACCTAATGTCTCATTAATCACCTTCCCTGATGAAGTATATCTCTAGATAAATCTCGTACCAATGTGTTCCAGAAGGATAGGCCTTAAATCGGTACATAAACGACTCGCCTGCCTCGATTGGTTTCTGTGTCAGGCCTGGGACGCCATCAGACCACGGAGTGCCTTGCATCCTGGGATCGTAAGCGGTTCATATCCATTTCAGTAGTCCAGCAGAAAGGTGGGACCTACAGGAGCCCATGCCAGTGTATTGTTGTGTTGAATGGCATTTTATTATGAATCAGGACCTGGTTATCAATATTTTTAGCAAAAGGCATGACCATAACGATCTCTCATACGGCTTCTCACCTCAACATCATCGTCTTCATCCCAGACAAATGTAGGCCCAGGGAATTGGCCATTCATAAATATCATCTCCCTAGGCTGTCCATTCGGCGCTCCCAAGCCCCATGTCAATGTCAATTCTTCGCGTACGACTTTCGCAGCCGCTTTTCCTACAGCAAAGGCCCAGAGGGCGATTATCCACCCATACATTGTTCCAGCAAAGGCCAGTACAGATCCCAAACCGATGAAATGGAAAAGAAGAAATCAAAGAGCCAGCAATTTGTATTAACAGGATCACACTGGCGAGCTCGCCTCGAAGCTTGCTACGTTCCACCAACCAAGGGCTAGGGGAGAGCACTATGTAGCTGGGCAATAGTCACACACCTATATATATCCGAACACGAGAGCAACTGGGGCCAGGCCAGAAGAAAGTCGTAACCAAAATTGGCTTCTGCAGCCCGAAACCCGACCGAAAGGCCAGAGAAGCCAGTCTCAATAAACTTAGAGGCGACAGCGCGCATTCTTAGAAATGGATAAAAATGCACCCAGAGCACTGCTGTCGACCAACGACGGCTTCCATTCTCCTACCCTCCATTAGGTACATACATACGCTAACACTAGGCTGGCAGCATGGAGAACCATCGACTTCGGCGTATAGTACGCCAGTCACTGCGCGGAACTGCGGCTATAGTCACCATATTGCTGGCTATTCAGTGGACTTTGAAGAGCTCCCCCAACAGCAAAGCCAACAAGTACATCAACAGCCGACTGGGTACAAATGGTGCATCTTCGAACCCCCAGCCGCATGGCACCGTCTGGGAGCTGATAAAGAACGATACCCGGGCATCCAAGTTCGTCAATGTGCTAGGAAAGTTTAAGAATATTGTGGCCGGTCTTGATGCTGCGAAGGCCAGATTTACTGTCTACGTCCCGACCAACGAAGCGTTTGAGAAGGAGAACTTTGCCTGGGATCTGCCGTCCTTCTACTGGCTTTATCTAATTGGATACCATATGGGTGCTGGAGCGCTCTCGCAAAAGGATATTTTGCATACTACTACAGTGCCGTCTTTTGTCTTTGCGGACGTCTTCGAAACTTATCGTCAACGCATTAGCACGCAAAGGGTAGATGGGGGTAAGGGCTTTACGTTGAACCATGTAGCCCGCCCAGCTGCCTCTGAGATGGTAAGTAGGTGGTGGATTACACCTGGATGTCTCTAGTTCATGGCTAATTGGATGCAGCCCGCGGTTAATGGTTACGTCCATCTGATAGACCGCGTTCTCATGATGCCAGAATCGACTTCTGATCTCCTACGTGATGACCCTAATCTGAGCAAGCTACGTAAAGCTCTCATCGATACAGACGTCGCCGTGACAGTCAACGACACGTCCACCCATCTTGGTCAAACAGTGTTTGCCCCTACCAATAACGCCTTCGATAAGCTAGGAACCAAAGCAAACCAGTTCCTTTTCAGTCCCTATGGCAGAGAATATCTAAGGGCCCTACTGCAATACCATATCGTTGCCAACCAGACCATGTTCAGCAATTACTTGTTCCCCCACAACGGAGAGGCACAGATTCCACTAGAGAACGGGTCAAAGGTAGGTACTCCGTTCCTCCTCTCAATCTCCTTATTTTCTTTTGATCACCGAACCAAACGAAACATTCCTCTAGATCCATCTTCCGACTCTACTTCCGTCTCATAATCTGAGTGTGACGGTCGAGCTGGACGGCTCTCGAAATTCCCCCAAGATCAACAATGCAGTTCGCATCGAGAGCCCCGATATTGTGGTCATGGACGGCGTGGTACATAAGATCAGCAATATCTTGCTGCCGCCATTATTGTCAAACGGAGATGGTCCTATCCCTGAACAATCATGGATAAGCACTATGGCAGAGTGGCTGCTAGGCACGTCAGGGGTGTCTGTAGGAGAGCTGAAAAAAAGACTAGAAAATCTTGTTCTAGAGCCATGATAATAACTAGTTAATCCCTACTCTTGCTGTCGTGATAAAATACTATCCATTGATTGACAGCTTTGTGCACGAGGCTGGTGATAGAAGCCAGGGTGTAGTACATACATGCTAGCACATAGAATATAGAAGTAACGTGTTATGCCCTGGCTTCTGACAGTTATCAACCGAATTAACGAGTAAAATGGTCGCCTCAAACGTTTGCAGTTGACCAACGATTCGTTGCCTAGTTGGTTAACTAGTTACACATATCCTTTAGCCCCTTTTTCTAGTGTTTTTCTCCCTGACTTTCGTAGTTAAAAACGCATATTCAAATAACTACCACAATTTAGAGCCATTGACTAAAAAAGGAACCAGCTATTCCATGGAGACTCCATGCGCCCTTTTCGTGTTTTTGTCAGCTGCCGGGGATCCAGAGGGCCTCTTGCTCTGATAGAAGATTTATCCACCCAAGGTACATTTTCAGGGGACAGCCTTCGGGTCTCGGGCTTGAACTTGGTCAGCAATCCTTCCCCGATATTCAACACACAATAATTGCCTGACTTATTAGCTCGTGTGCTCAATAACTAACCCGACCAGCTTCGGGCTTGGTATGGGGGTTGATGGCTGAAGCACCTCGTTGCTGGTGTCTCTCGCAAAAATCGCAGTGTCGGAACAGGCCTCCCAACGAGATATATCATCACGACAGTGAGATTGATAGAGTCAAGATGAAGAAAATATTGTCTCAATCTCTACACTCTCGGCATCTACCAGATATTAGTTAGCAATCCGAGAGGGCATCGCCATGGCTGCCGAAGAAGTTCCCCTGCAAAACAGTGAGCTGTTCGATGTCAGTGACTGCGTTGCGGTTGTCACTGGTGGTGGAACGGGGATGGGCCTGATGATGGCAAAGGCACTCGAGGCTAACGGAGCCAAAGTCTACATCCTGGGTCGACGGCTGGCAGTCCTTGAAGCTGCTGCTAAGCAAGCAGTAAGGCAGATATATCCTACTATAGGAGAGATGACAGCTAGAATACTGACGAGAAGATACAGACTTACGGCAACATATACCCCCTACAATGTGATATCACATCCAAGGATGACCTAGAGACGGCGGTCGAACACATTGCCAGCGAGGATGGTTTCGTCAATTTGGTAGTTAACAACGCTGGAATCTCAACACCGAATCTAGGCCCTCAGAGGACACGACCTAATGCCAAATGGAGCATCACAGACTTGCGGAACTACTGGTTCAGCAAGCCCTCGTTCGAAGACTATGCCAGAGTCCTCGAGGCCAACACCACCGCACCACTGATGGTGACCTTTGCATTCCTCGAGCTTCTTGATCGTGGCAACCGTGTCCGCGCAGAGCAGGCAAAGGCAAACAGTGGCCGATCAGACTACGTACGCAGCCAGGTCATCATGGTCAGCAGCGTTGGTGGGTTTGGTCGCGATAATTCGGCCTTCATCTACGGCGCCAGCAAGGCCGGGACAACGCAGATGACCAAGAACCTATCAACATATCTCACGCCGTGGAAGATTCGGGCGAATGTACTAGCACCAGGATGTAAGGATCTTTTATTACAGACTATATAACAACCTCGCGGAAGTCCAGACGACTAATGATAGTACTATAGATTTCCACACGGAGATGACCCAAGATTTCTACAAGAGTACAGGAGGTCGATTGCCGGCTACCATGACTCCTGAAGAGCGATTCGGAGACATGCAAGAAATTAGTGGGACACTTTTGTATATGGCCTCCAAGGCCGGGGCGTATTGTAATGGCTCAGTGATGCTGTCTGATGGAGGCTATCTTGCAGTCCACCCAAGTGCCTATTAACTGCCTATTGATTGATAGCTGTGACTTTAGTTCTTATCTGTGTGAAAATATTATCTGATTTGTGAGAAATTGATGTTCCATATAGTCATACCTGATGCGAATGGTTTTAATTGAATAAGCGAAAAACCAGTTCAATTCATAGTAATAACCCCGATTAGTGATCCGTCTAGGGTAACTAGAGTACTGAAAATTGGTAGATCTAAAGGTAACACGAATACTTATCAACAGCCAGTCTAAAGTAGTAAGTAAAAGAAAAAGAAATCTAAAATATGTCTGTCTGGCTATCTCACACTCATGTAACTAATCACCTGAGACGTGTCTGCGGTAGAGTCTGCATCCTCAGCCTCACACTACGGGTACCAATTCTTAGCCCGAAGTTCCCTGTTCATCTTTACAATATTCTCCCGAGCGCCGACCCACGGCTTCCGCTTGCCTGCATTAAAGAGTCGGTAATGGAACGGCAGTAAAAGCCCGTCCATGACCATATTGCACAATTCCCGGTCCGTGAGCCAGAAACCCCAGCCCTGCCAGCCATACCCCAAGTTCGCTCCCATACCGAGCCCGGCCGCTTCATCCACCCATTCCAGCCAGTCAACGCCTTTAGTTAGGCCGGGTGTTACTCGCGAGTTGTTAGAGAGGTTGGCAATCCACTTGAACTGCTCGTCTACCTGGCGGTTCATTTCCGCCTTGGAGGGGAGTCGAGAGGTCCCCTTCCAGAGCTGTGCAAGTGCCATGCTGGCCAGGTCAAACATCAGGAATGCCGGGTTCATGAACGACAGGTTGCCCATGAAAGCGAGCGACTCGGGATGCTGGAGCGAGATAACGTTCTGGTAAAGTCGGGGCATCTTCCGGCCGTTTGCCATCTCGCACGCGTCCTTTTGGTCATAGATAGTCGGGTCACTTTTCCCAAGCAGTGAATAGTCGACGGTGTATCCAGTACACCAGATGATGGAGTCCACCTCAATCACAGTGCCATCGGTCATCTCAATGGCCTTACCGTCACGGACATGACGAATAGATGGCAAGGAGATGACCCGGCCACTAGCCAGATTGTCAATCAGATTGTCACTGATGATCGGCCGTTGCTGGCTGAACGACGGTGCAGGGTCAAGCTGCCACTCTGGCTTCAAGTCGTACAGTCGATTACGCAGGCCGACAATAACGCTGTCCATTACCTTCTTCCAAATACCAGGGGTGTAGCGGGACATCATACCCAGAATCCATCCCTTGCGATAGGTGCGGACGTGATCGACTGGCTTGCCATCTACCCACCGTGGCAACTACAATGTGGTTAATATAACGAAACGCAATGGGATATAATGGCATCTCCATACTTACTACTATGGCTCCGTGACGGTGTGATACATACACCTGTTCTGCTACACCCGCCAAAAGGCCCGTAACATCGGCCGAGGTATTCCCAAAACCGACAACCAGTACTCGCTTGCCAAAATAGGCATCGGCACTTTGAAAACAGTCACATAGTTAATTAGTTCACGCCCAGGAAATTGAGTATCGAGAATAAACAGCCCAACTTACCTCTTAAAAGTGACAGAATGGGAAACATCGCCTGCGAATTTCTCGATTCCTGCTACTTGGGGGATATTGGGTACTTGATCAGGACCCAAGGCATGAATTATTTTGTCAAATTCCTGCACTGTTTTCTGGTCTTCGTTTCCAACTGGGGAGAATTCGATTTCCCACTTGCGCTTCAGCTCATCCCACCACGCACGGTGGATAGTTGTGCCAAGCCGGACATGTGGCATTAATTGGAAATGCTCAGCGTAAGAGGTAAGATATTTGGCCATATGGCTTGATGTTGGGAAATCAGGCGTATCTATGTACAGTTAACCTGTGCGTTTTTTTTTTTTTGCAGGCAGAGGCTCCCGTGGATACTCACCATCAGGAAAAGGGAAATCAGTGAATGACCCCTGATATGGCAACCCTAGTTAGTCAACAATCTTCAATTTGCGGTACCGTATAGCTCAAGTATAACTTACACGATGTTTGGATCCATTTGTCACTGTGCCTAGGGGAGGCAAATAAGCTCTGGTCAGTCGAATTGCTTCATATAGCGCATAGACGAAGAATAAATACTGACTTGGCAACACTGAGATGTTCTCATTCTCTTCGTTGTAGTGCCACAGGCCGCCAACGTATGAATTTCGGTCAAATCCAGTTACATTGAACCCTTCCTCAAGCATATTCTTCATTGACACAAGGCCCAGGGCCCCTAAATTTGTTCTAGGTCAGTTATTGCAAACTATCCATAACCAATTGAAGAAACAACAAACAAGCTATCTGGAAGTATGGAGGTGTTGCATACCAAGTCCAAGGACCGCAACTGTTGGCGCTTTTTCAGACATTTTCAATGGGTCAAATTGTGAAGATAAAAGAAATGATGCTGGCTATAATATTCAAACCGGGTGTCATTAAATATTGAGCGTTATTCTTGGATGCATCCGGACAGCCTCTTCATAAAAAAAAGATGAAAAGACACAAAACAAAAAGAACATTAAAGCAAAGTAAAGCTCCTTAGTAGGAAAGTTGCTTCAAACATAGTAAGTGCCAAATTATCCGAAATCCTCAGAGAAAAGGGGGGAGTGTTGTTGTAGGATTCGGGGGTACCCTCGGGAATCAACCTTGGGGATAACAGACGCAATTTCTCCCAACCTAGCAGTGTCCTTGGATGCTTACTCAAATTCGGTAATCCACATTCAGTAAACCCTGCACCTCATGGCTACCGCCATGCATAGCACCACCGTCGTCCCTTCAGGGGCAAACACGATCATGTGGCTGAGATCCGAATTCCGACACATGGTCCCGGGGATGATCGGGCGTCGCGGACGCACTGCAAGATCTCATTTCGGGTATTTTCATTGGCTCGGGGAAAGTATGGAGACACACCCTTAACATGCAGAGTCGCATCGGATGGGTCACTCCTAGCTGGACACGAGTGAACAAGTCTGGGGCCGAGTTGCTGCCACCATGCAGAGGAGGATGGAGCCCCTTAGAAGAGGGGCCACGGGAACGTGGTGTGTAAGTATAGACAAAGTGGTCATCTCGCAGGGGTCTTTCTCATGGCTTTAAAAACACCTGTGAAGCCCTGGGATATATCCGGGTAGAGTCAATCACGCAGTTCCATATACTTCTGCGGGAACTCTAGTTCTCTCTTTCTTTTCGACTCCCCATGCAGCTCGGCACTTAGGCAACATTAATCGCTTCAACATATAAACCAAGTGTCTTTGCTGACCATGGTGAATCAACTGCACCTCTATCTCTTCGGAGATTTGACATATGACGTTTCCCCCAAGCTGCAACCACTCCTTCATTCGGAGCTATACCCCCTTCTTCGTTCGTTTTTCGATCGCGCTTGCGATAAACTGCGGGCTGAGATTGGTCGGTTACCAGCTCAGGATAAAGAATTTTTCCCTCGTTTCTCTAGTATTGCAGAGCTATTGACATGGCGTAACAGCCATAGCAGGTCAAACCCCGCAATAGAGAATGCATTAACGTGCATCTATCAACTGGGCCAATTTATTCAGTAAGTCCTTATGATATGAAGGTTTCCCATTCTATAAGGATGAAAGGCCTGGCAAATGTTCCATGCTAATGAATATGCCCCTGTTCTGATATAGCCAATATGAGGGTATTGGGCAAGCGTACCTCACACCCCAAGAAACATGTGTATCCGGCATCTGTACGGGTGCTCTGTCCGCCGCGGCTGTTAGCTGTTGCAGGACTACATCTGAAATAGTCCCTATTGCTGTACAGACGATACTGGTTGCTTTTCGACTGGGGATGTGCACACTACGTGCTTCCGGAGCAATTGACCCATCAGAAGGAGCTTGGTCAATGGTCGTATCCTGTGATTCGACTGACAAAATTCAAGAACGTCTCTCCAAATTTTCTCGGGAAAATGTAAGACCAATAAAGTATTGCTCGAGAGTCTTTATAATCGTGAGGCTAACACATTAAACAGAACCTTCCTGTCACATCAAGGCCATGGATCAGTGCATACGGGGAAGAGAACTGGGTATCAATCAGTGCACCAGCATCCACCTTGTTAGCCCTTCGTTCCTCTGAGATACTGTCAGGAATGCGTTCGCGTTCACTCGAGATCCACTCTCCGTACCATGCACAGCATCTATTCTCAAAAATCGACATAGACGCTATACTCGAGACAACCGATTTCCAAGAGTGGGAGCGGTATAGAGCTGTCCGATCTATTGTTTCAAGTTCCACCGGAGCAATAATTGAAGGAGACTGTTTCCGCTCCTGTTTGGAGGCAGCACTTGCTCAAATATTGATTGAACCGATCAGATGGGCCGAACTTACTCAGGGGCTTGCTGCCTTCATAACCTCAATCAACGCAAAGAGGTTTCACGTCATTCCGATTGCAACAAACGCTGAAACCACACTTATGACATCACTAAGATCCAAAATGCAGCTTGAAGCGCCCGAGTTTTCCAGCAAGGATGAAACCGAGAAGGCAGAACCAATTAACCGTAATGCCCAAGAAAGTATGGTTAGGGGTCGATCTAAAATCGCTATCGTTGGTCTCTCCGGCAGATATCCAAGTGCAGAGAATAACGAGGAGTTCTGGGATCTCATATTCTGTGGACTAGACGTGCACAAAACGGTGCCGGACCTCCACTGGAGTGCTCAGACACACGTTGACCCTACTGGCAAGAGAAAAAACACCAGTGCCACCCCTTACGGCTGCTGGTTGGACCATCCCGAAGCATTCGATGGGCTCTTTTTCAACATGTCTCCTCGTGAGGCGCCTCAGGTCGATCCGGCTCAGCGGATTGCGTTGATGACTGCCTATGAAGCCATGGAGCAGGCTGGAATTGTCCCTGGAGCCACCCCATCTACCCGCCACGACCGGGTGGGCGTCTTCTACGGGGTTACAAGCAATGACTGGATGGAAACCAACAGTGCCCAGAATATCGACACCTACTTTATCCCGGGCGGTAACAGAGCCTTCATCCCAGGACGAATCAACTACTTCTTCAAATTCAGTGGCCCCAGCTATAGTGTTGACACTGCCTGTTCTTCCAGCCTGGCATCCCTCCATATCGCATGCAACTCTCTGTGGCAGCGTGATATTGACACCGCCATCGCGGGTGGAACAAACATCCTGACAAACCCTGACTTTACTGCTGGTCTGGATCGTGGGCACTTCCTCTCGCGCACTGGTAACTGCAAGACGTTTGATGACGACGCGGATGGGTATTGCCGTGGAGAAGGTGTAGGCACCGTTATCCTGAAGCGTTTGGAAGATGCCATTGCTGACAAGGATCCGATCCACGGCCTCATCCTGGGAACTTATACAAATCATTCGGCAGAAGCAGAGTCAATCACCCGCCCGCATGTTGGAGCCCAGCGAGATATTATGAGAAACATTCTGAGCAATAGCGGAGTTGATCCATACAGTGTTAGTTATGTCGAACTTCACGGCACCGGTACCCAGGCAGGTGACGCTAGAGAAATGACATCTGTTCTGGACACGTTCGCGCCTGCCGACGCCCGTCGGCATCGTCAGCCTCATGAATCTTTGCATCTAGGCTCAGTGAAATCTAATATTGGCCACGGTGAAGCTGCTGCCGGAGTCAGTGCTCTTATAAAAGTTCTCCTGATGTTGAGAAACAGCACCATTCCCCCCCATTGCGGTATCAAAAATAAAATTAACTCAAGCTTCCCAACGGACCTTGACGCCAGAAATGTGTACATTGCAAAGAGTGCGGTTCCCTGGCCTGCGAAAGAAGGACAGCCACGCAGGGTATTTATCAACAATTTCAGCGCTGCCGGCGGCAACTCCGCCTTGGTCCTTGAAGAAAAGCCCATTGAAGCCGAGATTAAAGGAACTGACCCACGAATAGCGCATGTGGTAACGGTGTCCGCCAAATCAGCAGTATCTTTGAGCCGAAATATCCAATCGCTCGTGGACTATATTGAGAAGCATAAGGAAGAGCCTCTATTTCTTCCCCAGCTGTCCTATACCACAACTGCACGCCGAATTCACCATCAGCATCGAGTTGCCGTTACTGGCGTAGCTGCTGTCGATATCAAGGCTGCTCTAGAAACAGCGGCCGCAAATGGTGACGGCAAGCTCCGAGCAAGAGTCAGACCAAAAGTGACATTCACTTATACAGGACAAGGTGCTCAATACGTTGGTATGGCAAAACAGCTGTACATATTATTCGACCAATTCAAGAGGGATATCAACCGCTTTAATGGGATTGCCGAAAAACTAGGCTTTCCCAGCTTTCTTGATGTGATTAAGGGTGAGCCTACCCAAGACCCGAAGGATATCTCCCCAGTCACGTTGCAACTCTCCAGTGTTTGCATGCAAATAGCTTTATCCCGGCTACTCATATCTTGGAATGTGATGCCGGACAGCGTCATAGGTCACAGCCTTGGTGAATACGCTGCTCTCAACACTGCCAGTGTTCTCTCTGACACTGACACTATTTTCCTCGTGGGTAGACGTGCCCAGTTGTTGGAGCAGCTCTGCACGCTTGGAACGCACAACATGCTTGTCGTGAAGGCTTCCTTATCGACCGTTCAGGGAGCACTTGAGGGTACAGAATTCGAGGTTGCATGTATCAATGCACCAGAGGAGACTGTTATTGCCGGTCCCAATACACAAATTGAAGCTCTTAAGGAGTCCCTGAACAGCAACGGCTTCAAGACAAAGATCATACAGGTGCCTTTTGCATATCATTCATCCCAAGTGGATGCTATCTTGGGCGACTTCGAGACCATTGCTACAGGTGTGAGGTTCCGAAAGCCAACAATCCCGGTTATATCCCCATTGCTTGCCGAGGTCATCGTAGACGAGGGTATAATTTGCCCTAGCTATCTGAGACGACACTGCCGTGAGACTGTCAATTTCCTTGGTGCCATCCAGCGTGTTAAAGACACTGGGGTTGTAAAAGAAAAGTCCTTTTTCGTCGAAATAGGGCCCCATCCTATTGTGACGGGTATGGTCAAGGCAGTCCTGGGAACATCGGTCACCTCCTTACCTACACTTCAGCGCAACCGTGGCGACTTGAAGGTTATAACCGAATTGCTCGTTGCCCTTTATTCTGCTGGCACTGACCTACGCTGGAACGAGTATCACCGCGACTTTGAGGCCTCACACAAGGTCCTGGAACTCCCTGCATACAACTGGGATCTCAAGAATTACTGGATGCAGTACGTTAACGATTGGTCTCTGCGAAAGGGTGACCCGCCATTGGTGGTTGGCCCTTCGTCCCTGACATCGACTACAATCCACAAAGTGTTGGATGACAAAATTGACAAAATTGTTGTCGAGTCTGATATGACACGCGAGGATTTTAATCCTTTGGTGCAAGGCCATGAAGTCGATGGCGTTCCTCTTTGCACGCCAGTAAGTAGTTGTGTGACTGGATTATCTCCAAACTTCTGTTCATTTTGATGCTGATTGTATTTTGATAGTCTGTCTATGCAGATATCGCCCTTTCCATTGGCAAATATCTTATAGAGAGATACCATCCGGAGATCGAAACCAATTTGGTCGACGTTGCCAACATGACCGTCTTAAAGGCTTTGATTGCCCGGGCTCAGGGACCCCAACCTCTTCGTACCATAGCCACTGTCGATTGGGCTGCTAAGAAAGCCAACGTTTCCTTCCGCTCCTTTGATGTAAGTTATCCCGCGCATAGGTGCTGGAATACCAGAGCTTTCTCTGTTAACCTCAAAACATTGCAGAAATCCGGAGAGCCAAAGGTGGAGCATGCCACCTGCGAGATAAATTTCACTGATCGATCTCGACTCAAACTGTTAGAGGGTTCTACTGCAAATACCAAGGCCCGAATGGGTGCTATGCGTGAGACTCTTGGAAGCGGCGAAACCCAAAGATTCAATCGTGCAATGGTGTATAAGATGATCGGTCCATTGGCACAGTTCCATCGAGACTACCAGCCCCTTGACGAAGTTATCATCGATAGCAATAGTCTTGAAGTCTCTAGTCAGGTCAACTTCAAAGGTGTCCAGGCTGCTGGTGACTTCTTTGCCCACCCAGCTTATATTGACGGCCTCACACAGGCAGGAGGGTTTGTCATGAACTGTAATGACAGTAATGACTTGGCGGTGGAAGTATTCGTCAACCATGGCTGGGAGTCTCTCCAGTTGTATGAGCCTCTTCAAAAGGAGAAGAAGTATAAGACTTTCTGCCACATGTCTCCGGGAGACAACAGGAAGTTCCATGGCGATGTGGTGGTCTTTGATGAAAGTGACAGAATTGTGGCCAGCTACAAGGGCATTGTGGTAAGTTATGAACATTAACCTGAAATTCGTGGCTCTCAGATTTGTGGGATCAACCAGCTGACACCCTACGAACCTTTAGTTCCAAGGCGTTCCTCGTAGAGTGTTGCGTTTCTTCTTGAAGCCCGAAGCACCAGCTGCCCCCCGTGGACAGGCAAACCAAAAGTCTGCAGCAAGACCAACCCCTGTTGCACCAGTTATAACAGCTGCGCCAGCGACTACCCCTAAGTCAATTGCTAAGCCGGCTCACGTTCCAGCAGCAGCTCCAGCTGTCGGTTCTAAATCATCAAAGGTCAAGCAAGCATTCCAAATCATGTCTGAGGAAGCTGGTGTTCCTGTGGATGATCTTACGGATGATTGTGTCTTCACTGATATGGGCATTGATTCGTTGCTGGCTCTGGTGATCACGAGTCGATTCCGCGAGGAGCTTGAGTTAGACGGGGAGCTGGACGATATCTTCCTCACATACACATCTGGAAAAGCGCTCAGGGACTACCTTGCAAAGCAATATGGCTCGGATATCCCGGTAGCGGTGGAACCAGCACCGCTACCTGTCGCTGCGGCAAAGATTGAACCGGTGGTTACTTCTCGAATCTCCCTGGGTGCCGACTGCGCTGCTGCCCTTGCGATAGTATCAGAAGAGAGTGGTATACCGGTTGCAGAGCTCTCTGACGAGTGTATCCTTGCGGAAATTGGTATCGATTCGCTTCTAGCGCTTGTTATCGTCAGCCGTTTCAAGGAGGAGTTGGACGTTGATATTGACAGCCAAGCTGTGTTCACCGATTCCTTCATGATCAGAGACTTGAAACTGTTCTTTGGAAAGGAAGAGTCGGCAAACACCACCCAAGCGCCATCCATTCTGATGGAAAGCTCCGACGAGAACACCATGTCATCCATGACGCCACCAGACTCAAGCTCTGACTATGATATATCCGAGAAGCCAGAATGTGTCGCTGTGCCGCCTACCACATCTGTTTTGTTGCAGGGTATCGCCAGGCACGCGGAGAAGATCCTTTTCCTCTTCCCTGACGGCTCCGGATCCGCAACTTCGTATTCAGCGATCCCACGGCTGAGTCCCCGCGTCGCCGTCATCGGACTTAACTCCCCCTATAACAAGATACCAGAACTTTTCAGATGTACGCTCGACGACCTCATTGATAGTTACATAGATGAAGTCCGCCGCCGCCAACCAACAGGGCCGTATTATTTCGGGGGCTGGTCCGCAGGGGGTATTCTGGCCTACCGCGCCGCGCAAAAGCTGATTGAAGGGGGTGAAAAGGTTCTCGACCTTATTCTGGTCGATTCGCCAGTCCCAAGGGGGTTGGACAAGCTACCACAGCACTTCTATGATCACTGCAATAAGTATCAGGTATTTGGGCACCGTGCTGGGCCTACCAAGGGTCAAACTAAGGCGCCAGCATGGCTTATTCCGCACTTCAATGCGACCATTGACACCCTGCATGATTACCATGCCTCTCCCTTGCCAGCGGGTAAAACACCGCGGACAACTATTATCTGGGCTGGTGAGAGTGTAATTGATGGTGTCAACGTGCCGAAGCTCCAGTCCCATGCCGACGACACGCAAGGAATGAAGTTCTTGTCTGAAAAACGCACCGACTTTTCAGCAGCAGGGTGGGAGGCTGTCTTCCCAGGAGGAGAGATTATCTTGGAGCGTATGGAGCGCGCCAACCACTTTTCCATGATGGTGAGTACATCAACTTGAGGATATTGGATGTGGTTACCTAGACCAGTAACTAACGAACTGTGCGATCATATTAGAAAGGAGAGCATGCCGGTAAACTGGCCGCAATCATGAAAGCTGCGCTGGCATAAGCGAATCCGGGGAGATTGTGAACAGCTGTAATCGAATAGTAGAATGGATGGTGGAGGGGCTGAAGGCGTTGAAAGTTTGCCATTTTCAGACAATAGTCGCGTATAATTATTTTGCCATTCAGATCCAGTCTCATAAAACAGATGACTAGCTCTCTCGGGTCATGAAAGTGCCACCTGTGTTCGATATACTAGAGAAACATGTGTAACGGTCCCTGGGACTAGCCGTGCTGTAGGCAGGCAGTTCAGTAATAATTCTAGTGTAAAATGGCAAAAAGAGAGGGAAAAATCTGTTACTCCCGAAGTTAACTCTCCAGGGTTCCGGGATTGAGAGGGTGACACAATTTATGGCGGAGGTAGATGACCGGATGAATGGATATGCTCTCCAACAATAGAACAGGTTGCTGGTCCAACCTGCTTTATGCGAGAGCCTGCTCGTTTGCGGGGACATCCATAGCATTGCTCGTCGTGCTAACGACTTTTGGAGCTTGTGGGGAGAGCGACAGCGGCTCGATCCCCTCGTCAGGCGATGATGCAACGCTGTCACAGTGACGGACACTCTCGTCTTCGTCCTCCCACAAAATACCACTGCTATCGTCATCGTCAATGGTATCAGCGAAGACATCCGCCGCCCCGCTTAATGCCGCCAGGCGCTGCAGGGTCCATTGCAATTCGAGGAGATCCCAGCTTGGCAATGGGAGGTTATCGGGGTCACTGGTCGTCAGGACGATCTCTCGCCCAGACGCAATCTCCTCGCCGGTAAGAACGTTCCAGGCCCTGTAGTCTTTGTTGATACCAACGAGATCCTCCGGTATGGTAGGGTCAGTCAACAGGTGGACTTTCGCAGCTGGCTTCCGCAACGGCAGCCAGTAGAACTTGACAGTGAATTCCTTGCCGTCTTCGGACCGGCGAATTGGCTGCAACCCAAACAGGCCCTTTAAATGCCACCTGTGAATTGTGGGTGCAAAACAAAGCAAGTTCTCCACTACCTCCGTAGTGCCTCGTAAAAATGCGGCAGCCATCCAGTCACTGATGCGACGCTCCGTCCAGAATAACTTCAGCAAAGACCAAAATGAGTAGTGTTTATTGGTTGTTGACAAGGAACCTCTCATTGAGTGCGGAAAGATATGCGCGGCGTCAACGGGGTCGAGAGATTTTGTAATTAGGCACCTATACTCATCTCTAGATCGACATTGCATTGACGCTGATATCAATCGACCGGAGCCCCTGCGCTGGCGTTTAGCTGGAGGTGTGGCTGGCTGTGACGTTGGCTGCGGAGTTGGCTCCTTGCTGCGCTCATCTTCATGGTCGTCGCGCTGTAAACCCACTTGTCTCTCGACGGCAGAACGGTGAAGCGGGGCTGGCTGGCTGGGACTCCCGCGCGGTGAGGCCAATGGGGACTGCGCTGCTGAAGGCGATGGGGAGCGGGACTTCGAAGAATCACGCTGTTGCCATTTGGTAACGATGTCATTGGTCGTGAGTTTGAGTAGGTTGTGAAGCCTATCCCGTTGACTTGGGTGAAGGAGAGCTTCAAGTTTCTCGAGGTCTGCCAGCCACAGAGCTGCCCAGGAAGTAGAGGAAACTCCCTCGGGCTGAATGGTCCTAAGCAAGTCCTGGAGCGAGTTTAGCAACTCGCGGCGTCGTTCGCAAACGAACTCCTCGTTCGGGCCGTGGGTAGTCATGTTGCGCGTTCGACGAAGGAGACGGGGAAAGAGAATTTCGTGTAAAAACGAGTAACGAATAGAGAGTTACAAGATACGCTGGGATGGATGCAGTTGCAGCAGCTTGCAGGGATCGGCTCTTGGTCGTTACTGGAAGTCTGAACTTTGCGGTTACAAAGTTACAAAGTGGCCTGAGCCCCAAGGGGAAGAAGTTTAAGTCGCGAGTGAGTGGATCACATAATACCTTAGCCCTACTCGTTTCGGTTAGAAGGAAAGTGAAAGAACTTGATTGGTTGAAAGGAAATATAAGCATGAAGTTAAGGTTCAGCAGTGAAGCTTAAATCATCGGCTAAGTAAAAACGCTAAGTCGCTATAGGAAGCTATTCTTGTTTTAGTTGATATCATATGAGGAACCAACCTATCTCCAGTCAGCTTTATTCTGTCGCATTGTCGTCTTCCAGTTCTACATCAAAATATCCGAAGGCACTCATCATCGATAAGCTATACCGATGCACGGACTTGTCAATACAGCCATATCATTCCGTTCAGTTTCCTGCTCACTGTACTTTAACACGACTTGGTATAAAAGTGTGGGCACATAGGTAGACGAATACCAAACCATTGGATACGATTTATTCTTGTGGCGGAAAAAAGGTTGATATTGAGGTCTAACTATAAAAACATGAGGGTATCTTATACGGTAAAACTGGTAGAAGTCGAAAGAAGAGGCCTCGAATATCAGTCGACAAGAAAAGCAAGTAAAAAGACTTATACACGAAAAAGCAGAGTGGTAATAATAAACTGACAAAAGGAGATATCTTGTGATCATCCTAATTAGAAGCTTCAAGTTCCTGTGCAAGCATCTCGCCGAGCCCATCATTGTCATCTTGCTCGCATTCAGGTTCATTCTCAGTAGATGAGGGCGCGCGTTGGGGTGTTTGGCAAGGCCGACTGTTGTCCAGCCAGCTGTATTTTTTCATGCGCATACGGCTCAAGGCGGACACGGCAGGCCCCGCGATTGCTGGTTCTTCAGCAGTAAGATCGATCCTAGCCGGCCCCGAAGGTATGGCTGTAGGTTTGGAGGGTGTTTGACGGGAACCAAGGGTTGCCGCTGTAGCCTTGGACGCGATGGCGATTGCCGCATGGTATTGAGTCTGGAGGTTGAGATGGGCAGCCTCGAGGTTTCTAAATTTAATACGCCAGCGTTCAGCCTCGGCCGTGGCTTCTTCGATCGCCTTGTTTTTGAAAGTTATTGAGCGTTTTAAAAGGGTACATTCTTCCCTCATCAGTTGCGCTTTTGACTTTCCTGTCACCGGATCAATGCCATTCCACTGCGCAGCAAGCCAGGCATTTTTATCTCGCTCATATCTCATTTTCTGGGCTATTTTGCGGTACTGATTGATTCTGTCACTAACAGTGCTGTCTGCCACTTCAACACATTTCACGTGGGCAACCGGGGTCGAAGGGAGGTAACCAAGGGGTCCGCCCATGCGAGGATACGGCGAAATATATTTCTCTGCATTGCAGGGCGTAGTGAAAACCTGCCTGTACATGGAATTCAGCAGGTCTTGGTTTCCGATACTGTTGTACTTTTTTATGATTTCTGACACCGGTTTTCGTACCCATGGCTTGAAGGAGGCCGGTTCCTCGATAGTGGGAGGGGATTCCGGAGGCGATAAGATTGAGGAGGGAAGAGTATGACGGATAGTGCCAGGCAGAGATAAAGGCTGATGGGCTGGAGCTGGTGGCGGAGCAGTTTTATTTAGAATGTCAAAGTCGTCGTCGAACAAGGAGTCAACTGATGATTCACGTTCTCCTCGAGCAATCTCATCCGCTGTACATTGGACTGGTGATGAAGCCCGGGTATGCTCCACGGTTATATTCGGCGGTACATTCTCTTCCCCACTTGATCTGTCTTGTGAGAAGAGTACAGAGGGATTTGATCCTTGTTGAGAGGGATTTATCAACCCGTCGCCGGTATGAGAGGGAGAAGTAGTATCAATGGTAGATGAAAGGACTCCTTCGGCTGTAAGGGTTTCAAGGGCCTTGGCCGGTGTGCATTGTCTTTTAAAAGTTCCACAGACATCATCGATAACGCTACTCGTAGCATCATCTATGTTATTAAAAGGCCGTTTGAGCATATGCTTACCGTCTCCCAGCGGTCCCACCGTCAAGGTGTCTGCATGCTCGTCTGTTGGCAGTTGACCGCCATGCGTGCTTGTTTTTCCTGCTGCTGGGGTTGTATCGCCGTCCAACGAGGTAGCGTATTGTAGCTGGTTGCCGGTGATTCCATCGTCAACTCCGTTCACAGCCGTAAATCTGTCTAAAGCAGCTTGAAGATCCTCTCCGTCGCCGAAGAAACCCAGGTCCGAGAGGGAATCGAGCCCTTCAATGCCATCCAGCTCACTCGGGAAATCCCACAAATGCTGTAGCTGCGGTTCAAGTAAATGTGTAAGCTCTTGGCCTTGGTTCACGGTTGGCTGAGAGTTGGGAGAGTCCCCTGCCCGCGGCTCATGAGGGCTTTGGACAGGAGAAAAACAGCAAGGCAGTGTCTGTAAAGAAGCATAAATACCTTCTGATGACGAGGACTGCATTGTGTTCGTATCACAGTGCAATCCAACAGTAGTCCTCGACACTGTTGAGCCTGTTAACAAGGACTCATAGAACAGTCAAAGGGACAAACAGCAACCCCTCTCCAAACTAGTAGCCGTATCTCAACAAGTATGTGAGGGACGCAGGTTGCGAGACCAGTCCAAGCGGTCACCCCAGTTATTCTCTGCTGTCCACTTGTTATACTGCTCACTCTAGTTGACTGGAGTTGTTGAAGTTGTTGAAGTTGTTGAAGTTGTTGGAGTTGTTGATGTCGTTGGGAGACTTTCTGATAATTTTCTTGGGTACAGTCACATGACATGACTCGCTCCTGATCGGATTATATATTGTGCGTCGGATTAACTTGAACCTTATTATTTTTACGCAGAAGATATATTCATGCACATAACCCACCATGCCGATCATAAAACGGTGTATTCGTTCAGCATGCGGGCTTAGATAACTTATATCTAGAAGATGTTTCGCTTTTGTATTGTTAATTCCCCAGGAGGTTGGCAATATTAGAACTGGAGGATTGAGGCTTATAAAGTCGGCCGGTAAAAATATTCTCCGATGGTGCCTTGTCTGGCGCTCGGGCCACTCTGCATTACATCGAGATTCTTCCATAAGAAGAAACAAAAAGCTCTTGATAAACAGAAAGCTGTGTAGAAGAGAGAAAATACAGGGGAAATAGGGCTCGCAAGCAAGCACCAAACTTTGATGAGCCTCTGCTAGCTAAAAAGGATATATCCAAAGCTCCACGCTCTGCTCTGCCACCATGAGCGTGATTCTTTGTACCGGTATGTAACTGTCCCGCTTGACCATGACGTATAAACCAACACGGCTAACCGGCCTGTTGCGCTGAATATAGCGGGCTACGACCATATCATCCGGTATGTACAGCGCCTGTTGATATGCCCCAACCCTGAGACCATTTAACTGACTCGTTTCTAGATTCTGGGAGGCCCTGTCAGGCATATGCTCACGCACCATCCAGCATCCAGAGTCCCAGGTCAACCGGCTATGCATCACCCCAGATAAACGATTTGTTGCCGCAGCAGGCCGGCATCGAGTGTACCTTTATGATATCCGATCCTCGAATCCGAACCCGGTCATGAAGTTTGATGGGCATACGAACAATATTACTGGTGTCGCGTTCCACTGTGAAGGCAAGTGGATGGTGACCAGTTCTGAGGACTGCACGGTGAAGGTGTGGGATGTTAGATCGGGAACACTACAGAGGAACTACACGCACAAGGCACCTGTCAATGATGTGGTGATTCATCCTAATCAAGGTGAACTGATCAGCGGAGACGGATCTGGCTTCATTCGAGTGTGGGATCTAGGAGAGAGCAGGTGTACGCATCAACTGATACCCGAGGAAGATGTGTCTGTTGCTAGCGTCAGCGTCGCAAGCGATGGTTCTTTGCTATGTGCTGGAAACAATAAGGTATGTTTGTTCTGGTAATATATCGGTATCAAGACTGCTTACCATATCCGAACTTCAACAGGGAAACGTATACCTTTGGCGCATGCTGCAGAACCAAGATGAAACAAGCATTGTCCCCGTTGCAACTTTCCAAGCACACAAAGACTATCTTACCAGAGTGCTACTCTCTCCCGACGTTAAGCACTTAGCAACCTGTTCAGCTGATCATACGGCCAAAGTCTGGTCTCTGGATCCAGAATATGGCCCGGCAAAAATGGCAGCTGCCGCCAGGGAGAAGGCTGCCAAGGAAGCCAGCCAAAAGGCTCCCACATCTGCTTCCACGCCTGCTTCTGTTACGGCTTCTCCAAATGGACAAGAAGCGAAGGCCACAAAGACACCACCCAAGACTCGAACAGAATGGAACGGGAAGGGGTCGCCAGCCAGCGGTTCAGTTATCGCCTCCGGCGGAAGTGCCGAAATATCTGCCTCAGAACTCACTCAGAATGATAGTTTTGTGTCGGATCAGCCGTTTGTTTCTTTCCTTGACGGACCACCTATGGACCTTACTACGAATACGCTTTTCCTGGAAACTACCTTAGCCAGCCACCAGAGGTGGGTATGGGACTGTGCCTTCTCGGCTGACTCTGCATACCTGGTTACTGTGTCTAGTGATCACTGTGCACGGCTCTGGGAGCTTTCATCCGGACAGATCATCCGGCAGTATCAAGGGCATCATCGCGGCGCAGTCTGTGTTGCCCTGAATGATTACTCCGAGCCGCGGTAGAGGACATTTACGTTGGCGGGTGCTAGGTTGGATACGTTTTTATGCCTGTCTTGCCCTCTCTTTGCACGGTTATGTTTTAGCCTGGCGTTGAATGTATAATGGCGTTGTATTGAAATTCTAAGGATGTTTGGTTTGTGCACGGGGGAGCTAGTTGTATGTATGATTCATGAAATGGAATGGAAATAAATGAGTTCACCTTAGCCCTATCTTGCAACAATAGTAGACTATCTAAAGGCAGCGTTTACATTTTTAAAAGGCCTACCTTGCTAAGCAGTTGCTATTTTACTATGTGTTCATTCATGGACTCCCAAAAGAATCCACCACATTTCCATCAAAGAGGTTTTAAATAAATTTAGTAACACTCCGAGATAGCCAAAATAAGAACATAATATTTTGTTTCCCCGTGATATTCATCTCAAAGAGCCAAACCAGACAATGTTCAACACCAGGTCCATCCCCTTCTCTTCGCACGCAGGATGTTTATACGTCCACATGCCGTCGTGCTTTGTATCCCAGTACGCGCCCGACGCACAGTGCATGCCTCTTCGACCCGCAGATTCAACATTGGTAGAGCCCTCCTTGCTTGAAAAGCCTTGTTGCATGATTGTGCAGGTGACGTTGAATCGGTATGTGGGTTTGGAAGGGTCGAGTTTGCTATCGTCTTCCTTGTCTGCCTCCTCTGAGGATATGGCCGATATGAGTGATCGAAGGACTTGGTTCTGTGTGCGCAGGATTAGTCGGCTGGGTTACTGGGCAGCGGGATAACCAGATAAGACGAACTATTATCTGTGCGCTCCATTCGGAGACCTTTTCGTGCTCATACTGCTCGACGCCCTCCAATGTGGAATCGCATGCCTAGGCGGGTCAGTAACTTATAACTAGACAAAAGAGGCCCGCGCAAGACGGGGAAAAACATGCGTACCTCTGCGGCGATCTTGGAGAGCTGTTCCACAGGAATTGGCTGGAAGTGATAATTGCGAACGGTCAGTAAGGGGCCCGTGGATACTTTTTAGCAGGACACAGGGGTAGCCATACCGAGCTGGAGTGCGGTTCAACTGCCATGGCTCTGGCGGTCCCGCACGAGGTCAAACAAGGGAACTGTATATAAATGAAAACGAACGCAACTGACCGCCGCAGCGATATGCAACTTGTATCACTCTTAAGCGCCCGCAAAGCTGATTGATTATTGATGACTTTCTTCCTCGTCTGCTTGTTTACCTTTGGCAATAACAATGGATTATGTAAGTGCTCTGATTATGTAATGAAGTAATCATATAACCATAACTGTTTATTTATTATATGTTACTAAGCACGTTTAAACATCATGTGACTAGGAGCTCTTCGCCACGTGACAGATTTTTATCCCGAAGTGGCAAGAAGCAAAAGAAGCTTTTCAAGGAAAACGACGAAGAAACCGAAGAAAAAAACCCATCGAAGCGAGATTCAGCCTGCGTTCGACCGTCTTTGCACATCAGGAGCCGAGTGTTCGAGAGATACGTCTAATTGCGTCGACCAGCCCGTTCCCGGTCTTCCTTTGCCGTCACGTCACCATGTCAAGCCAGCCCCTCCTACAATCAGCTCCAGGTAAGTTGCCGATTGGACCTGTCAACCGACACAGAGCTCCCCGCGGAAGAGAGCAGCAAGAATAAGCACAAGGCGATGAATGAAGAATAGAAAGGCTAACCGCTGGGACCAATGATGGTGATGACGATAAACTACAGGCAAGAGAATTGCGCTGCCAACTCGCGTCGAGCCAAAGGTCTTCTTTGCCAACGAACGAACGTTCCTCTCATGGCTCAACTTCACGATCATCCTCGGCGGCCTGGCTATCGGCCTGCTTAACTTTGGCGACCGCGTAGGCCAGATCAGTGCCGCGCTGTTCACGTTCGTGGCCATGGCGTCGATGATATATGCGCTAGTGACGTTTCACTGGCGAGCGCAGAGCATCAGGAGACGCGGACAGAGCGGTTTTGACGACCGATTTGGGCCTACGGTTCTGGCTGTTGCATTGTTGGCCGCAGTCGTGGTCAATTTCGTGCTCAGATTCAAACAGGGTGGTACGAAATAGATGTATTCGGGGAGGGAGGGTTGAAGTGCAACCCGATTCGCTGATTTTGGAATTACGTTGGTTAACTATCTTGTTGGATATGTCTAGTAATCTATGTTTGTGGTGATATGGGTGATCGGATGTTTATATGTATATCTGTACTTGACGAGTCTTGTTCTGTTTTGATTTAGCTTGCGATGCGCGTTCTCAGCGGTATGAAGATTCGTACATAATACAGCTGAACCGTCGAGCAGCTGTCTTTATTATCTTGACGGTCTCTTTATCATCCTCTAATCCTTGATGTCCTTGCATCGATACGAAGCCCTTGCACACTCATTCGCCTTCCGATTGGCCAAGTAAGCGCCATCCAAGATATTTATTCCACACTGCATGAAACCAACATATGTATCTTTTCTGGTCTGGCACTGATTAATGCTGATATACTCACGAGCCACAAATAGAGTCTCTAGTTGCCATATCTTGTCATATAATTACTCCGTGCTCACTTGGCCGGCTTCGAAGCCATCCTCAAACCACCACCCCGTAACAACACTCAACCTCGACATGTATAAAGCAGGCTAATTTTACGCCTTCTATGGCTGGGCTGCATTATGTAATTCCACAATCTTATCATACATGCTCAAAACAGCAGCTCCATCGAAGATACCCTCTGGATCCCGTTCGCTATCCACCGCAACCTTCCACTGCCTCAAGACCGACTTGCATTGCTGTTCAATGTTTTCGCTCTGGTCGTAGGAAGAGTACACATCAAGTAGAAGCACATCGGCACGTATATTTAGAAGGGTCACCATTCGAGAGCCTTCTGAAAGAGTTTCAACATAGCGGAAGGGTAGCCCATAGATGTCTTCAAACCCGACAGCCCATTTGGTGAAAACAGCAGTGCGGCCACCAGGGCTAGTGTCGAGGTGGCGCAAGATCGAGATGTCCATTAGTACAGAACCGCCATGAGCAACTGCATTTCGCTTTGCTCGATACTTTGGGCCGACCTGGTGACCTGACTGCAGTTGGTAAATCGGCGCTCGAAGCTCCATCATGGTGGTCATTGCAGCGCTGTATGCTCTCCGAGACTCGTTTTTTGATTCCGCTAGCTCTTTCATAAAGCCCCTTTTTGATTCCTCTAGCGCTTTTTGAAAATGCGTTTCTGACTCCTCGATCCTTTTGCGCATGCCTCGGAGTTACTGGAGTAACGCAAGATCATCCTCATTTCCACAGATGCGCTGGCTTCGGTCGAAGACTATAGTTGATGTTCGAGGGCTCTCAGAAACACTCTCTTCCGTGTCTCCAGGCATTACTTTTATCTCTTTATATATCAGCCCTTGCCCGTTTTGGTTCTGTCAATAATGTTAGCAGATGGTTTCCGCGGAGTGGGGAGTTATTTTTGAACAAACCTGCTTCTGTTTCTGCTGCTAGTTATGGGAGCTGCTGGCTTCAGCCCTTCAGGTCGATGACGTTTTCTGCGCCTCTCGCCATTCTCTCCTGAGACCGTTTCATGATTGCTAATCACTGTGTAAGCACATCTGCATATTTATTGAGAAGGGCCATTATTTGACAGTTGATGGTCTTTAGAAAGAGTTTCGACATAGGGGAAGGGTATCCTGCGGATATCATCAAACCCAGCCGCCCATTTAGTGAAAACAGCAGTGCGATATGCCTACAAGTACAGTATCGCTACAACGTCTACATTTGTTTGCTGCTGTGTCAAAACGACTGGGCCAAAATAGTAAGCCCACACCAGTCACTAGGTTGAAGCTGTATCTTTGGCTTCCTGTTAACTAGTGGATATGCGGGTTTCTGCCCTTCTGGTCGATGGCCTTTTTATGGCACCAGTAGATGCAGTAAAGAGACCGGATATTGGAGGTGGACAGGTAAAGATAAAGAGAAGGAAAGAAGAAGAAGAAGAAGGAGAAGAAGAAGAGAGGAACACTGGCAGTTCCGACTGGCTTATAAGTTCGATGACTTCCATGAGTGAAAGGCTTTCGCAGTGAAGATGTGAAGATGATAACTAGGAAAGATAAGCTGATTCGAGCGGATGAGCTTAAGGAGTGACTATGGCGGCTCTACAGAGAGTCCCGGTGGTGACTACATTACTTCTTAAGGCCTTGGACCGGCAATAACTAAGTACTCTTACTACGGTTAAGAAAGTATCTAGAAACTCCCGTAATACTCCTTTGGCACTTGTTCGGAGGAGCACTGTAACCTCGCTGTTTCCCCAACACGAGGGCCAGGCGCCAGCGATTGGTCTGACAGATGGATTACCTAATATGTATGTATGTATACATAACTATACGTGGAGTCCAGCGGCCCGTCCCGAGGGCGGGGCATCTGTTGCAACTCAATACTTAAGAAATCAGATGCGATTGACCTGCAAAAAACTAGATAGATCATTGACCGTGTAGTCAAGTTTCTTGACGGCCGTCAAACATGAAGATTCGCAAGTACATTGCCAGCTTACTAAACTCCAAGCAACCGGTGCCTGAAACAAAATCTCAAGAAGAGCAGAAAATTTTTCCCGATGGACTCAAAGTTCTCCACAAATGCGATGACGCCCTGGTTGATATCTGCTTTGTCCACGGCCTGGCTGGTGATCGAGAAAGGACCTGGACCGCAGACGGAGAGACTTATTCCTAGCCCCAAGCATTTCTACCTTCAAGACTGGAAAGGGCTCGGATCCTCACCTATGGCTATGATGCACACGTTGTACGGCTGTCCGTTGCATCTACTAATCGCTTGATCGATCACGCCACAAACCTCCTCCACGATCTAGCCGATGACAGGGCGAGCTCTAAAGCCTCTTCTCGCCCAGTGATCTTTGTTGCCCACAGCATCGGTGGCATAGTTTGCAAAAGATCTCTTCTGCTCTCACGTCACAACCGCGATCCCCACATACGAACTATATTCGACTCCACGAAAGGCATCATCTTTATGGGTACTCCCCATACGGGTACCTGGATGGCCGACTGGGCAAAAATTCCTGCAGATGCTTTAGGGATTGTTAAATCTACAAACAAATCACTTCTAGAAATCCTGCAGACCGATAGTCAACTCCTCGAGAACATACAGGCTGACTTCCTATTCATGGTTGGTGATTTACCAGATGATCGACAGTTTCGAGTCGCCTGCTTCTTTGAGGAGCTTCCGCTGTCGACCTTTGGGCTAGTAGTCACGAAATCGTCGGCTACATTCGCTGGCTACAACCCTATCAGCATTCATGCCAACCATCACGATATGGTGAAATTTAAGTCTACGGAAGAAAACGGGTTCAAGAGAGTGCTTGGACAGTTGACAAGGTGGATTGACGAGATTAGGCTCACACACCAAGGTGAAATTTTGCAGGATTCTAGAGGCATGTAAGATAGCCCCGAAGGGGAAGTCGAATATAAATTAACTACTTTTTAGCCTCTGAACCATTCTCCACGATTCCTTTTTCACGAGACGAAAATTTTGTTGGTCGAGGAACTGTCATGGCCGAGATAGAGAGTATATTTGAAAAGGCGGCTCCGACACACCATACAAGAGTTGCACTTGTAGGTATAGGTGGTATAGGGTAAGTTTGACGTCACATCCCTCTGGATATAGAAGGTTGATCTAAATTATCGAAGAAAGTCCCAGATTGCCATTGAGTATGCTCACAGAATGCAAGAAAGAGATCCAAATCTATCAGTACACTGGGTCTATGCAAGTAACACCGCTAGATTTGAACAGGCGTACCGAGAACTTGCCGACAGACTTGACCTTCCCGGTCGACTTGACCCCACAGCCGACATATTTCAGGTGGTTTTTCGGTGGCTCTCCGATGCTAAGAATGGCAAGTGGCTGATAGTTTTGGACAATGCTGATGATGACGATATTTTCTTTCAAACTGCTGGAAAACGCAACTTATTGACTCTATCCCCAAGAGCACAAATTGCTCCGTTATCATCACGTCGCGCAATCGACAGCAGCGAGGAATATCACCGGCACGCTCAATAATATCGTCCATATTGACGTAATGGATGAACATGACGCCTTAGATCTCCTTAAAACAAGGATTGCCCCCGACGATGATACCATAAACGACGCAAAAACACTGATTAGGGTTCTTGAATGTATCCCTCTTGCGATATCCCATGCTGGCTCGTATATCCAAATGAGACCTAGGATAACTATCTCAACCTACCTTACAATGCTCCAAGAGAGTGAGGCGAATCTGGTACACATTCTCAATGATATGGATCTAAGAGACTTCAGGAGAGACCAAAGCTCTCACCACGCGACCATGGCAACCTGGCAAATTTCCTTTGAGCAAATCCGAACATCTAAGCCTGAGGCATCTGATATGTTTGCATTGATGAGCATGTTTGATCGACAGGGAATTCCAGAACACCTACTCCGGAGAGACATGAGTCGACTGCAGTTCGAGGATGCAGTGACTCCGCTATTAAGCTTTTCTCTCATCAAAGAAGAAAAGGGCCATCGGTCATTCGAGATCCATCGTCTGGTACAGGTTTCAATACGAGGATGGTTAGAGTCGAAAAGGCAGCTACAAGGGTGGGAAAGAAAAGCAGCTGAAGCACTGGCTACGGTATTTCCAACCGGGGAATATGAAACGTGGTCGGACTGCCAGGTATTACTCCCGCATGCTAAAGTGGTCATGAATTATATCTCCAAGAATGAAGGAGACTTGTCGAGTTGGGCAAAACTTGGCCACAAGGTAGGATTGTATTTGTCTCTCAAGGGCGAATATACTGACGCGGAGATAATGAATCAACATGCATTAAGAGAATGCGAGAAGACACTAGGGCCAGAGCCTCCAAATACACTTGGTAGTGCTAATAATCTTGGCTTCGTCCTTCAGCAGCAGGGGAAATATAAAGAGGCAGAGGCTATGTATCAACGGGCAGTAAATGGGGCAGAAGAGGTACTAGGGCCAAGCCATCATGATACACTTCTTAGTACTAATAATCTTGGCGCTATCCTTCAGCAACAGGGGAAGGATAAGGAGGCAGAGGCACTATACCAACAGGTATTAAGGGAGAGAGAGAAGAGACTAGGGCCAGATCATCTAGACACACTTCTTAGCGTTACTAGTGTTGGCACTACCCTTTGCCAGCAGGGGAAGTATAAGGAGGCAGAGGCCATGTATCAACGAGCATTGAGGGGGAGAGAGAAGATACTAGGGCCAGACCATCCAAATACACTTAACAGTTTCAGCAATCTTGGCTTAGTCCTTCAGGATCAGGGGAAGTATAAGGAGGCAGAGGAAACGTATAGATGGGTATTAAAAGAAAGAGAAAAGGTGCTAGGGCTGGACCATCCAGATACACTTGCTACTATCAACAATCTTGGCTCAGTCCTTAGGGATCAGGGGAAGTATAAAGAAGCAGAGGCAATGTATCGACTGGCGGGTACTCAAATTCATCCAATAGAGTAGCCAGTGCTTATATATAGTTATATCCAGTAATATCCATCAGATACCACTGTGGTCGTGTTTTGCGCAACACTGGAATTTTCGAGTTATCCTGAGGGTTCAACGACTCCCCAGAGAGCAGATTGGTTGAATTTTCCAGGAACTACGAACTAGTGTAGTCAGAATTTTCGACCGTGGTCCTTGGTCGCAGATTCAAAGGGTATCAATAGAGGGTATCACTTATTATCAATGGTGCTTTGATTAAAGTCATGCAATAATAGGTGTGGCTAACGCTTATTAGAAAAACCTAAGCGTTATACATGACTGAATGCAAAGCGAAAGGAGAGTTTCGAACGCTGATGCCCAGGAACAGTGGCAACAAGAAACCTAAAGGCATATAAATATCAATTGAGACCATCTCAGCTCTTGGAAAAGATTCCTTTGCCGGTCGAATGTTTGGCAAGAACCACCAGAATAGTCGCCAGAAAATTCACTGATCCACTGAAGTACATCGGTCAAATAATTGCATAACTGCTCCGTCTTGGGGCGAGAACATTGCTCGCAGGGCGGATTCCGGTCGCATCTGCAAGATATCAATGAACAATTAGTTAGGCGCAAGAGATTGGAGGTGGTTGGGACGGCTAAGATCCTTGTCCATTCTTGAAGCTCTTTGCACATGATACCTGATTCCCCCAAATGTTCATCTACTTCTCTTTCTTCTTCAGCCGCTTATCGACATTTGAGAAGCAGTGGGATTGCTATTTGGTGCAGCAGTAAGTAAAGGAGACACAGTACTTCCATCGCTGAGCATTCCAATTGGAAAAGAGAGTAACGATAAATAAGCCCGATGCCCGCCGGACATCACGGACATGACCCGGGGATAGTACTGAATATCCCCGGTGAGAACAATCTCTCCTGAGCCTTTGCTGAATTTAGGTGAGTATATAGTATTGGCCTTCAAGTGCTTTTTCTTTCTTTTATCGTGTCTTCGTTTGTCCATTTTGGTGCTTATTCAGTTTAATATTCCACGAATCTAATCTAAATAGCGATGTTGCTAGAGTCGCTGGAGTTCTATGGCAAGGGTTCACGGGCTATGCTAAGCATAGCTTTAGCCCGTGTGTACCAGCAGATACAAGCCATCGGGCATCGATGGTCATACCAAGATACCCCATCACCGAAGAATGTGGTAGTACTCGGTGGCTCCTATGCCGGCATCCACCTTGCCCAGCGACTGACAGAGACGTTGCCGACAGGCTACCGGGCAGTCTTGATCGAGAGGAACTCGCACTTCAACCATCTTTATGTGTTCCCGCGGTTTGGCGTGGTGCCGGGAATGGAGCGGTCTGCTTTCATTCCGTATACCGGGATTGCTAGATATGCACCAGCTGGCATCTTCCAACACGTCCAAGACTCCGCAACGAGCGTTACTCCAAACAAGGTCGAACTCGCGTCTGGCAAGAGCATTGAATATGAGTATCTTGCTATTGCAACGGGCTCATGGCAGCCTCCACCCGCAAAGATGAGATCTAACGACAAAGAGGGCGCATGTGCGGAGATGTGTCTGTCTCAGAAACAAGTTCAGAATGCCAAAAAAATCGCAGTGATAGGAGGAGGTCCTGTGGGAGTCCAAGTCGCAACCGATATCAAGAGCTTCTTTCCAGCCAAGGATGTGACTCTGATCCATTCGCGGCACCAACTCTTGCCAAACTTTGGTCCGCGGTTGCATGGGCATATCCTGCAGATTCTTAGCCGGTTAAATGTCAAGACGATATTGGGCGAACGACCGCAGAGCGCAAGTAACCAGGAGTCGTCACTACAGTTTAAGAATGGCCATAAAGAGATATATGATTTGGTGGTAGGTAACTCCGTTAGTTCTGGAGATTTTGTCCACTGCCCTCTTCTGCATTTTTATGTATCGTACCTTGGACTGTAGGGATCCCCTTGCTGAACTTCATATTCCAGATCCGATGCACGGGACAACGCCCAAACTCGAGCATCCTCTCCAGACATTTCCCCTCCGCAATAAGCAAGGAAACCGGCCAGATCCTGGTGCACCCAACTCTCCAGGTCAACGTCAACGGCAGTACTGGAATGGAAAACAAACACATCTTTGCGCTGGGAGACGTCGCCAAAACCGATGGCCCCAGGATGGGCCGGGCTTGTCAATCTCAGGCAGAAATAGTCACGTCCAACATCCTGGCACTGATCAACAACAAGCAGGGCCAGCTTGTTACATATCGGCCATCCATCGTTGATAGAGTTATCAAGTTAACGCTGGGCAAGGTGAGAGCAGCCATAACTCCCCATAGTGCGCGCATAAGTAGCTAACCAGCCCTTTGGTTGCTCCGGTTAGGACGACTACGCCTGGTACGTGACAGACGACAGTGGCCGCGAGCTCATGGTGAAGGGCAGAGGTGGTGGTGTCGACCTCAGCGTCGGTCAAGCCTGGAGCAAGCTCGGGGTCAGCCAGAAGGAAAGCACCGCGTAACACGCGGCCTGCTGAGTTGTAACAGAGAGGAAGAGATGCCCTGAAGAAGCTCTAACACGATATCATGGCAGTTACTCCGTCTATACTTTGTTATCCATGGATGTCTCTATGTAGGATAATAAAAAGAAAAAGAAATAAAAAGTTAAGAAAGTAACACCGCTTAGTCATCAGCCCCTTGTGTTATGTAATCCGACGCCGTCACTTTTCTTCTTTTCTTCTTTTCTTCTGCCTCGATGACTTCAACTTGCGTCGGCCGCGACAACAACAACCTGCGCCTGCATCTACCCGGCTGCGGCCACGATTGAAACGACCGCGCATCTACGAAGTACCCTCCCGCCTCACCGTCGCCCTGTGTTGAGGTGGCCGTGTTAAGCTAGCTCCTCAACTAGTTAGTTAGCTTGCTGCATCATCTTCTCCCCCTGGCCAAGCCAAAACGTCACCAGCCCGACCGACCGAGAGACCCAAAGATAAGTCAACCTCCAACCTCAAAAACCCATCAGCCGGCGCGCCCTTCCAGACCACCACCAGCGCTTCCCTGCCGCGCCTATCAGGGCCCCGAGTACAGCGCCGTGACTCTATCCGCGACCATCTCTCGTCTCTGGTCGGCCTCAGAAGTGTCTGGACACGTCGCCGCCGAGGAAGCGTCGCCCAGCTGGTACCTGAAACAGCCCGTTTTTCCGCGCAAACACCGGCTATACTTATTATAAACTCATCTACAGCTCGGTCGTCCTGGTGAAGACAGATCGCGGTGCGCAAGAGGAAGACGCCCGCCGACAAGAGACCGTCTCCGATCGCCCTGGTGGCCACCCCTGCAAGGCAGCCTGGCAGTGGCATCATAGCCATTGATACATCTGATACTACTTGCCGGGGAACTCGACGATACACAGCTGCTCTCTCTGCAAGGCGTTTTCATATGGCATGTTCCGTCTGCTACCCTGGTCTTCCATTGCTGGGGTTAAACAGATAACGGGTGCCGTGCAGGAACAGACAGCCACGGAGATGGCGGTGCGAGAACAGAGCCGGCAGTCATCACAGCTGCTGTCGCAGTCACAGTCGCAGACGCTGAAGCGGAAAAGGTCGGATTCTGCTGGATCAGAAGTGACTACGGGAAACGCCGTCAGCGTCCCCAAAATAGATACCTTGCATAAGACCACAACGCTTACAGACAGCGACAGCAAAGCGCATCAAGGAGACACAGTGGATTCCGACGTAGATCGGGAACGCGATTCAGCTGCCAGCAAATCAAAAAGGGTCGATATACCCAAGTTAAATGATCTACGGCAGCCGATAGCAGCGCGGACCATGGATACCGAAGAGCTGCGCCAGACCTTGGAGTCACAGCTTAGCCTGGAGGTGCTGCTCAAGCACGATGAACTCCGGATGATAGAGCAGGAAATGGCCAAGTGCCAGGTTGCGCTGGAGCAGCTGCGTCGTTGCGGCGAGATTCCGTACCCTGGATCTGGCCTGACCGGACCTCTGGCGGCCGTCAGCAACGGTACCGGGCCGTCCGTGATGCCGGCGCGCAGCAGTCCTCGTCCGCCTACCTCGCCTTCTCCCTGGGGTACCAATGACGGAGCATATACCCGCCATTACGCACGATGGCTTCTCCCCGATCCACGATTCGATGGTGGAGAGGTCGAGATGGTGACGTTACCGTCCGGAGCCGGTAAGAGTCCTGTTGTAGACGGACGAACAACTCGCGCATCATGGGCTGATGCAACCACGGCTTCTTCCCGTTCTCATCGTGGCACTGCTGGTGCGAAACTACAGGCTCTTTCAAGCGGGTACCCTCCGCCAAAGGACAAGGCCGGTCCGATGATCATAAAACGCAAGAGTGATGGCCAGTTCGTCAAGCTTGTGTGTCTTGACTGTAGACGTGATAACTTCTCCAGCACGCAGGGATTTATAAACCACTGCCGAATAGCGCATAACCGCAGTTTTGCCAGCCATGACGCTGCTGCTGCTGCTTCCGGAGAGCCTGTTGAAGTGGATGAGGCTGGCACCGTTGTGGGCGGGAACAGCGAACCGCCTGCTGCTGGCCCTGCCGGTTATGTCCATCCGTTGATTCGGTCTGCCCTGCTCACTGACCCAGCAAAGGGGGCAAAACACAGCAACCAACAGACCAAGGCCAGCGCCAACGCTGCTGCTCCTAAATCCGTCTCTGCTTCACCCCGGCTACAGCCACAATCAAGTACTCCCAGACGAGGCCCTAAAAAGCCAGATGCCTCTCCCGCTTCCGCTTTCAAGGCATCGCCACAGACGCCTCACCTGTCTTCCCTCATGCTCTGGAAGGGCTTTGACATCGACCTGTCTCACGTTGTGAACGATGCTCTCACCAAACCAGACGTCGAGATGTTCCTCTCCGATGAAAACTCGGACAGCGAAGCAGAGGAAAATGCCTCACATGAGCAGACAAGTTCCAAGCTAAGCATTCAGAATAACCGACTACCTGGCCGAACTGTGTATGCATCTTCCCAGCCTCAACGGCCTGGCAGCCGCAAGGGAATGGACAAACGAAGCGTCCCCACGCGTCGCTCCCCAGGCCCATTGAACACATCGACATCGACATCTCCGGTCCTTCCCCTATCTTCAGGAACAGCAGCGAGACGGCATCCACAGGCAGATCAAGACATCGACATGACAGACTCCAACTCCCCAAACCTCAGCCCTAACACCGTCGAGTCCAACCAGGCCCCTAGCCTCGTAAGTGACGACGGCGAGTATGAAGCTCCGTCTGAATCCGAGAGTCCGAGCCCCAGCTCCTCTAGCTCCGAGGACGAAGGGAGTAAATTCGATGACGTGAAGGTTCAAGACGGAGATGACCCCAGTGCTGACTCGAATGCTTCGAATTCTACCACCGGGCACATCTCGGGTCCTGCGAAGCACCATACCAGACCACCCATACCTACCACGCCAACTAGACGGCATACAGTGGGCAGGAAAGACGACTTGAAAAATAAAAACGCAAAGAGGCATCGATAGATACGCTTCTAAACTGAACAGAGCATGTATACTCACATGTCGCCCCAAGATCCCCCTTTTTTTCCTCTATTCAATTTCATATTCCTTCTATTAGAGTGTTTGACCAAAGCATTGCATGCTTCGCTTATGACTGCCTTAACGACCTTGCCTGTTTCTTCTCCTGTTTCTTATATCTGCTTTCTCCACCGTATGATTGTTATTCGGAGTAGCGAAATTCTTGAACTTCTTCTTAATTTGGGCACGTCCGACGGGTTGGCTGTTTTCTACTTCGTCTTTATACAACTTCTTAATATTCTCTACCTCCTTGGGATGTCCATGGCTCTGCTCACTACCTTACTTTTCCTCCTCCTCCTTCTTTTATGTGGATATATTTAAATACAGAAGAGATTGCCTTTATCCTTCCCATCGTCTACCAGTTCATCCTCCCTCCTGTTCCTTTCCCGTAGCTCTTTGTATGTAACCGACTCGACGTCGCAACGGCCAAAACTAGCTCACGTGATGATAGCTCGAAGGTGACGTTTTGATAAGACGAAGTAGAAGACGCCAAAGACAAGAGCCAGATACAACAAACATCACCAGCGAGAGGAGCCTGGATAATGGGATACTGACACAGCCATTGATGATACACGATGACATCCCGCCTCGTCCTGGTCATAGGTGACCTCTTCATCCCCGACAGAGCACCAGTAAGCAGCTCCATCGAAGCCTGGCGCAGCTACATAATGACAATAGCAATACTGACATATCTATTTCACCTTCCTGCTGCCGACAGGATATTCCAGCAAAGGTAGCACACCAATTCATTCTCCCTCTCTGTCTATCCAGTTCCCAGCAGCTAACACATTGTATAGTTCAAAAAACTCCTCACACCCGGCAAGATAGGCCAGATCCTATGTCTAGGCAACCTCACAGATCGCGACACATATGAATTCCTCCGCCAGATAGCGCCCGACCTCCAAGTTGTCAAGGGCGACTTTGACGTCGATGCTCCCAACCTCCCTCTAGCCAAGGTCGTTACGCACGGCAGTCTACGCATAGGCTTCACGCATGGCCATACGATTATCCCGCAGGGTGATTCCGAGGCGTTGCTGATCGCAGCTAGACAGATGGACGTCGACATATTGTTGTGGGGAGGCACGCATAAATTCGAAGCATACGAGATGGAGGGAAGGTATTTCGTTAATCCTGGGAGTGCGACGGGGGCGTTTACCACCTCCAGCGTGTCAAAGGGCGAGGAGCCAACTCCGAGTTTCTGCTTGATGGATGTAAGTATTCTTCTCTACCGCTAGTCTTCTTGTAGTGCATGCGATTGATTGCTGATTGTTCGGTGCAGGTGCAAGGGGATGTACTTGTGCTATATGTCTACCAGATACGGGTGGACGAGCAAGGGGCTGAGAATGTGGTGGTGGAGAAGGTGTCTTTCCGAAAACAGACCTCCCAGCCGGCTTAACGTTCTTTTCAATTGATATCCTTGGGGGTCATCACGGGAAGAAACGGCAGTTAAAAGCCTTCAAATCGTAGACATTTGACGAGCAAATCATAATATACAGATATATAAGTCAACCCACCAGCAAACCCGGCAGCGGTGTCAAGTCAGGAGACGTCTAGAGTCAATTACCGTAAAAATACAAGCCCACCACGCCATGAAGCAGAACCAACGAGCAAGCGCATAAAAACCCAAAAGAGAGGCTGCTCAGCGTCGGCGGCCTTTCACTTCGTTGAATAACCTCTTCACCTCCTTCTCCAGCGCTGCTTCTCCGTCGGGTCTGTATCTCGTCACCTTCGCCACGTTCTTCGCTGTGATTTCATTCATCTCTTCTTCTCCATTGACTCGCTGGTGAGCAAGCGTTTTAGCAGTCATGGCAAACCGCATGTCTCGCTTGCCGTCTACCAGCTCAAGAATGGCGGAGGGGGCCTGATCTGACTTCTCGGGTTCGATGCGCAGTACTCGGGTGTAGCCGCCTGGTCGGTCCATGTAGCGTTCTCGAAGAGGTCCAAAGAGCTTTGGCAGCATTTTATGAGGTGCCTATCAGACGTTAGCTTTCTTTTCCGGCGGATAGGTATGGATGGGTATAGGCCTGTTCAGCAGCCATAGAATGGGCTTTAATAAGACGTACGAAGAAATAGGTCGTTGCTCTGTTCCGGCTGGCCTCTGTGTTCTTCTTTCCAAGTGTAATCAGCTTCTCCGCCAGTCTCTGGGCCTCCTTTGCCTTGGGCCATGTCGTCGTTATCGATTCATGTGTGAAGAGAGAGGTGACTAGATTTCGGAGCAGGGCCCGTCGATGTGAGGATTTTCGCCCCAAGTGACGATATTTCATCGCACCGCCAGCCATTGTGAAGGTTGTGTGTCGTTGGCAGCGAGTTCGGCAGCGTCGGTGGTTTAATTGGTGGTTATAAAGTCGATTTGGTTGCTGCTTTGAAGATTTGATGAAGCTCGAGAAGATCAAAAATTGTTAGCACAGAAAAAGTCTTGGCGGGATCTTTTGTTCTTCAGCGACCAAGGTAAATATTTATGAGACTCGCGACGAGACGACGAAAAACATATGCACTCGAAGAGATTAATTTAAGAAAAGGATGATGTGAAGGAGCTACTGGTGGCTCTCCGCTGATTGCTGATATCAAGATGGGTTTCATTGCTGGCTTTGTACGTTATGTTACAGCTACATGTTCACTACAACTTGTACTAACCAGTATCACAGGTCGGTGGACTCGCGCTCAGCTACGCTGTCATCCAACTGACAGTGCTGAAACAGCTTTCCGACAGACAGCGGCAGCAGGATCTTCTCCGGGAGCAAATTGACGCTCTGAATAACATGTCCATGCCAGCCACGATGCGCTACAGTGTTCGAGACGAGGTGGACTATGCTGCGGCACTTGCAAGACGAGGCTACGGACCGCCCCAGGGACCTACGGTGGTTGATACATGGAAGATGAGATGGAACGAAGAAGTCAAATCGATGGCACAGAGCATCCACGAGTTCAGCTGGGAGGATTTAAGAGAGATGTTCAGAAAGACGCGTGGAGGATAGAGTTGATTAAGGTTGATGCCTCATATTGAGTGTATTGAATAAGTATACCATGGGGCAAGGGACCCAAGATATCCGTCTATGGTGATACCTCTACCCGGCCAATGCAGATTATGGAGCATGTCAGTCATCAGCAGGTGCAGGCGCTCTCTGCTCAGCTGTTGAGCCAACTGGCGGCTGTCTGCTCCCGCTCTCAGCCCAGACCTCCTTGCTCTTGTCCGCAACCTCTCGCATCGTCTCAGCCACGTCTTCCAGCTTTGCAACAACGTCCAGCACACCATTGCTGACTCGCTCAAAGTACCGGTCGTTGGCTTCTCTCCGCTTCCGGGCGTGCGTGATATCCTTCTCTGTCTTTTCGTCCAGAACTTCCCGAGGTTTATTCTGCTCTATCTCCATCACGGCTGTGTTCGCACCAGACGAGCTATTATTATTATTATTGTGATTATTATTTCCGCTGTTGCCGCTGCTGTTGTTGCTGCTGTTGCCATTATTGCTGTTATTAGGCACTTCCTCTCCCTCCGTTCTGCCCCATGCCTGAGCCAGCGCAAGCTGCTTGGCCCGTAGACTCTCCACGAGGTCTGGATGATATGTGCCAAACATGCGGCTACCTCCAGTGGCTGCGAGCTCTACCTCGGCGAGAGCACTCTGCATCTGGTCCCAGAGGGCGTCTGCTCCCTCCGCCGGTCGAGGGGGGGCTGCATCCTGTTGGGTGCGCGGGTGGGTCAGGTTCAGGTCTCGGACGCTCTGGATATCATGGATATCGTGTATATCGTGGAGGTCGCGGATGCTCTTCAGGATGGAGGTGTGAGTCGAAGACGACTGGGGCGCTGTGCCTGTAGCTGTTCCTGGGCCCGTCCTGGCGTTGGAGAGAGACGCCCGGGATGCGTTCTGGGACGGCGTCTGGATGACTATCCTCCTCCCTTGCCTCGAAGAAGAGCCACTTTGCGACATCTTCCAAAGCTATCTCACCCTTTCATCTCTTCACCTTTGTCTTCATCCTCAATCCTCGCTTGGTATCTCGTCGTTCTGTCTTTCTCTTTCTCGTCTTTTGCTTCTCTTTTTGCGCGTTGAAGTCGAGATCTGCTTATCTAATAAATTCTTCATTCATGACTCAGTCCTTAGTCAGAGAGTTCATTACTAATAACTTTATTACGGAATAACTTTCAGCCGCTTCGCTTACCAAACGCACTTTAAGCGAACACCAAAAAAACCACCAAAACTTCATTTTTGGCGGAGACGAAAAGACGTTTCGACACCAACGACACTCGACACAACGCAACGAAGCTACAGACAACAGCTCGTTGGTCTTTTCATCCCCGACAACATCCTATCGTATGTGGAAGCTTTGAACCTCTCCTGATATCAAGCATAGCGAACCCCCCTCGGCTTACAATTTACACGTCCAGCGAAGTTATAGATACTTAATACGTCGAGATGGGAAAAGGCAAGCCGCGTGGTCTTAACGCCGCCCGCAAGCTGCGAAACCATCGCCGTGATGGTCGCTGGGCCGATCTGCATTACAAGAAGCGTCTTCTCGGAACCGCCTTCAAGTCCTCTCCCTTCGGTGGATCGTCACACGCCAAAGGAATTGTCATAGAAAAAGTTGGTGTTGAGGCCAAGCAGCCCAACTCTGCTATTCGAAAGTGTGTCAAGGTCCAGCTTGTCAAGAACGGAAAGAAAGTCACTGCTTTCGGTACGTCGACCTTTTCATTCAATTACGCGTTGCCTGGTTTATATTTGGGCGAGGGGTGGGAAAAGATCGAGAGAGGAGAGGGAGGGGTGAAATGATATGGCTGCTATGGGATGTTGAGCGAGCATGGCTAATAACAATGGCTTTTCTAGTTCCCAATGACGGTTGCTTGAACTTCGTTGACGAGAACGACGAGGTCCTGCTTGCTGGTTTCGGTCGTAAGGGCAAGGCCAAGGGTGATATTCCCGGTGTTCGATTCAAGGTCGTCAAGGTCTCTGGTGTCGGTCTGTCCGCTCTGTGGAAGGAGAAGAAGGAGAAGCCACGATCCTAAACGGAGTTTCGGTTTTTTGGTCGTGGTCGCGGGCGAGATGGCGTGGTTGTTTACGTGAGGATACACAGCCTGGTTTGGGGTCAATGGCTATGGCTACAGCTATGGATCCGGAACAAATACAGACGGGCTGCTAATTGCTACGAATTCTACGGTTATGTGAAGGATGAAACTCCCCCTGCTGGGCATACGATACAATTGCTTTTGACAGAGACCGAGATTTCCTTGATCACAGTAAATGTGGAATCCTTGTGCATTCGCTCGATTTAAATCAGTAGCTCAGGTGCAAGTCAACAAAAATTCCATTTTCTCTTCAACATTCGTCTGTCCCATATCTCATGCATCATGTCATGTTTCGTCTTAATATGGGTCTCATCTCATGGGGATAATTCATGATTTAAAAAGTGATGTCCTCGGTCCGGTAGTGGTCTGATACAATGCGGTAGAGGTATGAAGGAGCATGAGCACCCCTAACAACAAGTTAGCAATGATCATCACTATGAACAAAAAACAAATGTACGATTGATACTCACACGTTGGTGATGTAGAGGTCAACAAGTTCGGGCGGCACATAGTCGTATAACGGGTTCATCACGTCGACCTTCTCAGCAATGTCGCTATGCATATAATCTGCAACCGCACTGGCGTCTCCATACTCGATAAGAGCCTCATAGTCGAACGGATAGACCGGGCTGAGCTTGTATATTCCACTAACCACGACCACAGGCGTCTTGTGGACCTTGGCGGCACTAGCAACGACTCGAGATCCAGCTGCGGCTACGAGGCCACCGTTGGCAAGGACAGAGTGGGTGCCCAAGATGACTTTGTTGACTCGAGACATGAGTGCAAACACGGCCGAGTCAGGGATGAGAATGACTGTGATCCCCAGTGCAATCAGAGGCTTCTGGAACGAGTCCGTAGCCAGGCCTTCTTCGTCGCCCGTCAGCGTTCCGGTGACAGCAGCATGGCTGTCCTTGTGGCTGTTGGGGTATGATTCAACATGTATGACGGTAAACTTGCGGCGCGCAGCAGCCTTGAGCAGGAACTTCTGGACAGAGACAGACGATTCGTAGGTGAGGATGATTTCATTAGAATGGATGTGTTCGAGTGCGTAGGCAGCGATTTGATCGTCTACTTGGTGCAGCTCGTCCACGATCTCAGTTATACCGTCGAGGACTTCGGCTTTAAAGTCCTTTATCCCGTTGCCGTTCGGGTCATCCTCTTCTTCGGAGGGCATCTCTGATTCTGGCTCTGGTACGATGGGGGATGATGATTCAAGCTCCGGGGCCTCTTCAGGCTCAGGCTCGGAAAGTAGATTGAACATGGATATCACAGGAGTACTCATCACACCAGAAAAGGACGGATGTGTCATGAGTGCTGGACGGGATAGATACCGTCCATTCGCATCAAAGGGGGACAGGCCTTTGATCTCCTGGTTATTGCCTCCTCGTCTCCGGGACTGCGGTGCATGCCGTGAGCGTGTACCCGTGTGCGCAGTTCCTGACTGCTGCTGCTGCTGCTGATGTTGCTGCTGCTGGCGTGGCCGGTTTTTCAAGCTCAGGCCTATGAACCGTTCATTCTCTGACTCGTCTCTGATCAAACCAAGCACCCGCCGGACGATATTCCCCACGACCATCTCCCTGGGCTGAGCAGCTACAATGAGCCTGCCAACCTGCTGGACTCGCTCGATCAGATGCTCTGGCGAGTATACGCGGTATGTAGAGACTACTCGCATGAGCAGGTAGACTGTAGCAACCGCGCATGAGTGTGACTGGCGTATTTGTCTCCGTTTAAGCAAGCTATATTCTTCTTGTTAGCATAGTTATATCAAATTTTGTTTATATTCAATTTCAAAGGGAACGAGAGGTACATACGATATGAGTGTTTCTATGGACGATTCAATCGAGTTGACCTTGAGATTGCGCAGAAAGGTCGAGAGCCCTGGAGACAGGGACACCGCCATAGACGCCATCTTATATCTTCTATCTATAATATAGCCTCTATTCCGAACTGGTTCCTTCTTTTGGGTGGTTGTAGAGGCTGCGCAGCTTGTTCAATATATTTATATGTATCTAGACGCGCTGTCAGTAAATGAGTCAGATAACACTCAAGGGACCAATTCTGCACTCCTACAGCAGCAACTCACCAGTTTAACCTGTCCAGGACCTGCAGCTGACAGTCTTGTCTGTATAATCACAGCAGAATCACAGCCAGTCGCAAGTTTTCTGCTTTGCCCGCGGGAAGGAAAATCGCAAGAAGCGAGAGAGAAAGCTGATTTCCTATCTGGGACTTGGCAGGCTTTTTTTATCATCACGTGAAGTGGGATTTCAATTCACATACAAATATAAAGAACTAGAGGTAGACATTGAATATTGATAGTGATTAGACAGCCATAGATAGTGACGGAGATGATAGATTGTGAGAGAAGAAGAAGAAGATAAAGGGAAAAGTAAAAAGAGGATGAGATTCGCTTGCTTGACTGTTTTAGTCTAAAAGCTGCCTGGCCAGATGGATGACGTCCACTTCATGAGAATAGCATGTTAAATAGAGATATCATGAAAAGAACAAGGAGAAGAGAAAAGGCCAAATAGAAAAGAATGATGAAGAAGAAGACAAAATGATCCATATCCCAGTCAGATAGATGCCTCAGCTTAAGCCCTAATGACTCGCTAACAGGAAGAAACAATGAGAACTTCCACCAACAGGCGGTCAACCATGTAACCAACCGACCCCCTTATTTTTGCGTTGATTTATCCCTTTTTTTTGTATGTCTTTGTTTTGATTTTTGATCAAGGGTGCGTGTGTGTGTGATCAGGACTGCGAGGAGTGCTGAGCCCAGTGACCGGCAAGGGCTTCGGGAGGGATCTTCTCCTGCTTGGTGTAGATATCAATCAGGGGCTGCATGGGCTCGAGCTCCTTGTCTGACACCAGTTTGTAGTACTTGGCGACGGTGACAAAGTGGACAAAGCACATGTTGAGCACCTCGTGCTTGTTGATATGCCAGAAGGGGTTCTCCCAGTGGCCGTGGTAGAGATGGGCGTAGCAGCGGAACATCTGCTTCATGATGCCCTGGCAGTCCTTGTAGAAGGTAGGCGGGAAGCCGCTGGACTTGCCGATCCAGTCCTGCGACGGGTCGGTGGCCTGCTGCTGCTGCGGCTGCGGCTGTCCACTGGGGACCTCTCCGTTAGCCTGCTCGGTGTAGCCAAAGGTGATGGGGGTTGCGGAGACGGGGTCGGTAGGGAACATAACCGGGTCGTGGATCTTGCTGACAATCCACTTCTCGACCCGGTTAATGAACTTGGGCGCCGATATCCTTGCCGCCTTGCCGTCGACCAGCCAGGTATAAGTCAGGCTGTGTATGTTATGTTAGCATGGGCATGGACATGGGCATGGGCATGAACAATGATGAAGTTGTATGCTACTTACTTCCCAGCAGACATGGTGGGACATGTCATCTCGTTACAGATCGGGTATCCAGTGATACTGTTGATCTCCTGTATGACCTGCAGCATGCCATGGAGCAGACGATTCTGTTCGACCACTGTAGACAATGTGTTAGCCGCGAGCCCCTTTAGTTTTTGACAGATATCTGGCACCGGTGTTGTGTAAATTGGCAGGTGAAACAGTGGACCGACTAACCCTGGTGAGCAAGCCACTCGCCGAGCTCGACGTTCTTCGGACAGGCACAGAGGGTCAGGAAGTTGCCCTTGACGTTCAGCGAGGCGTACTTCTCCTGGAAGAAGTACTTGATCGAGTCGCGCTGGTCGGGCTGCGCGGGCTGCTGCTCCATGGCCGCCTGAGATGCCGATGGAGGGGCGGGCATCGCTGCTTGACCGTGGGGGAAGCCAGGCGAGAAGCCCGCGCCGTCGGCCGCCCGGTGTAGACTGCTGCCGCCATTGTTCCCGCTGTGCGTGTTGCCGGTGTTGTTGTTATTGTGGCTGCTACTGTGGCTGCTATTGTTGTTGGTGGTGCTGTTGATGCTGCCGCTGGGCGTGTTGCTGGCGGTGTTGCCGGCGCTGCTGGCGGCGGCGTTGTTGCTGCTCTTGTTCGACCCGCGACCGAAGCCCTGCCGCCTGCTGCAGTCAGTATCGGACACCAGAGCAGGAGAGCAGGAGGAGAGAGAAAGACTCGAACGCCCGTCGAGGCCACTTACACGCTCTGGAAGAAGTTTGACATTGTCCGGGCGCACTGGGAGATCTGGCTGGTGAGATCCAGGGTCCTTTTGTGATAGCAGCAGCAGAGGCAGGCCTGGAGGCAGGAGAAAGACTGCTGTCAGTCACTGTCAGGCTCTGTCTCTCTCTTCTTCTGTATCTTCTGGCCCTCTTCTTCTCTGTTTTTCCTCTCTTTCTGCTTCACTGCGTCTGCACTGCTTTCTGCTTATTCCGTTTTGTTATCATCCAGGGTGAAGCCAGAGTCTCTGACAAACTAGTTTGACCTGCGCTTATTTGACTTATCTCGGATTTACTAAGGGCCGGTTTTCACCTTTGAGAGCTTCATCTTTGGCAGACAGGCAGACTGAAGACAGGAGACAGGAAGAAAAACTGCTGAGAGACTGCTCTTTTACTTGCTGTGATCTGCTGCTCCTTGGTCTTCCTGATATATCATTGCTGCCTCTACAATGGACGTGGACGAGTCACCCAGAAAGGCGCAGGACGAGCTCGAGGACGAGGTCATGGAGAACAGCCCGCCTGCGCTGGACGACGACGGTGACATGGGCCTGTTTGGCTCAGGGGACGAAGAAGAGGACGAGGATGATGTGTATGTTGCCCTTGACCACGGGTATACCCCCTGCTGAAGAGACACTGACGGGCCGGCTAGGCGAGACAGACGGCGGAAGCTGGACGACGTCGAGCTCGACTCGGGCGACGACGAGGGACGATACGACCGAGCTGGGTCTCCCATGGAAGAGGACGGCGTGGACTACAACAGGACACTGAATATCATGGACCTGAGCCTGGGACGAGCTCCCGAGCCAGAGACCACAGACGGACAGGTTGGTACCGCCGGCACACTGCAGAGAGATATTAGAGATGCAAAACATATGCTGATGCTGCTCTTAGTTGTTCAATTGCGCTATACCAAACTTTCTCTCGATAGAGTCGGAAGATTTTAATCCAGAGACATACGTTGCACCTCCATTCTCCTCTGCATCGACCTCGCTCTGCTGGAGGACCAGCCCGGACGGCGGCGAGCTCCAGTCCAATGCCAGGATAATACGCTGGTCTGACGGCTCCATGACCCTCCAGCTTGCCTCAAACCCAACAGAACAGTACAGGATATCCTCTAAGGCACTCGCGCAGTCTAGCAGACCCGGCAAGCGAGAAGAGTACGATCCCGACCTGGAGTCTCACACATACCTCGGTGTGGCAGCAGAAGCATCCTCAGTCATCCGTCTCACCTCACGCATCACTTCCTCCCTCAGCATTCTCCCGTCCACAGTCGAGACAGACGATGCAGTGCAGAGGCTACAGGAGTCCCTTGCCGCAGCTTCACGAAGCGGTAAGAAGACGGCAGACGGATCAGTGGCCATCATCGAAGTCAAGCAGGACCCTGAGCTGGCCAAGAAACAGGCCGAACAGGCTGAGCGAGAGAAGCTGCGTGAAGCTCGTAAGCGACAGGCTGCTGCTGAGCGAGAAGTCGACCGTGGCAGACGAAGTACCACATTCCAGCGCTCAGGTGCAGCAGGTCTTACCATCGCCGGCCTTGAAGGGGACGAGGACATGGGTACCACCAAGTCCCGTGCTGGAGCAAAGAGGCCTGGTGCCCGCAAACCCCGTCGTCGTGACGAGATCTACTCGGATGAAGAAGACGACTATGATCGAAGAGGCCGTACGCGTGAAGACGAGTACGATGAAGATGACGGGTTCCTGGTTGGGAGTGACGAAGAGCCTGAGATCGAGGAAGACGAGGAAGAGGAAGAAGAAGAGGCTGAGGATGAAGACATGGATGCCGAGGGTGAGATCGACGACGACGTCCAACCTGCGAAGCCCAGTGGTAAAGCATCTCGGCCACAGTCACCCGGTCAGAAAGAGGCTTCTCCTCAGGCACGGAAGAAACATAGATACGTTGTTGATGATGACGATGACGAGTAGTGTCTACATGTATTTATTTGATCCGCCCTTTTATTTCTCTTTCCCCAACCCCGACCTACCCCTGATTTCCCCCAAACAGATACCACAGCAGTTAACAACAACGTCCACCCAATTTTAGCCTAATAGACAAGCTACCAAAAAGAAAAACACGAAAAACACGAAGAAATACCCCAGATAGTCGACGGTGCATGCCTATCCATGTATGTATTCTAGCTACGAGAGAAGAGAAAGACAATATAAAGGAGGAATAATAATAAAGTAACTGGCTAAAGATGAACCTTCCCCGTCCAGACAGGGGCTGATTTGAATATATATACCCATAACACTCTATCTACAGTCATGAATCTCATTTTCTATTTTGCAACTCCTCTGCACTGAAGCCAAACCCGGTCGATTACTTGTCTCGCATTGCCGGCTATCCGCAGGCACAGATAATCAGGATCTTTGCGCTCGACAGCCCCATCGTCCGTAGCAGCTGCATCTACATTAGCCGGTGATAAATCTTGCACCCCTTGCCGCGGGCAGCTAGGGTTAACCATCGGCAGCCGCTCAGCATGCCACCGCCTCTGCCGTGCCTCCATCTCCTCTACCAGTCCAAGCAGATTCGGGCTCTCGTCACACTGGCTCTGCACAAGCGCTGCATTGGGAGGTGTGATGTGTCCTATAACGCCATACCGTACCAGCTCATGCAACCAAGTTTTTAAGTAAGCATTTCGTGCCCCCTCGTCAGCCGGTAACGAGTCAATGGTAGGCTGGTCGAGCATTTCCATCGCCAGCTGTTGTCCGTCCTGTAACGACATCTCGAGCCATGAATTTGCCATGCATGTGAGCAAGGTTCCCAGCAGCATCAGGTTTTGCACTGCAGAGCTATATGCCGTGGGACAGATGTTACACCTAAGAACTCCGATGGCAGTCTTGGAGGCGTTGTATAGTGTTATGAGGGTATTTGGGGAGAGTGGGAATGAGTTAAGTGTTGCAAGGGAGCTCAGGGAGAGGTATAGATGGGATAGGCAGGGACATGGGGCCAGTATCTGGGGGAAGGCCGAGGGTCCAGAGCCGGTAGTATTTGTACTTGTACTTGTATTTGTTATCGTATTTACGGTTGTAGGTGTAGATGTAACTGTATTTGCATCCGTACTTGTGTTTGGTGTCATCCCCGGCGTGAACATGGATGAGATAGAAGAATAGTCTATATCTCTGGGGACAGTTGCCGCTGATGTGACTGAAGTCGACCCTGATGTAACATTTGATAGGAGCTCACCACCTCCTGACAAGGGTCCATCACTCATAAATGGTCCGGGCCGGATGTCATACGTATTCTTCATGAACGTCTTGTAGATGGCGGGACACATGTTGCTTGCTTCAAGTGCTCCCAGCGCATCCGGCGTGCTATAGGCCAGACTAGGGTCTTCTGCTGTCAACGCCAGGCTACGAGACTCCGTCTTGCTGCCGAACCCGTTTAAACTGGTATATGTCTTTGGCGGCCGGCCCATCTGCTTCTGAAATGAATAGTGACAGTACAGGCCATGTCTATAGCATCGAGTGCATCCATCTAGTTCCCCTGTGCACTTTAGCTTCCGCCTTCCTGGCTGAATGTTAGTACCTTCTCGGAGCAAGCAGAACATAGACACCACTCACTGCACTCATCACAGGCTGCATGTCTTTTCGGGGCTTCCTCCAGCTTTTTAGATCGCTGTGACGCCGCCTTGATAGCCTCGTCCAGCCAATCAACCTCCCCCTGCTCTGCGCCAGCCATCTGTCCGGACCCAAGCCACAAACGTATGGATCGAAGTATCTTATCCCGCTCTCAATACCCACGATCTCTCGACCGTGTATCGAACATACAATCGCTGAAAGTCGCTCGTTCTTGCTTTTGCTCCCGCGACTTCTTGATGTCATCGTGAGATTTAACTTCTTACGTAATCAGCTTCCTTTGGGACCCACTTTTTTCGACTTTAAGAAAAAAAAAATCTACAAAAAGTCAATGAAAAAGAAGAAAATAAGCAGAAGCAGAAGCAGAGGAAGCTGAAGAAAAAGACCGAGCAGTGGGAGATTCGAGGATGGCGCCGTCGACGGAGTCCAAGAAGCGCAAGGCTGTCACAAAGGATGTCGAGGCAGACACTCATGTCGTGTCCGGCGAGGAGTTTCGCTTCGATTCGTCCGGTTCAGAGAGCTCGGACGAGGAATCAGACATCGAGCTGATAGATGACTTCAGTGACGAGAGCGAGGACGAGTCGATAGAGGATGGCTTAGTTTCAAAGGGCGAGCTGCCGGTTCACACTAAAAATGGAAAGCTAGGGAAAATGAGCAGTGTTGCGGTTCAGGATTCGGAGGACGAAGATCAAGATACTGTCAATTACCGCATAACGAAGGACGCGAATGGCAATGATCGGTATATTTATGATGAGATAAACCCGGATGATAACTCAGACCTGTCTGAAGTCGACGAAGAAGCCAATACAATTGGGAATATCCCTACATCCTTTTATGATGCCTACCCGCACATCGGATATAATATCAATGGAAAGAAGATTATGCGCCCAGCCAAGGGGGAGGCATTGGATGCGCTGCTTGACACTATTGAAATACCAAAGGGATGGACTGGATTAACTGACCCAGCCACAGGCAAACCTCTGCAATTGAGCCAGGACGAGCTCACCCTGCTCAGCAAACTACAGATGAACGAAGTCACCCAAGATGGATATAACCCGTACCAGCCAACCGTCGAATATTTCACAAGCAAAGAAGAGATTATGCCATTGAGTGCTGCTCCTGAGCCCAAGAGGAGATTCGTGGCCTCCAAACATGAAGCCAAGCGAGTGATGAAGATGGTGAAGGCGATTCGAGAGGGAAGAATATTGCCGTTCAAACCACCAGCGGAAGAGGACGAATCTCAGGATAACATCCAGACTTTCGATCTCTGGGCCAACGAGACACCCCGAGATGATCACCCCATGCACATTCCTGCGCCGAAGCTACCACCACCAGGCTACGAGGAGAGTTACCATCCTCCTCCAGAGTATCTACCTGACGAAAAGGAGAGACGAGCCTGGGAGAAACAGGACCCAGAGGACCGCGAGAAGCCCTTCTTACCAAGAGACTATGGCTCACTTCGGAAAGTTCCTGGGTTTGAGGCTTTCGTTAAGGAGAAATTCGAACGCTGTCTTGACCTGTACCTGGCTCCAAGAGTACGCAGGAACAAGCTAAACATCGACCCAGCCAGTTTGCTTCCAAAGTTACCCAGTCCAGAGGAGCTAAAACCCTTCCCAACTACCTGTTCCGCACTATTCCGTGGCCACAAGGGACGTGTGCGTAGTGTTGCTGTTGACCCAACAGGACTTTGGCTAGCCAGCGGTGGAGATGACGGTACAGTCCGAGTGTGGGAACTTCTCACAGGCCGTCAACTCTGGAGTGTTCAGTTGAACGATGATGGGCCCATTAATGTCGTTCGATGGAGACCTGGAAAGGACGCTGTTGTTCTATCCGCTGCCGCAGGTGATGCTGTATACCTCATGATACCAGACATCCTCAGCCCTGAGCTTGAATCAGCCAGTCTTGACGTAGTGGATGCCGGATGGGGTTACGCTGCCACGGCTTCGAAGGGTTCTCAGAGCACTGAGCAAAAAGGATCTAAAGTCCAATGGGCTCGACCTCTGCCCTCTCTCGCTGAAAACGGTGTATATGCAACGATCCCACTAGGACATATCGTCAAGTCGATATCATGGCATCGACGCGGTGATTACTTTGTCACCGTTTGCCCTGCATCAGCAACTCCCGCCTCACTCGCAACTGCTATCCATACCCTTTCAAAACACTCAACACAATACCCATTCCGCAAGCGCCTCAAGGGAGGTGGTCCTCCTCAGGTAGCTCATTTCCACCCCGCAAAACCCATCCTCTACGTTGCCAACCAACGGGTCATTCGATCGTACGACCTCTCTCGCCAATCTTTGTTGAAGATCCTACAACCCGGTGCGCGCTGGATATCATCTTTCGACATTCATCCAACTTCATCTGTTACCTCAGGTGATAACTTGATTGTTGGATCGTATGATCGTCGTCTGCTCTGGCATGACGTTGACTTATCTGATCGGCCATATAAAGCCCTACGCTACCACAGCAAAGCTATTCGAGCCGTGAAATACCACCCTCGGTACCCTCTCTTCATTGATTCTAGTGATGACGGTCTTCTTCAGATCTTCCACGGCAGTGTAACAGGAGATCTCATGAGCAATGCAAACATTGTTCCATTAAAAGTCCTTCGTGGACATAAGGTTGTTGGAGACTTGGGTGTGTTGGATGTTGACTGGCATCCTAGAGAGGCATGGTGTGTCAGTGCGGGCGCAGATGGCACATGTAGACTTTGGATGTAGTTTAGATATAAAAAATGGCCTAATTGAAGCGTTTTAATTTATATTCATAGAGCCAGTCTAATATTCTTTCAGCAACCAAGAGAGTCTATTTTATTGCAAAAACAGGGGGGGTATCAATATGCAATACAAAATTTGATCAACCAGCAGCATGCTTTATTTGATATACTAAAAGGCGCTTCCACCTCCCCAGTCCTTCTTCAGGCGTTCGTATTTCTTCATATCAGTTACACTAGGCCGTATCTCTTTCTTTGCAGCGACAAAGTCTTCGAGTTTGATCGTATCTCTCCTCTTGATCGCAGAATAGCCAGCTCGGCGGAGCAAAGAGCCCAGGTCTGCTCCACTAAATCCTTCACACGATCGAGCAAGTTCCACTAGCTCGTCTGTCATTTCAATGGGCAATTTCCGTATGAGTGTCCGTAGCACTTCTGCTCGCTCGTCTCGTCCTGGCAAGTTCACAAACAATAACGTCTCAAGACGACCAGGACGTAGCATGGCTGGGTCAATAATATCAGGCCTGTTGGTTGCCGCTATCACATATATTCCATTTCTCGAGCTCCCAAGCCCATCAAGCTCTGTAAGTAGCGTATTAACAACGCGAGCCGATGCTTCTGACATGGTATCATCTCGTCGCGGGACCAAAGCATCCAGCTCATCGAAGAAGATAACACATGGGACCGAGGACCGGGCTCGAGAGAACACCTGCCGAACAGCACGTTCAGACTCTCCCACATACTTGTTGAGCAGTTCGGGGCCCTTGATACTGATGAAGTTCGCCCGAGATTCGTTGGCCACGGCCTTTGCAAGCAAAGTCTTACCACAGCCTGGCGGGCCCCAGAGCAAGACACCGGTGGGGGCGGATATTCCGACTCGAGAGTAAATCTCCGGGTTGCGTATCGGTTCAACAATGGCTGTAACAAGTTCCTCTCGTACGGATCCAAGAGAGCCAATGTCAGCCCAGGTAGTGGCAGGTATTGTCGCAAATCCTTCTCGTTTGGACGACGGTTGGATCTTGGGAAGAGCAGTAAGGAAGTCTTGGTTGGAGACGTAGATCTGTGGATCAGCTTCATGAGGAGTCTCACGAGCGCGCTTGATGAGCTGGCGCAGCTCCATGACCTTTTTGCTCACTCCAGCTGGAGGTTCTTCTTCTATATCCATTTCTTCTCCTGTAGTTGATTTTAACAGGTCTAGGTATCTTTTTATAGCAGCTGTTGCAGCCGTTGAAACCAAGTCGTTCAAATCAGCGCCGACGAAACCAGCAGTTCCCTTTGCAAGGAATTTAAAATCTAGATCATCCGCTAGATTCATTTCCCTTGTCAAAGCCCGAAGGATCTGTTCCCTTACAGGCTCACTGGGAACTGTCAGGTTAATCTCCTTATCAAATCGGCCTCCACGACGCAATGCAGGATCAAGGCTATCGGGGCGATTAGTAGCCGCCAATACAATCACAGGTTTCCCATCAGTTTTCGCCAAAGCCAAGTCGTCCATACAGGTGAGCAACTGGGCAACAATTCGTTTCTCCATCTCTCGCTGTGCGCTCTCACGCTTAGGGGTTATAGCATCGATTTCATCCATAAATATCAGACAAGGCGCCACTCTCCTGGCTTCCTCAAAGTGGTCACGTAGCGCCTTTTCAGATTCGCCTGACATTCCCGAAATGATGGACGGCGCAGATATCGCAATGAAGGGGACACCCAACTCGGCGGCAAATGCATTGGCTATCATAGTTTTACCGCAACCTGGCGGCCCATGAAGCAGAACTCCACGAGGAGGTTGTACATTTGATGCAGAAAATATCTGTGGTCTTGTCATTGGGAGAACAATCAACTCTTCAAGTTGCTGGATGACATCGTCCACTCCTCCCAGATCAGCCAAGCTCACATGGGTTGGCGGCGACTTATCAATTGAACTCTCTGGTTTTCGTCGTTTGGGGGCGGACTCTGCTCCCATAACTCGACGTTTGTTCGCTGTCACTCGCGATGATGGTACATCTGGAGTTGTATTTTCTGAGCCTTTCTGCGGCGATGGTGGAGGTTTTGGCTGAGGAGCCCACATGTTCACGATGCTCTTATTTAGACCATTTGATTCCTACAAACATTGTTAGAACCCAGCCGGCAATATGTCAATGGGATCAATAAAGACATACTACCTCTGGTTTAGGCTCCTCGAGGCCCTCAAAGTCACCCTCTATAACATCTGCATCGTCTTCTGCTGCCCGGTCCTGCTTGAAGATGTCCAGCACCCTTTCTATGCTATCTTCTAGCACCTTCCGCGGCCTGCGGTTTAAGCTTGAATTTGATCGCCGTATCTTGTCGTATATAAGATGCGCATATAAAGGCTGGGCTTCGCCTGTTTCTTCTAGGTGCTGCTCATCGAGCTTGCGGATTGCCTGGTATATCTAGAGTACACCCCGTTAGGTCAATTGGTAGTGTCGCAGCTCCGAACTTGGCTTACTTCTTTATCGAGGCCATGTCCCAGGCTAGTCGACTTGTTTCCACGGTACCTTGGAGCCATCTTCAGTATCTAGCACCGTCCAATATCTTCTCGTCCGCCCACAACTTCATCTGTCAAATTCACCAAAAAGAAAAAAAAAAGATAAAAATAAAATAAAATAAGCTTTCGGCATTTTATTTTTCCTGTAGATAAGACCAAACTTTAATCTCTTATCGATAAGCATGCGCTTTGACCAAAAAGGTCAGCAGTTTGAACAACGTCGACAACGTCAACGACGGCGAGGTAGAGCTGTTAACTGCCATGAAAGAGGATGTCAGGGTTGCCTTGGACACGGAAGAACGGATATAGCAAATATGGGGAACACCGGGAGCACACATAAGATTTCTGCGCAAGATAAGTGCGTTTCTGCCTTGTGACGCAGAACGTCATCGCACATTCCGGCTGGCTGGCACAAACTGACTTGACTGACTGTAATTAAACCAGGGCCATACTTGACCTGAAGAACCAGCGCGATAAGCTGCAGCAGTACCAGAAGCGGATAACGGTACTTACAGACCGGGAGACTGATATTGCAAAGCAATGTCTTGCGCGGAACGACCGCCCGCGAGCGCTACTAGCGCTGCGACGGAAGAAATACCAGCAGTCTCTACTGGAAAAGACGGATTTACAGCTTGAGCAGCTGGAGAAGCTAACTGGTAGCGTGGAGTTTGCTTTGGTACAGAAGGATATCTTATTCGGTTTGAGTCAGGGCAACAAGGTGCTGCAGACTATACATCGTGAGATGGGCGGTATAGAAGGCGTTGAGAAACTCATGGGTGAAACAGAGGAAGCAAGAGCTTATCAAGAGGTGAGATCATGCTACGTAGCTAGCTGCTCTATGGTCTAGATTTTAACAGACACTCTTTAGGAAATCACTGAGCTGCTTAAGGGGCAGATATCCAACCAGGACGAGGAGGAGGTGGAAGATGAACTCGAGAAACTTGAACTACAAGTGACGAACCGAGTAAAACTCCCCAGCGCACCGAAAACCTCACTGGAAAATGAGGCAGAACAGCCACAAGAAGCAGCCCCTGAAAGAGTACGAGAACCTATTGCCGAGTAGCGGCTGACCAGCTGTTGGGAGGTTTTTTCTTTTCTTTTATCTCAACATTAGACTTGCATAGCGACATCTGTCGGAGTTTCAGGACTCTTTGCATTGTTGGGCTGCATCTTATACATACACTCTCTATAACGTATGTATATGTATATACATCGAGACTCTTGTGGTTATTTAGATCAAGGGGAAATGCAATGAGTAGATTCCATTTTAATGTGATTCGGTTATGGAGAACACTGTCAGTCTATCGCTTTTTATCGCATGAAAAAGGTTGCTGAGTATAGTCCAATACATACAGCAGACACATCCGAATTAGTTTCCACTTCCAATAGTCTTGCCCACTCCATCAACCCCCTGGATTACAGTATGATCCTTGGGGTTCGCAGCAGCTTCATACAAGAAAGAAATCGGCTCCTTGTTCAAAGCCATAAAATCACCCTTAAAGCCCACATATCCAACTTTCGTGACGTCTTCCTCGCCCTGGCTCCAGTTATCTTCAAAGAATAATGTGACAGACGTAGTTCCGTTCCAGAGTGCCCTGTTCAGCGGCATTTCTATTACATCTGCTTGAGAGCCGGTCAGAGCCTGCGGGATAGAAATTGTCTGTGTAGGTGCAAGGTCCGAAGCAGTGGAGAAATCCATGTCGGGTCTGTTTCTAAATAGTTTGACTGTGTTTGGGGCCGAGGGGGACGGCGCAGCGTAGATCAGGACTGAGTGTAACTTCACTTGTCCCGTGAATCTGTATCAAGTTAGCACCGAGTTCAACTCCAGGATATACAACTTTGCTTAATAGAGATGGTTTGAATAAGATGTATTATCGAGGGGTATGGGGTATCACTGACGGAACATGCATGAGCAGTTGTTCATCTGCATCACTTTCAAGCTGAGGCTCATCTTCGAGTCGCTGATCCCACGTCTTTTTAACTATGGCAGCACCGGCTTTTGGCTCAGATTCATTCATGGTCTCGATCTTGTCGAAGTCGACTTGCTTGTAAAGAAGAGACTGCAGCGCGGGGGTGATATCATTGCTGTGATCATGGCCTGCTTCACCGTGACAGCCATGGTCATCGCCGTGAGGATGATGATGATGAGGCATCTTGACTGTTTTATCGTACGATACAGACAGTGTAGATGCGGTATGGTATATGTTTGAATGAGTTGGCGGAGTTGGTGGGATGTTGTGACTATCAATGTGAGGGTTGTGATCAAATTAGCATAATATTTATTTTCTCCATAAATCAAATAACTAATTATTCGCAACAACGTTCGCAACTTCAGTCTACAGCTACCATATCTTGATATGGACACCCATTTTGAAGATAGATTGTATCTAATCGAGGTTTGAGGGTGCTCGAGTATTACTACATTTCTATATATAGTTTACCTGTATATAAACTAAATTAAATAAGATACAAGATAAGTAGTATATATTAAAGTCTACTTCTTAACTTCATAATACTCTGGCGCATACTCCAATAGCCAGGCCTTCTCTATCTTGGTAATGTCCTTGATAAATGTCTTTGTCCCCGTCTGCAAGATCTCATTGAATATAACCCATTCCGCCTTTCGATTCTACTACCAAGTCAGAACCCATAAGCTCGCCGACGAAACAAGGGAAAATAACTTACAAACATCAATGAGCTCGGGTGAGCATGTAATGTGAGCCCACCCGTGATACTTCTGAACGTCCCATCAGGCTGCATCTTAGCTGCATGAGCAAAGAAACCGGTCGTGAGACAACGCTGGATCTGCTCGGTGGTTGCTGCCGCCTGTCGTTTGGCCAAGTCGATTCCAAACCGCTTTAGATGGTTTTCAAGCTGGACGCGAATACTAACTGCTTTCATCATGGATTTGTGAATGAGAGAATGGTCTTTGCACCATTTGGCTTCCTTTCTTCCCTTGGTGACGAATGCCTGGTAGATGTTGAGATATGTGAGGTGGTCGCCTTCTTCGACGGCGAACTGGCGGATGGACGGCGATATGCCTCGTTTTTCATCCTGGTTGAACCAGATGCCATCCTGGAGAGTGGTCATGGCTGCTATGGATAGCATTTCATCGAGACAGCCGAACTTGGTCGAGCTGAGTAGGACTTTGGCCATCATGGGGTTGACGGGTAGCTCAGCCATATGGATGCCCAGCGGCTTGGTGAGTTTGGCGTAGTCGTCTATAGCGCCTAGAGAGGAAAGAAGCTGGAATGCACGGACAAAGAGCTCTGAGGGCGGGGAGGATATATAGTCAAATCGGACGACGTTATCAATGCCTAGGGATTTAAGCTGGAGGATGATAGGGGCAAGGTTTGCACGTTGGATTTCAGGGGTGGTCTCCGGGGTTAGGGATAGGTAGGCTTGTTCAGTATATAATCGGAAGCATTTCCCTGGCTGGGTCCTGCCTGCGCGGCCGGCCCGTTGCGTGGCTGAAGCCTTTGAGATGGGCACTGTAGTCAACTTTTCGATGCCGGTGGATGGATCGTAGGCACGAAGCTTGGAGAAGCCGCAGTCGACTACATATACGATACCTTCGATGGTGACTGAAGCCTCGGCCACGTTGGTAGAGACGATGACTTTGCGTGTGTTTTCGGCCGCCGGTTCGAATGCGTAGAGTTGCTGCTCAGCTGTTAGGCCGGCGTAAAGGGGCACAGGCACGAGTGCTGGTGCGCTTTGGGGTATAAGGGCAGCCTGCTCTGAGATTTTCTGGGTTGCAGATATTATCTCTTCCCTACCAGTGAGAAACAGAAGTATGTCTCCCTGAGGTTCCGAGGCATGTATGTCAAAGACGGTCTTTATGGCACGCTCCACGTAGTCTTCTGCAGGGGACTCCAGGTACAGACAGTCGACTGGATACATCTTCCCGTCTAGCGTAATAATTCTTGCAATGCCATTGTCTTCAGGGGCATCCTGGCCAGCGAAAAACTGCATATAGTCTTCGGCTTTTAGCGTGGCACTGCTGACAATGATGCGCAGCTCTGGCCTTCGCTTCCTGATCTTCTTGAGCACGCCGAGCAGCACATCCGTACTGACTGAGCGTTCATGCGCCTCGTCGACCATGATGACGGAGTAGCGAGACAGCAACGGGTCGACCAGTGCTTCTCTCAGCAGCAAGCCGTCTGTCACGAACTTGATGCGCGTCGAGGCCGAAGTGACATCCTCAAATCTGATGGAGTACCCGACCTCTTGACCAAGCTGGCATCTCATCTCCCCTGCCACGCGAGCCGCAACCGATGTCACTGCCACTCGACGCGGCTATCGTCATACAATAGTTATTGTCTTAGTACATGTTTCTATCGACTCAAAATCGAAAAGGAGGGACTAACTTGGGTGATGGCAATCTGCTTTCCATCGCTGCACCATCCGGCCTGGTCGAGGAACTGCGGCAGCTGGGTGGTCTTCCCGCTGCCTGTCTCACCCACCAGGATGACGACTGGGTACTTTTCAATGGCATAGAGGAGGCCCTGTCTGTGTCTTGCAATTGGCAGCAGCTCTGTGGGCTTGTACAGCGCAGCGACGAACTGCCCGGGGGTATCAAATGCGTCCATTGCAGGTCGGGCATGTAACAACTGGCATGGCGCCTGTGCCTCTATTGAGCTATATCATCCTAGCCCCTCGCTCGTATTATTGTGTAGATATATGTACTATCGTTGTAGCTGTAGCTGTAGCTGTAGATGTAGATGTCTTGGTTCGCATCTTTCAACTTTGATTGAGTGTTTGTTCGCTGACTAAGAAAAGTGATGGCGTCACAAGTTTGACTTTAACAAAATAAAACATGGGAAGAAGGAGAAGAAAAGGAGAAGACGAACTTGATAACTTGGATAAGTAACTTAACTGTCTGACAGCTGCAGAGTCGAGAGGGAGATCGTCTCTGGGTTATACATATATACTGGCATAGTTACCGAGTGTGATATAGAACCAGCTGCGAGTGACAGGCAGGCAGACAGAGAGACAGCATGGCAGAGGCGGACAAAGCAGTGCGTATTCCAGCATCACCCACCACCAGGCAGCACATTTAACACTGGACGAAGCAGAAAGGAAGAGAGGAAACAGAGAGAGATGGTAGAAACTGACTGCGTCTAGGGAAACACACCGAGGAAAGCAACGGGACTGAACCCAGAATCGCCGACGACTGCTCGCCCGCTGGACTTTGACGACGAGCCGCAGGAGACGGGCCTGACATCCACCATCACCACCAGCCGGTCGTCTTCACAGCTCAACCTGGCAGCAAACATGCAGAGCCAGGGCCAGACGCAAACGCATCGAGCGCCCAATCCGCACCAGAGGGTAATAGACGATCTCAGGGAGGCGTTCCCTAACATCGACGGGCCGGTGGTCAAGGCGGTGGTAGTTGCGAGCGATGGCAACGTCGAGCGGGCATTCAACGCATTACTCGGTACGTCTCTGACAATTGACTGACAGGATGATGGGGAGAAAAGAGAAGCTAATGGGCAACAAAAGGAATGTCTGATCCGGATGCACAGGAGGAAGTAAGGCCTGCGGTGCCCCCTCGACCAAGTGCTGGCGGGGTAGCTACATCGACGGCGCAGAGCCAGCTGGAGGACGACGAGCGGTATGCGCGCCAGCTGGCCGAGCACTACAGCGGCACCGACCAGGCACGGGGGTACTCGCAGCAGCAGCAGCAGTCGTCGTCGTCTATATGGGACCATGGTCCTGCGTCGGGACAGAGGGGCCAGGGTCTGAAGCCGAACGAGCTCTACGACAGGGAACACAGCTTCCTCGACGGTGCGTATACATACATCACATCTTTTCTTTTGCGTGGATGGGTAGTGCTAATGGGAGTGGGAGTGGGTAGATGACCTGCCGATTATCAAGGAGAACATCAGAAAGGGGTTCCTGGAGACACAGTCGCGGGTGAACACCTGGGTGGAGAACTTCAAGAAACGACTGGACGGGGACGAGTCTGACGAGGACGGGCAGTACGGCCATGGCCAGAGACAGTACGGCCAGGGACGGCAGCAGCAGCAGCAGCAACAGTTTCACCAGCAGCAGCACTCCAACTATCCCAACCGCCGCAGCGTCGACCGGGAGAGATACGACGCCGACCCTCACGTCCTCGGCGACGACTTTTCCTCTCTAGAGCTACGAGACAACGAGGGTACGTTCTCTATATTATTATTTATTCCTGTATGTGTGCATGCTAATATAGAAGTGCAGCCCCCCCTCCGCGGCCTCCACGCCCGCAGGCCAACCCCGACCTGTTCAAGACGACCAAGAGCGCGTCTGCCTCGCCCGACCGGCGCAAGGTATCCTTCCAGGACGGCCCGCCAGAAGAGATCCAGGACTCGTACTCCAGCAACGCCGCGAACACCGCCAACACTACCAGCAATAACAGCAATAACACCACGACCGGCAACCGCAGCACGGCCAGCAAGTCGAGCAAGTGGCAGCCCCTGTCGACCGTGGAGCCGTCTCCCGTAGCAGACAACGACCCCTTCAGCCTGGGAGACAGCGACGACGAGCGGGAGAGCAAGCCAAAGGAGGCCAAGGGCGAGGACAGCACTGCAAAGAAGTCCGAGAAGACCAGTACATAGTAATATAACCGTGGGTATTAATTGATCAACCAGCAGCTCTTCAACCATCCATCCTTCGTAGCAACCAGTAACAGTCTCATCGTATCAGCTGTCGAGTATCAGGCCTACCGCTCATCGTCCGCATCGACTCTCCTGAGCTCCTTGATCACATTCTACAACGTCGTCAGTATACCAACATCAGTGTGTAGTGCAAGGTATCTCACTGCCAGCGCTTCCGGGTTGACTCCGTTCTCTATCAGCGAGACGCAGAGAGAAAGCTCCGTCCGGTCCAGATGAGTGTTCTATCCTCAGTCAGTCTCTTCTCTTCTTCTCTTCTTGTGTTCAATGCAAGGAGTCTTCTTACCAGCAGGGTCGAGATCTCATGCAGGATGTCGATGACTTCTCTGGCCGCCTGTCTCTTGTCATCTTGCGGCGGCATCTCTTCTCTTCCTATCTTTCTATCTTTTGTTCTATCTTTCTCTTCTCTTCTTCTCTTACTCTTACTATCTTCTCTTCTCTTCTTCTTCTTACTCTCTTACTCTCTTCTATGGCTTCTTCCTCTTATTTATCTCCATCTTCAACTTCACTGCTTAGTCATCATCTCTCTCCAACTTCTTTTCTTCTCTTATCAACTTTTGATCTTCTTCTTCGTCTTCTTCAGGCTGAGATGATGAGATGACCACCAAAGAGAAGAGCCAAAAGAAGAGTCAAGAGCAGAGTCAAAGAGAGAGTCAGAGTCGACCAGGTCAAGAGATAGAAGTGCTCGACCTCCGCAGCCTCAAGCAAGATGGCGCCGCCGCCGTCCTCGACCAGGTCGCCCGCATCGAACGCCGCACTTTCCCGCCGTCGGAGGCGATGAAGCTCGACCTCAGCCTCTGCAAGAAGCCCAACTCGCGTCTCCTCTACTCTTCCTCTTCTTCTTCTTCCTCCTCTTCAGCTTCAGCGTCAGCTCCTACGACAGTGACAGGATACGTGATGTACGTGCGGATGAGGGAAAAGGCGCTGCTGCACAAGCTCTGCGTCGAGGCCGGCCACCGCGGGCAGGGGATAGGAGGCCGTCTGCTGGCCGCGGTCGAGGAGCAGCTGGCGCTCGAGGGCTGCCAGACGGTCCATCTCTGGGTCGACGCTGGACGGACGGCGGCGAGGGCGCTCTACCGGCGGCGAGGCTTCGAGGAGACGCGGACGGTGGAGGACTACTACGGCCCCGGCAGGACAGGCATCAACATGGTCCTGACCCTGCCAGGTAACTAGATAAGAGCAGCCTCCATCTTAACCTGGCACTCTTGTCTGTTTCATGTCTATCTCTTGTCCATGTCTATCTAGATCTACTTAGTATTCACGTAGACAGCTCACTCTATCTACCACTTTATCTATATCTACTATATATATATATATATATATACTATCGACTGCTCTGTCCAACGTCCATCTATCCACTCTACCGTCTGTCTACCGTCTTCCCGCCGTCTTCTTAACTGTCTTTCTTCTTCTTGTCTTCTTCTTCTGCTTCAAACAAACTTTTCACTTTCCGCACCAAAACTTCGGCCTCGAACTTTTTTTCGCCCCGCAAGAAGACGAGGAAGACGAAGAAACAACCACGACACGAGGAAGAACAACTACGACTACGACTACGACTTCACCTACCACAGCTACCAGAGACGACAGAGAAGAAGAGAAGCAGACAGCGACAGCGACAGTCGACCTGCCCGCGGAGAGAAGAAGCTAGTTAAGTGTCTGGCCCCCCTGTCGCTCGCTGCCTGAAAGCCTCCGTCAGCCCTAACAGAAACTAACCAGCAGCAAACCTGCAGAAGACTTTGAACAAGACACAAGCCAGAAGAAGAAGAAGAATAAGAAGCAAAAGTTGATAAGAGAAGAAGAAGAAGAAGACCTGCTACGACTGCCACTGCTGCTCGCCGTCGACCTCCGTCAGCGTTGGTTACTACTACTACGACTTGGCCCTCCCCCCCCGCCTCCCTCTCCGCCGCTGCATGAGAGTTTGCGCACCCTGCCATATTTAATACCAGAGCCTGGACAGACACGACTCACTGCCGGAACCATGGGACAGACGCTGTCTCAGCCGATAGTCAAGAAGGTACTTCGTCTCGTGCCCACGGGGGATAGATACTCCAATAACGGCGGGAGCAGGGAGAATTGCTGCTGACGAAACCCCGGGTTTTTTTGTTTTATAGGAGTCCGACGAAGGCGAAGATGAGTGCGTGGTGTACGGCGTCTCCGCGATGCAGGGATGGAGAATCGCCATGGAAGACGCCCATGCTGCCGTGCTAGACCTCCAGGCGAGATACTCTGACCTCGACAAGAGCAGTGCTGGCGGTGCTGGTGCCGCTGCCGGTGGGACGCCGGCGGACAAGCGGCTGTCCTTCTTTGGCGTGTACGATGGCCATGGCGGGGAGCAGATGGCCCTCTATGCGGGAGAGAACGTCCACCGCATCGTCGCCCGGCAGGAGTCCTTTGCCAGGGGAGACATCGAGCAGGCTCTCAGGGACGGCTTTCTCGCTACTGACCGGGCCATCCTAGAGGGTCCGTCTTTTCCTCCTTCTTTTTACTTTTAAACTGATACTGAGGCTAACTTCTACTGTATAGACCCTCAGTATGAGAATGAAATCTCTGGCTGCACAGCGTCAGTGGCCATAATCTCAAGAGACAAGATCAGAGTGGTGCGTCTACTTTTCTCTTTCTTTCTTTCTTTCTTTCTTTCTTTCTTTCTTTCTTTATATATACATATATATATATATATATACTAACGAATATGGCAGGCCAATGCGGGAGACTCAAGATCCGTCCTCGGCGTCAAGGGACGGGCCAAACCGCTCTCCTTTGACCACAAACCACAGAACGAGGGTATGCACCACTCTTACCCTTAAGTTATAGACCCCATATGCTAAATAGCAACAGGAGAAAAAGCGCGGATAAGTGCTGCCGGAGGTTTCGTCGACTTTGGCAGAGTCAATGGCAACCTCGCCCTCTCCAGAGCCCTGGGCGACTTTGAATTCAAGCGTGCCGCAGACCTCTCCCCCGAACAGCAGATTGTCACTGCCAACCCGGACGTCACAACCCACGAAGTCACCGAAGACGACGAGTTTCTCGTCATTGCCTGTGACGGTACGTTTACCCCTAGTCTATGATGTATATATATATATATATATATATAAAATGATATGATAGTGCTAACTTCCACAGGAATATGGGACTGCCAGTCGTCGCAGGCGGTGGTGGAGTTTGTCAGAAGAGCCATTGCGACCAAGCAGGAGCTACATCGCATCTGTGAAAACATGATGGACAACTGCCTTCTCCTCAGACCCTGAGAGCGGCGGCTCGGCTGCGACAAACATGACCATGGTCATCATCGGCCTGCTGCACGGCAAGACCAAGGAGGAGTGGTACAACACCATTGCTGAGCGAGTGGCCAACGGCGACGGGCCCTGTGCTCCCCCGGAATACGGTGAGACTGCGCCGCTGTCAACCCCCTTCATAAAACTCACCCCTACACAACCAAAAGCACACATATCCTAACATTTTCTTTCTTGTCTACTTGCACAGCCAGCTTCCGTGGCCCAGGCGTGCGTCCCCAGTTCAACGAGGGCTCAGAGTACGACTCCGCGGGTCCAACCGGCCGGTCAGGCAGAATCATCCTGCTGGGCGACGGCACAGAGGTGCTGACTGACATGGGCGACGAAGACATGTTTGACAGCGCAGACGAAGACAAGGACCTAGAGAGCCAGGTCCGGAGAACGACCGATGCAGACGCTAATGCTGATGCTGATGCCGATGCTGACGGTGCCAGCAAGACCAAGCCCAGCGATCCCGAGACGGAGCGGAGGCAGCGGGAGGGCACACCCGGTCCTCAGCCGGGCACAGGTACATCCACTGCTGCTGCTGCTGCTGCTGCCAGTTCTACTAACTCGGCTTCTGTTTCAACGTCAGCTACGTCTGCGCCCATCGACGCTCTGACCGAATCTCCGCGTGTCATCTCAGCCTCCCCCTTACCAACAGCCGACTCCTCCCCGAACTCCGTCTCAGAGACCAAGCGGTCGTCGTAGTCACTCGCCCCGTTACCCTCCTTTGCCTGCCCTACTTACCCTTTACCCTTGCCCCTTCCCCCTTACCCTCCTTTACCATCACCCCTATCCGCCCCTCCCGCCGGCCCCCTATCTATCTCTCATCACGCTGACCGACTTTGCCTGCGACGCTACGCCACGCCATGTCCGCCACGATATGCTACGCTATGCCATGCTATGCTATGAATGACTGAAGGGAACCCCTCTCTATCACTATCTATCACTTATCACTACCACCACCACTACCACCGGCTATGTCTGGGCCACGGCTACGGCTACGGCTGCATGCAAATGTGTTTAATTACCTTAACGTACTAGTTCCTTTGTTCTTCTGTCAACAGACAAATACTTTTACTGCTTCCCGCGTAGACTCACCTTTTATTTCTTACTGCCTGGCAATTGGTAGATATCTAGTCGTGTCTACCAAATTCCTCCCCCTTCACCAACCACCAACCACCAGCAAGCAACAAGAGTAACAAAGTAACCAAAACGTAGGCCTATCAGATAACTGCCTACCCAGCTAGTTAGTCAAGGATGATCCAGCAAGTTAAAACAGATATTAAATGCATGGAACAAAAGCTGATCCACCACGTCCGCTCGCCCCCTGAAAGCGACCAAGAAAAATATTTTAAACTTGTTTTTGAAGCTTTTATTTATTCACTGCTTCTTCGCCCTCGCCAGCAAGGACAGCGACAGCGACAGCAAGCAGCAAACAGCAAAACATTCAGCGGGCTCGCCCTTCAATGCTCGTCTAGACACAGGAGGAAGTCAAGCCGTGCTCGCTCATCCGCCGCCATGTCGTCGCCTGCCTCGTCCAAACGCAAGCGGAGCTCCTCGCATCTACACCCGCAGCACCAGCAGCAGCCCGCAGAGCTCCAGCCTACGTCCCGCGACGCTTCCGGTGAAGAAACAGCTACATGTACGCCGAAGAAGGAGAAAGGCAGTGTCAATGCCGCCGCTGCTGCTGCTTCTGTAGAGGTGCCACCCTCAAAGCGGGCTCGAAGACGGTCGGTGGCTGCAGACGGCGCGTCGGCGAGCACCAGCAGCTCGAGGACAAGGACAAGCAACATTGACCCCGGCGAGCCGTCCGAGACGACGGAGGCGAGCGTCGATATCGAGAATAGGGTGAAGCGGAGGGTTGAGACTCGACAGGCTCAGGCTCAGGCTCAGGCGCAGGCTCAAACTAAGGCCCAGGTTCCGGCTCAGGTGCAGATGAAGCCAGCTACGCATGCGGGAATCCAGGATCCAAAGGGCTATCATACCAATCCGCCGCCGACAGATAGGCCGGTCAGAGTCTACGCGGATGGCGTCTTTGATTTGTTTCATCTAGGGTGAGTTACTACTTCTATTTTACTTCTATCTTCATCTATTTACTTCTCTTGATAAGATGCTAACTTGTATTTGACAGGCATATGAGACAGCTGGAACAGGCAAAGACGCTGATTCCAAACACGTACCTGATAGTCGGCGTGACGGGGGACGCAGAAACACATAAACGAAAGGGCCTGACGGTGCTGAACGAGGTAGAGAGAGTAGAGACTATCCGCCACTGTAAGTGGGTGGACGAAGTTATTCCCAATTGCCCCTGGATAGTCACCCCGGAGTTCCTGGAAGAGCACCAGATCGACTACGTCGCCCACGATGACCTGCCGTACGGAGCGGACGAAGGAGACGATATCTACTCTCCCATCAAGCAGATGGCAAGTTCCTCGTCACCCAGCGGACGGAGGGCGTCAGTACTACCGGCATCATCACTAAGTATGTTACCTACACAAAACACAAAAAAACAGGACACCTGCTAATTTTGGTTGCTTGTTTGTATAAGGGGCTTCGGGACTACGACAAGTATATAGCCCGCCAGTTCAAGCGAGGAGCGTCCAGACAGGAACTGAACGTCTCGTGGGTCAAGAAGAACGAGCTCGAGATCAAACGCCATGTCACCGAGCTGCGTAACGCCATCAAGAACAACTGGTCGACTACGGGACAGGAACTCAGCAAGGAGTTCCGCCACCTATGGCAGAACAGCCGTCCTACAAGCCCAACTCGAGACTCCGGGCCCAACTGGGGGTCTGCTGCGGCATCTCGAGCTCATCTGCAGGTTGATCCGCCCAGCAGGCCCGAAAGCCCCGGTGTTGCTGGCCGAAGCGAGGATTTTGCTACTGGTTACTCCCTCGGACTGATTGGAGGCGTCCGTTCGTGGGTATGATATAATATCCCCTTCCCCCTCCCTACTTTATAGCTTTTGGCTCTGTATTACAGCCTGGCTGACACGTAACTATTAGATGATGAGGAGCAGGACCTCGCTGCATAACACGGCCAGCCAGCCTGTGTCACCGTCCGGCAGCGACGAGGAGACGGACCGACACGCCTCCTCCTCCGCAGCCACCGGAAAAGAGTGATCGTTCTATACCAACTGACTAACTACCTAAATTCATGCTAATGTGTACTCTATGATGCCCTACGGCTTCGGGGGCTCTACATGCCGCTTGTTTGTTCCTGCTTAAAGACTGTTGCCAGCCGTTGGTTAAGGCTCTTTTCTTTCTCTCTGTAAACATAATATCTATTACTGTCATGACTAGCAAGATCGATATCATCTTCGTCTTCGTCTTCATCTTATTTCTATCTACATTTCCAGCGTGTAGATATCAATATCAGCATTCGTATACTCAGTCTAGAATTACGCCCTCGGGTAAACAAACAAATTCTTTGCCGAATCATAATTTTTCAGATCCTTCAGCGTTTGCAGTTGAAATATCAGATCAATCTGCGGCAAGCAGGAATAAGACTCAATTCCGCATATTCCCTAGCAGCTGGCCTGTTCAATAACTGCATTAATTAATATATATATCTATATATCATTAATTAATAACTACGTGACCGCTGCCATGTCCGCTGCAGGAGCTTCGAGCTCTGCAGCACCGCAAGTAGAACCCTCAAACACCGCCAGAGGCATGCCCGGCAGCTCGAACCAAAGCCATGAAGACGATGCCGGCTCTGAAACCCCCGGCAGGTCGTCTAGATGGCTGCAAAGGATGCGCCAGCTGTGGCTGCAGGGAAAAGGCATGCTGCTCGTCCTGCTGGCTCAGTTCTTCGGCGCAACGATGAACGTCATGGCAACGCTGCTCGAACGAGACGGACCCCACGGCAAAGGCATGACTCCGTTCCAGGTCAGTATACAATCATCTTCTATTATTGTGTTCTAAGTTAACGGTGGTTACTAGATCCTGCTTGTCCGAATGCCTGCAACCGCCTTGTTCAGCTTCATCTACATGTGGATTATGAAGGTGCCGGAGCCCTTTGGCGCCAAAGCAGTGCGGCCTCTTCTTAACCTGCGAGGAATGAGCGGCTTTATAGGAGTGCTTAGCTTGTACTACTCTCTGATCTACCTGCCGCTGGCAGAGGCTACCGTCCTGACCTTCCTCACCCCCATTGCCTCGTGTTACGTTGCCTCCTTCGTCATGCCGAACGAGAGGTTCACCGGGAGACAGCAGCTTGCGGGTGTCGTATCGATACTGGGAGTCATCCTTATTGCTCGGCCAGGAGCTCTCTCCCCCAAGGACTCACACACGAAGGTGGATAGCCTCGATGCCAGTGACGCTGCTGGCAAAAATCCTGACATGAAACATCATCTACTTGCCGTTGGAGCAGCCCTCATAGGAGTCATGGGAGCTACAACGGCATATACCATGATACGCAAGATTGGCCGCCGCGCTCACCCTCTCGTCAGCGTCAACTACTTCGCCGTCTCGACCTCGGTAATGTGTCTCCTGGCTGTTCTGGTTATCCCAGGTGTTGACTTTAGAATGCCGGGTAATGTCAACGAGTGGCTTCTCTTCGTTGCCCTGGGCCTCTGTGGCTTCGTCTTCCAGTACCTTCTTACCGCAGGTCTTGCATATGTGCCGCCAAAGGTCGAGGGGAAGCCTTCCACACATGGATCAAGTGCCACTTCCATGCTTTACATGCAGATCATCTTTGCTCTCATGTATGACAAGCTGGTATGGAACACTACCCCGTCTTCTACCAGTCTGCTGGGCTCCGCCATCATTCTGTTAAGTGCCATGTACGTGGCTGTTACGGCCAATCAGAGTAAAAAGGTGGATAACGGCAGCCAGGCGAAGCCAGGAGAGACTAGCAATATCAATGGGAACCATGATGTCGAGAGCCAGGCTTTGCCTAAGCCATGGGATGCCCGGGACCGTGCTTCGGCTGCTGAAGACGAAACGGAAGCTTTGCTGGGCCAACGCGGCAATAATGCTTGATTTTAGAGCTTATATACCCGTTTAATACGAGCAAAAAGAGAAGAAAGAAAAGAAAAGAAACCTAGTCAATAGGTCGGTCATTCATGTAGAGTTGGTGTAAATATAGCACATACATAAGCTTGTAAGTAAGGCTTTACTACCTACTATATAGTATCTATATTACCAATATGACTATACAAAGGTAAAGGTATCCCCCCCCTTTTCCAGCAACATGCTTCGAACCCTAGCAGTTCCAACTACTCTCTCCAGCTTCAGAGCATCCCATTTTGAGAAAAGAACCCTAAGCGTAGGTGTAACCGCACCGCTAGCAGCAGATCCCAAATACTCAACCAGGTCTCCCCAGAATATCGGGTTATCGGGTAACCCGTACATCACAACATTAGTGACGCCCCGGATATTATATCGGCGGAAATGATGTGCTCGCTCCGTATATAGGAGAACTGAATGTCTTCCATTCATAAAGTGACTCCTAGCCCTTGAAGAGTCACGCACAGATGTATACTCTGATATCAGCCCGAAGGATATATTCTCCGTCTGAGAAGAATTGGCAAAATGGTTCCGAACACGGACAAAATCAAGGTACGACGGGATAAATATCAGTGTCCCACCGGATTTCCCCTTTCCAGAACTTGATTCTATCCAGCCTCGAGCAAGGCTAGCAAGGACAGTTCGAGTGAAGTACTGGAATCGAGCTTCGGGGTCCTTCAACGGTGAGGCCGAATCAAAACGGGAAAAGGTTTGTTTGATGGAAACAGGGAGTCGGAGATTCAACATGGCACCCTCGTACTTGGGCATGATCTTTGCCTTGCCAAAGACATTCTGCATTTGTGTGTTGTACAGTGCGTTCAGCTCGGGGGTGTTGAAAGCTGAGAAAACCAATGTTTGGCGGACGAACTTTCCGTGGCCGTCGAGGTACCATTGCCTCACTCTGCTAAAGTCGCAGCCATGTGCCTCCTTTGGCTGGAGATTGAGGTTGGAGAAGATATACTCGACATGGTCCCAGTTTTGCATGATGAGGGCATCTGCATGGTCAACAATCACCATCTCGATTGAAGACAAAAAGTCATTCCCGAGTTTCTTCCCCCTATATTGAAGAATGTCCGTCAGCCATGGTTTCTAAAAGTATCGACAGAAGCTAATAATTACCCTTCCTTCTCTATGGCAGTACGCAGTCCAAGCGGGCTGGAGATGATGATATCAGAGCTATAAAACTGCGAAAAGAATTTAAGGGATTTCCGGGTGAACTTCAAGCCCAGCCGAAACATGTCGTCGTCATTACCTCCAAACAGCTCCTTAAAGTCGTCCGGCTTGTGACCCCAGTCGTCACTATCCGCGGCCGAAAAGCTATCCATGAACCGTTTCTTGTTCTCTTGCTGTTCCATGGGATAGAGCTTAGTGAGAGAGTCAACAACCCGAACACATGCCTGTCTAGTTGGGAGTATTATCAGGACCTTCGGCCGCGTGAAGCCCTGGTCTCGGAGTTCTATGTCACCACTGTCTTCCCTTGATAAGATAGCACTGTTCTTAATCACACGGTCTCTTGTTTTTAAAACATGATTCAGAGCATGTAGACAGTATAGATCCCGCAGCTTAGCAGAATTATGTGTTGTTCGAGAGCAAAAGAGGGTGTCGTAGTATCCAAATATGTAGGGAGTGAGACAGCTATTAAGCCCGTCGAATGATACAGCAGCCTTTGCTAGGTTTTGTTTGAGCTAGTTGTTTGTTAACAATTGAATGGTCCAACGAGATTCTGGGACCAATACCTTAAGATCTGCGGGCGAGGGTGTTGTAGGCAGACTGGTACTTAATGAATCTCCCACGTCTGGCTTAGACGCTACAGAATACAGCCCATCAATAAGATCTGCTTTTGTAGATTTCCATTGTCGAGAGCAACTTTCAATTCTCTTTGATAGCTCGGTCTCGTCAGGGTTTCCGAAGTGTATCTCAAACATGTCGTGATTTCCTATAGAATGTCATTAGCCAGAGCTCCTGGGCGCCCAAAACTATATTCTAAAGCAACTGACCGTCAGACCCTATGCCATCGGCGTCATCCTCCTCATGTAAGCCTTCATTGTCCATATTCTCATCCTCAGATGCCTCTGTGTCGGCCACTTCGTCTACCTGTTTGACATCCTCTGTCGTACGCATGGATACCTCTACCTGAGTTGTATCTTGTTCATCGGCTTTTATCTTCCGTTTCTTGCGCGCTGGTTCGCTCGATTTTGCATTGCTATTTAGGAGTTTCAGCAGCGTGCTGTATGAGTTCTCTTTTGGTGGTTCGTCTAAGTCACTCTCCGAAGACACATCGGACGCTTCGCTATCATCCATTTCCTCTTCCGGCTCAACATGTTCATTTTCCTCCTTTCCGGACGATTCATCCTGGCTATTATCCAAGTTAGCATAGCGTCCAGAGGGCAGACAATAGCTCGATATCCTACCTGACGTCCTTGAGCCTAGAGGTCTCAAACTTGCGCCCTCTACTCCGACCAGCTTTAGATCCCCTGCCTCGGTGGCTCCCAGCTCTTTTATGGTGGACTGCCATTATTCCTGGCCTCTAGAATGATCTAGCCAGTCAACTCCAACAACTCGGAGCAATGTCTGGATTTCAATTGAAAATCTATCCTGATGTTGATTTTTTTTATATCCTCTCTAATTTTAAGGTTGTTCTTTGATCTCGATCTTATCTTATCTAAGCGTAGAAAAATTTCCGCCACACACAAATAACGAACATCTCGAAGAACGAAGAAGACGACGAACGTCGAACTTTGGTTTAATCGAATCGCCGCCAGCCAGAAACACCGACAAAGGACGATATCAACCGCTTCTCTTGCAATCATGGCAGACACTGGCTCGTTTATCCATATAGCGCGGCCCCTGGGACCAGCCACCGTCGGAGTTGCGCCCACCACTGCCCCTCTCAACGTTATCATACAGCCCCAGGTAAGCAGATAGCAGAAACAGAAGCAAAATCAGGGGACAGAGCGCATAGTCTGATGGAATGCTGTTTACAGGCTATCTTCTCGATTCTCGACCACTCTCTCCGACGCAATGCTGACCAGGAACGAGTTATCGGCACCCTACTTGGCACTCGATCTGAAGACGGGACTGAGGTCGAGATCCGGACTTGTTTCGCTGTCGGCCACACAGAGACGACTGACCAGGTCGAAGTCGATATGGAGTACCAGAAGCAGATGCTGTCTCTTCACCTAAAAGCCAACCCCAAAGAGGTTCTCGTTGGATGGTACGCTACCTCGTCGGAGCTCAACACATTTTCAGCTTTGATTCAGAATTTTTACGGCGGTCACGGTGATGGAACGTGGCCTCACCCAGCCGTTCACTTGACGGTTTCCACCGAGCCCGGAAAGGATATCGTGACCAGAACATACATCTCTGCACCGGTCGGTGTCACAACGGAGCGAGCTGCGGATAGTGCAGCATTCATACCAGTGCCATATGAGATCAGATATGGAGACGCAGAGAAGAACGGTCTGGAGGCGATTGCGGCAGCTCGGGATAAGGAGGACCGGACGACAAACCTGTTCACAGATATCGACAGTTTAGAGAGATCTATTGAGGAAGTCATCGGTATGATCGATCGTGTTTCCAGATACGTGGAGTCAGTCATGGACGAGGAGGCACCAGCTTCCACTGCTCTCGGCCAGTTCTTGTTGAACGCTCTCGCCCTCGCACCCAAGGTGGATGCCGCTGAGATCGAGAATGACTTGTATGTGTTGAAATTCTATATTCTTTCTATTTCACAAAGTCGAGCTATAACACTAACCCCTTTTGACAGTAACAAACACATCCAGGACGTTCTTGTTGTCTCGTACCTTGCCAACTCCATTCGTACACAAATGGAGCTCTCCAACCGACTTGCGACTGCCCAGCTTACCCTTGGAGGTGGTGGTGAAGGTAACGCGGCTGGAGGCAACGCCGGAGAATCTGGTGGTCAGCGCGGCCACCGATCAAACAGAGGTCGAGGTGGCCAACGAGGTGGTGCTCAAGCCGAGGAGTTGCGAGCTTAAAAAGATACCAGACAGTCGCCAGAACTTTCTTCACCTTCACCCAGCTTTCCCCAGTCTTAACTGTAGTTACGGAACTGGCAGGCCGTTCGATAAATTTACTTTTGGAGTCGTGCTTTCACGTCGGTTGTGGGAAAACGAAGGCGTCTATGGCGTTATATTTGCATTATGTCCACGATTAATGGGGCCTTTTAATCAGGTAGACGAATGAAACGAATTCCTGTTTCTGTCATATGCTCGTGGTTCGAGGGGTAGAATTCGTAACTGCTGCTGATCGCGTGGTGTGTATGCTCCACGTACACATTTTTAACCTGTTAAAATAGGTGATTGGCAGTGCGTGCCTTGTATAGTTTCGGCGTGTTGTTGATCCCTCTTGTCTGGCTAATGGCGAGAACGGGTGATGCGATGCGATTATGCATTCCTGCATTGTAGATAGCGGAGTTTTTGGCCCCGGCTGTGTTTGCCTGTCTGTCTGTTCAATAATCAAACGGCCCGGTTCCGCAGTCCATAGTAATGATGTAACAGTGTCCAGGAGCACTGTTAAGCAAGGAAACCACGTTTAGGTAAAGAAACCATCAAAAGATGCAACCTTGCGTTTCTTGCCTGTGCCGGTACTGGCCTGGTCAGCCGGAGGCTGTCTCTTCTTATACTTTCCTCGCTTGCCTCTACGTTTTGGTCCAGAGGTGCCGTCCTTTGCGAAGCCGTTATCTTGTGCTCCAGCTTCACCAGCTAGATCCGCCAATTCCGCCTTCGAGGATTCCTTTAAACCTCCGCCTAAGCGGTCATCATTCTGGTCGAAAGCCTTTCGAGCCTCTTTGAGCTCACGTTCTAAACGGAACAGCTCCTGGACACGTCCAAGTTTTATCGGATCGCGGCGTAGAATGAAGCGAAAATCATCTGACTTGACTTTCTGTCGGTTTGAATAGTTGGCGACCTGGGCTGCTTCGTGGCAAGTCTCGATAACGAAGTCGGTTACAATCTCATCGAGGACGCGGACTGTCTCTGGGTTGGACTCCTGAGGGTAGCTAGAGTGAGGAGTAGTGTCACCATAGGCGTAAAGAAATTGTCGAACTATACGAGATAACGGTTAGTGATAGAAAATCAGCGGCTCAGGGTTCATGTAATGCCATACTCTCGGGGCCGAAGCTCAGTTGGCCTTGATGCCGTGTCATGCGAACCCTTGGTTCCGACATTACTGCTCGCTTCTGCTTCCGCTTTCCGCCCTTTGGTCAGATCTCCTGCCAGATAGTACGCCGTTTCCGAGGTAGCAAACTGCCCAATATTCCCTGCAGTTGCGATCTTCCAGGCGAAAACTGCTGCTTGTGTTGCTGGTGTTGCTGTTGAAGTTGAAGATCGCGAAGAAAGTTGAAGAAGCGGCAAAACGCTTATTCAACAAGCGCGCGTCTAACATATCGTCTTTGTCACGTGATTACCATTTTGGCCATCGTCGACTTTCATGTTGTACGCAAAGAAGGAAGACAGGAAATACATCGCCGGTGCGCAGTTTGATCTATAGAAAAGAAAGAAACTGCTATACAGTCATGGTAGGCTAGAATCTTCGTTTTGAGGTACCTATATTAATTCAAAGGTGGTTTTATCTGACGAAGTATCCTAGGCTGCCCTTTTCAATTTCCAATCACTTCTACTAGTGATTCTCCTGATTATCTGTACAAGTACTTATGCGCACAGCATAATGCCTGGGATCATGGACCGCCATCAGAACGGGTAATATATATGTTTACTCCTAGCGGCATGAAACTTGAATGCCGTTCTTGCTAACTTCCATAGTTTCTTCGGTATCTTCTGGAAATGTGCAAGAGTGGGCGAGAGATTAAGCCCGTATGTCAGTATTTGCTGTATCATCATGGCCGTAAGTGTAGACCTCCCTGGATCGATTTTGAATACCATTCTGACTATGGAGGTTAGATATCTCTCTTTTTCGGAAACTAGTCAAATTATGCATCTTCTAATGGGGTTATGTTTTTATTTTCTTTCATTCCGTAAATGGCCTGTGTCCGTTAAAAGGAGTTTCCACAACTTTAGACAAATCATGAAATCCACTTAAACACCTAAGAAACCACGACTTGCGAACTGACAAGGAAAATAATGTGAAGAAATGTCTATCATATATCGGTCATCTATTCATTTCAATTATTTATTGCGTCATATAATACAATATGCTTATAATACAGTATTGACTAGATCTGGGTATTATCTAAAAAAATTCGCTGCTTACACGTCAACATCCCTCACACCCTGGGTGTTCTGGTCAGATTTCTCCAACTCGGACTCGCCGGCATCCAGGCGATCAAGGAGGGTACGAAGCAGCTCTTGGTTCTCAATAAAACCCAAAGCTTTGACTGTATGGCCATCGGGGCTCCAAGACTGCCTTTCCATCTCCTTGAGTGCGTTCGCTGCGGCCTCGACCATCTGGTTACAAGCATATCCTCTGATCAGTATATTCCAGGCTACATCGTTGATCTCCACTCCACGCTCTTTCATCGTCTGGTGAAGTTTCTCCGCAGCCTGCATCTGATTATGAGATATTAATGTGTTCAGTAAGATCGTCCATGTTCGTTTGGATGGTTGGGCGGGCCGCGGCGAAGCTGGACCACTGTTCTGGGCTTGTATCGTCTGAACAGCCAGTTCTGACAGAGGCTGAAGCATGTAGTTGAGGATTTTGAAACATCTATATATAGTCTGGGGTTCAAACCGAAGTGCCATAAGGAAACTGTTAAAGATATAGTCGGTTGAAGCGAGAGGCGTGATCAGGGGGTGCCCACTGGCCACCAGTGCTTGGAATCGTGTGAAGTATCTCCAGATTTTGTCAGAGTGAGGTCTTGTTCTGAGGTGTGCGGTGATCATGATATTAAGAACATGACTTGAGGGTGGTGATTTGCTTGCTGAAAGCAGCTCGTCATTTTGGCTGCGTGGTACAAGGCCCAGGTCAACTAGCGGCTGTATCTGATGCGTTTTTTTATAAAAGTCAAGCATTTTCTGGAATGATTCCAGGGGGCCTTTCTGGCCTGGGCTTGTATTGTGAGGAAATAAAAGCATTGCGTGCAACGTCTTGCTGACAAGGTGTGGTTGTGCGGACAACGTGTCGACTTTGGCAATTTTGCTGAGGATATGGTCTACCTTTTCATGGTCCCTAAGGCGAACAGCGTGGTGTAATATTGAGAGATGGGTATACGAGTCAGGTGTTACCCCCTGGTTTTCCATTAGCTGAACTATCTGCAACGCAGTGTCCAGGTCATCCGCTTTCAAGGCATTGGATACCACGATATTGAAAATGAACAAATCAGGTTGTACCCCCATCTGCAGTATCTGTGGTAAGATATCAAAGGAAATAGTGCCATCATCCTGGCGCTTGTAGCGATCTAGTTTTAATAGGTTGCAGCAGCGATCCGAGATCTTCTGATATCTGACATGGTTTTGGGACTCAAACCGAGTTATAAGAAGGCGTAACGAATTTAACGCTTCTCGTATGTTCCCACTCTTGGTAAAAAGATCGGTGAAGTAAAACAAAGTCTCTAGAGAGAGAAACTTTTGATTCCTGAGAACGTAATTGAAGCACTTCATAAGGCTGTGGCGCTCGCAGTGTTTAAGGTAAAGCCGAAATCCAGTTTGTGAGTCCTTTGACAAATAAGGTAGAACTTCAGGCCGGAGACAATGTTGTAAAGCGCGGATATACCTGCTTTTCAGCTTTGACGAGTCCTGAAATTCTGCAGCATGGAATTTTTCAAGATAGACAAAACAATCTGAAACCATAGGGAATGAAGGAGAAAATCTTGTCGTTGTAGCCTCTAGGAACCGCAGGGCTTGCATGGGAGAATGCAGGAGAAGCCACAGCACCATAATTGGCCACCGCCTTGCAGCTTCTGTTCGGCAAAGGCGCCGCCACCGTGCAGAAGGAGGGAGGTCGGTGCGAGGAGAACCCAGAATACTCTTAATCCATCGACGCACGACTTCGGAGTCTTCCGTGCTTAACAATTCCCACGTTTCTGGTACAGGTACATTTCGGCGCTTATGGTCGTAGAGTGCTTTCAAGTTCTTCTTCCAACTCGGATGAACATGCGAGATAGGGTAGAGAGACATTTCTCTAACCAGGTATTCACTAGGATTGACTGCATGGTCCGGAGAGGATTGAATACCCATACACTCGCTTTCGATCTTCTCACGGAGCTGCCGTCGCTTTGGCTGTGATAGGTTGTATCCCTTTATATACCTCAAAGGCGCACTTATTGGGGGCGTAACACTCCGGCTGGGTTTAGCTTGTGCATTAAGACGTGGTGTAGGTGTTTGGCTGCGTTCGGGTATATCTGTGCGCTGGCGTTGCGGCTGTCCCTTCTGTCCATGATGGCTAGTTTCCTCCAGCTTTTGGCGTCCTGCGGAACCTTTTGTTCTGGAAGGTAATTCGGGTTCTTGACGGGCTCTATGAAGAGGCGTTTCTGGAGGCAGCGGATCCGAGTCCGGTTCGTCGTGGGAGCTCCTTAGTTTGGTTGCGTATCTCGGCAAAGGAGAAAGAGACGTGAACTGTTTCCGCGCAATTGAAGCATTCGGCGATATCCGGGCAGAATCAGCATGGGCAACAGTTGACAGGATGCCAAATAGCCGCGAGCGTAGGCCTCTTCTCCCGCCGCCCAGAGGGCTCATAACTCTGTCAGGCCTCTTATGAAGCTGCTGCCCATAACTTATGGGGGAAAATCTGTAGGCGAATATGGGGTAACAATATCCGGGAAGCTCTGCCAATGAAGACCTATCCAAAATACAGCTGTAGGAATGTGGAAGCAAGTTTGGATCGCAAGGACTTTTGGTCCGTAATTGAATCGTTTTGATGTCGAGATGCTTCTTGCGAGTCTTCGGGACAAAAAAAGCTGCGAAGTCAAAACTGCCCAAAGAAGAAAGTTTGCACCTGGCCTCGCTTTGCGGCCGATGCAAACATCGAACAATCTTCAATTCGCGACTTCATGAATCAAACAAAAATAAAAAGCCCAACAAGCAAAACTAGGACGAAGACTTTCTTTCAAGTAAAGACGGAAATTTGGAGATCATGTCGTCCTCTCACACGACACTAGATGCGGCTGCTGCGGACCGCAAAGCTCGTCTTGCGAAGTTAGCGTCCCTGAAGAGACAGCGAAGCGAGACGGAGAGCGAGCCAGCAGACCAAACAGCCAGCAGCTCGACACCCAAATACCTGTCCGGACGAAACTACGACTGGGAGACCAAGGGAGCGAAGCTTGGATTCGAAAATGACCCTTCTCAAGGCGCAGAGACACTAGAAGACAAGGCGGCTGAGATCGCTGCAGCAACAGCTCAGGCGGCCCAGGAGAATGAAGACGCAGAGAAACCCATTGACCTGTTTAACTTGCAACCGAAGAAGCCTAACTGGGACCTTAAACGAGACCTTGAACAAAAAATGAAAGTTTTGGACGTCAGGACGGACAACGCAATAGCCAGGCTTGTGAGACAACGGATACAGAACTCCCAGGCTGCCGCTGCGGCTCGTGGGATAGACGGGGATGGAGAGGCCGCTGGGATTGACGGTGAAATGCTTGTACAGGGAATACATACGCGCGAACGGGACGAGGCAGAGCAAGGGAACGAAGAGGATTAGAGTTGATGGTTCATACATGCTGAATAGGTTCCCTCAGCACTGGGTTACTTTGTGATACCGGGTGGTTGGTTGGGTCCATATACAGGGGGACCTGGTGCTGGTTACGGAATAATACATGTCTGGATATCTCGATCGTTGGAAAAAGAATACCTGAGGTCTATCTACCTGGCGCATTCATGGCCTGCGTGAGCGCAAGACGTTTGCTATATGGGCTTAGGCTTCTCTGCCGAGGTGGAGAGTTATTCCGGACAGGCTGTCTTTCGACATAAGGACGGCTGGGTGCTCCATCACGCGAATTTGGCGTATCATGTCTGTCATCATCGTTAACGGACCTTTCTCGTTCCCTGTGTGAGCGCCTGCTCTTGCGTGATTTGTCCTCCCTCGATCTGGATCTATCACGGCGTCTGTATGGCTCGGGGGAGTCTGAATATCGAGTCCGCCGGTGTCGACGAGAGTGGTGGTCGCCTTCTCGGCGTCGAGTCTCTCTTATACGGCCACCAGAAGCATCGGACTCGTCACCCGGCCCATCCATTTCTGATCTCCCCCTGCTGGCTGGAGAGCGAACGCTTGACCGTGAAGGCAGTGGGTCCTGCATTGTACGTCTCGGAGGCGAACGCGAACGTGAACGGCTGGTTGATATTGTCGACACCGATGAGCACGAGGATACCGACCTGGCTCTCTTCCGTGAGCTTCGGCCAGCATCTCCATGGTCCCTATCTCTACTTGGGCTTCGACTCGGGCTCAGCCTTGACCGTTCCTCCTTTGCTCGACGCAACTGCTCATCAGCAACCCCTTTACTATGTGTCACCAGTTAGTCGAAGCTCCAAAAAATAAAAATAAAACAAGTTCTAGCTCTCTGCTTGCAGTGACTTACGTCCTGAGTAAATCGTTCGGCACCTCTGTCGATAGCTGTGGCCGCAGCCGTGGGTTTGACAGCTGCTGTGTCCGTGACGGCCTAGCACCGTACGGCCTCTCCTGGAGCTGTGTAGTGCATTCGTAGCTGTAATGGCGTAAAGGGATTGGCTGTCAGCTCGGACTGTTTGGTGATAGCTATCAAAGCTGCTGGTTCAGGGCGACCTATCTTTTTTCAGGCACTTCTGACAGACGGTCGTCGGGGACGCCTTCGACGGAGCAGCCCGCCCGGGTATATTTCTGTACCTGTTCATCTCGTCTCGTCCTCTTTGTCGTAGTCGTCGTCGTCTTCGTCGTTGTAGTCTTCTTCTTCGTCTCTCTCTGGCGTCTCTTTTTTTCCCAAGCCGCCAGAGGTCACGCTGACTAAGCAGGAGCCCACAGCCAAAAAGCCGCCTTTCGTTCTTCTTCTTCTTCACCTGCGAAACTCCAGGACGAAGAACTTCAGCGTCGCCGTCGCCCGTCGTCTTCCCTGCGCCGTCTCAGCCTGTACGCGGAATTTGTCCCCCGGCAGACCCTCGGCGTGTTTCTGGTGCGGTGTGTGTCGGACTTGGGGCACTTTCTGCACTCCTGCGTCCGCGACTCTACATCCACTCCCACTCAGCCCCCCCCCGGTTCCCCATAAACCAGGACGGAAGCCTCTGCGCGCGAGACCCCAGTCAAGACCCGTTAGATGGTTGGAACAACGGCTGTGGATTATCTATGAACTCATTCTTCATGCCGGATCTTGAAGCTCAGAGATATGTCGTCACCGTATCTGGGCCTGTGCATCCTAGCTTTTCTTAGAGATATTGTTTCTATCCCCTGATTCCCAATCAGTTGATATCCATCTACACCGACTATACGATTGCTCGACCTTCTGTCAATCCCTTGCCTTTCACATGGCCCCCGGCCCTTCTTTATTGCAATGACAACAAGGCCAGGCGAACCCTGTAGTCGACCATCGTTTGCAAAGGTAGGGATTCATCATCAATGGGGGGAGGTTGACTGCCGAAGATGGTGATGCTGAAGATGCTAACGTTGCTTCTTATACTACCAGGTTGCTGCCATGCATCCTTGTACTGAATCAGTGCCCCCCAAGACGCACGGCCGTGCTGAAAATACGCGGTCTGATAACTGCTCGTTGGGCCAGCTGAACGCGGATCCCCCCAATACCCTCCCGGCTCAAGATGGCCAGAGTACAGCCACTCACGGCGTCAAGTCGGACAAAGACGGTGATGGCCTGACTGGGCCATTGGATAATCTCCATCTGTCCAAGGATGAAGAAGGGAGGCCTATACCGGAGACTGCCGGTGGTGCCCAAGAGGATGGGCAGCCACGAACGGACAGTCTGTTTGATGATGATCAAACTCATCTCTCCAATTCATCCACAAAACCTGCACACGCTCCTTGCGGGCTTCTGTCACTACCTTCGCCATGGATGAGAAAGAGTCCCTACGACCGGACGATAGTGCTAGTGTCCAGGCTGTGGAAGAAGATGAATTTCTTGCCGCTACCGGAGACGCGATGAGCTCCCAGGCTAATTCAGATCCGTCTGCGTCGAATCGTGGTGGCTTGCAGCAGCACAAGGATGCAACACTCCGCGAGCCGGAGCTGTTGAAGAAAAGCACCCTACCATTCAACGAAGATGCTTTGCGTAGGAACGGAGTACTTCCAGCACCTGAGGGTGAGCAGGCTCTGCATGGGTTTCCAAGTGAGCCAGATGAGAAACTTGTGGAGGCGATGGGGTCTCCAAAGGACCGCCTGCTACTCCTTCAGCTAGAGGAGAAGATTATCTCTTTTATCAAGAATTCAAGGTAAGCCAACACTTATTTATAGCCGCTTGTTGGTCAAACTAACCGATTGCTACAGCGAGGCATCATTAGAGTTGCCACCATGCAACTCGTTTGGACGATTACTTGCGCATAAATTGGGCGACTACTATCATCTCACCCATTTTGTTGACAACAATGTCACTTCCGTCCGCCTTCATCGAACTCCATGGAGTAGACTGTGAGTAGTTACAAAAGTTCTCTCAAGGTTTATGATCAAAACTAACGGAGAGCAGGCCGACTCCATTAACGATGCTGCACCCTGCTAATGCAAACAATCCGTCTGCAAACGCACCTGCGATGAAGATTATGCGCCGTATGGGCCAGCCAGGGGAGAGGGGCTCAGCTGCAGGAAGCACTGCCACCAGTTCGGCTGTTCCTTCGAAAACCGCTTCTGAATCAGGAGGAGATGGGACCAACGATGAAGACCGAAACGGCGGTACTTCATCGACTGGAGCTACACCATCGAGAGATCGTGCCAGTCTGACCCGAGAAGAGCGTGAAGCCAAGTATCAGGAAGCACGAGAACGGATATTCAGGGACTTCCCTGAATCCAAGTCCACTGATACCGGCAGTGGAGAACAAAGTGCCGATGTATCCAGATCAAGCTCAAGGACAGGGCGCAAGAAGGCACCCAAACCAAGGTCTCCAAAAGACGATGGTTTTGAGGCTAGATCACAGTTCAACGCGTACTATACCTCCCCCCAACTCCCCGGCGGGCCGACGGTATACCACAACACTGCGCATCACGGCGGGATACCGCCTCAAAACTACTATGTGATGGCTCAGACACCCCCCGGTGGTGGGATGCATCATTATCCGCAGCAAATGAGCCCTTCTGGCCATGGTCCCATGTACGCTCCATCTGGCGGCATGAATGGGTTCCCATCTTACTCCGGCCCACAGACACATCCGGGACAGAACAACTGGCAGCAAGGCGGCGGCCACGCAGGGTATAACCAGTATCAGCACCACCCGGCTCAGGTATCGCCCATGATGGCTCAGCGTTCGGCAACCATGCCATCTCCAAGGGCACCTGCATATTCCACTCCCAGCCACTCACAGTACCCGCAACCGACTCCAGGCTGGACACCTGCCCCTTTCCAGGCCGGATACCCTCCTCAAACCATGGCACGGTCGCCTCCCGTCCACTGGCCGAACATGCCTCCCAATACAATGGCAACCGGCCAGGCTCCCTACAACCAGGGTATGGGCTCCCCACAGTCGTTCATCCCCAGCAAACCAGCCCACCCGGCTCCCGGTAGCTTTTCTCGTTCTCGATTCAGCCCTCAAAGTAGATCGTTTGCTCCCACCAGCAACTCACAAGCCGGTTATTTCAGTGGTGATTCACCGTCTCCTCAATACAGCAGTCCGCATTTCAACAACCATCCACGCACAAATTCCAGGGACTCAAAGCCGGGAATGAACCCTTCTCCTCCATCACACTACTTCAAATCCAAAGGAACGCCGCCCAACGTGATGGGCCAGCCTCAACAGCAACCAAATTACGGAAGACCAGTCGACTCCCAGGCTCACAATTCGATAGCCAAATGGGGTACTCCGTCTCATCTACCGCCCAAGCCACCGCCTCCGGAAGCTCCTTATTCATCTGACGCCGCGAACTCGAACCCAAACCGTCCTGCTGGCCTCACCTCTCCTCCGCCAGCATCTAAACTCCCGCCGCCTGAGACAAAGGCTGCTCCCTTTGTGGTATCCGGCGCATCCAGCAGCGAGAAACAGTCCCACAGCAACCCTTCTTCATGAGACTCGTTCCAGGGAGGTGTAATAGAATTCTATCCTAAAACAAAGCTGCCAGTCTTATTGCTAGCATTGCAAAGGCCGGTTGGCCATCCGCTGTACCTCTGAGATCTCTTGCATCTTCTTCCCTGCTGCTGTGCGGACTTAGCTAACTAACTAGTTCTTCCGGCGTGGAATCAATATACTCAGTAGAACAAAAGCACTTTTGAATATAACTACACTTCTACTTCTATGCCAATAACTACTCTATCACTGTTAAATATTAACTGTCCCTTTATCTTTGTCTGAATTCTATGGAACAAGGGGATGCTTGGAATTCTTATTAGGTAACGTGATCTGCCGCTAAGGGAAAGTCATTATTGCAGCATCACCTTTTTTTTTCTTTTAATTGAAGATCTCAAACTTGACTTTCTGGAACTGACAGCTCTGTCGCTACCTTCTAGCTATTTCTGTGCCTTGTCTGTTTATTTCATCTGTCTCAAGAGACATTGTTTTACCCTGCCCTGACCTGCTCTACAGCATTAGCTGCCTCAATACAGGGTGCAACCTCCCGCCATGGCTAGCACAGCAGAAGAGGTTCCCGCAGAGCCTATAGACAACCAGGAGAAAGCTGGAGATGATGAGGTATGTCTTCCTCTATCCATGCCCTACTGGAACTGAAGGGACCAGAGCTAACAGTGCTATTACAGGAAGAAATCGCAGCGATGAGAGAGAGACTGACAAAGATGGAGTCTGAAGCGGCCAAGTTGCATGAGATGCAGGCCTCGCTGGACCAGCAGACGGAGAACCTACGAGAAGACAAGGAGGACATCGACGCGAGGAGCATCTTCGTCGGCAATGTTGACTACGCTGCCTCGCCGGAGGAGATACAGGCACACTTCCAGAGCTGCGGGTCGATAAACAGAGTCACTATCCTGCTGGATAAATTCACCGGCCATCCCAAGGGGTTTGTCTCCCGCCCTAGATTTCTGACCTCTCTCTTTGTCTTTTGAAATTTTACACCTGAGCGGTCTGTTGCCTGGCAAGAGAAGGAGGGCTAATGGGACGCTGCAGGTATGCATACGTCGAATTCAGTGAACCAAGCCTTGTGGCGCAAGCTCTAGTCTTGAACGAGAGTCTCTTCCGCGGAAGGAATATAAAGGTGCGTTGGTACATAGGGAGACAAACGAAGTGCAGATGCTAATGATCTATACATGTAGGTTGTTCCAAAACGAACGAACCTGCCGGGCATGACTCGCGGACGGGGTCGTGGGCGAGGCCGTGGAGGCTTCGGCCGTGGCATGCCCCGGGGAGGAGGATACCGAGGCGGCTTCCGTGGCCGTGGAAGAGGATACGCACCGTACTAAAACCACCACCACCACCACCACCACCTCTGCGCTGACCTCGACCTACCTCTCCCTCTCCTTCTGCGTTTACTTATATTTCCGCCTCGACTTTGACTACTTCGACTGCTTCCACTTTTGATTGGATGACGGGAAGCTGGGACTGAACAGGCCTTCGTTGGCTTGGATGTGGACTTCCCGGAGTTGGGGAATGCTTGTATGATATACGGCGATAAAATAGGTATCAGCCTTCTCTTTGCACTCTTCTTCCTGCCCTTGCTCTTTGTCTCTGCACTCTTATGCTCCCCGTTTCTTCGTCTCTTTCTCCCTTGATCTATGCCATCCTATATCCTGACCATCCCTCCCAGAGTCAGCCTGTCTCCCACCTCCACCACGACTATCTTTACCTTCTACTACTCCCACTCCACCTCCACCACTTCTCCTCTTCTATCCTCCTTTTCGTGCTCTTTTCTATCATCTTTCATCGACTTTTGCTCTTTCTATATCAAAAAAACAAGCTACGTCACATGTCCACGCTAGTCCTGATTGGGAAGTCCTGTTCTTTAAATCTAAAAATAAAATAAAATAAAATAGCAAAAAATCACAAAAAAAAAAAAAAAGAAACATCTCGACGTCTTCAAGATTGATAGAAATAGAAAGACGACGGCGGGAAGAAGAAGCAGAAGTGCGAGCGTTCTAAACTGTCAGAGCATCGACCTGCTGGCCGGGTGTGGGGGATTGCCACCAAAAAAGAAACCAACCGCCCTTGTCCTGCTCAGCCTCCGGCGGCTGCGCCTCTTCTCCATCGCTCACGAACGACCAGACGAGACAGCAGCGAGGCAGCGAGACAGCAAGACACCAGCTACAACTCTAGCTTGTTCTCTACGGTACTGACAACCCCCTGCGACGCCCCGATAGCCCTCTCGTCCGTTCTCGTTGCTCTGCGGGGAGCTGGTTGATGCTACTCCCGAGGTGAAGCCGGCAGTCACCAAACCGCGGGTCTGTCCTGTGTTGTGAGAGAGTAAAGATGGGCTCCAACTTGCCAGCGTGAGTGATGAACAACCCGGCTACCTACCCCTATTTGGGTGCTTCTGCTTGTTTCCATTTCGATTCTGAGTGAACAAAGGGCTGATTCTTGTTTCCTGCAGGCAACCAAACCTGAGAGTCACCAGTAAGAGAGAGATGCCTGCCCCGCGATACGTTGGCTGCTGCTAATACATACCCTCTGCCTCCCTGCAGTTATCGCTGCCGATGGTCTATACAAACGAGATGTCTTCCGTGAGTTGGGCACTGCTCTGTTCCCGCTGTCTTAGTATGAACCCTAACAGGCTGCAATGTTACAGGCTTCCCGGACCCGTTTGCAGTTGCTACCGTTGGTGGTGAGCAGACTCACACCACCTCCGTTATCAAGAAGACCCTGAACCCATACTGGAATGAGATGTTTGATTTGTAAGGAGGATCCGGCTTCCCAGGCTGCTGGCATATCCCTTCACTGGGCTCGATTGGATGCTGACACCATGCGCAGGAAAGTCACCGAGGACAGCATACTAGCCATACAGATATTTGACCAGAAAAAGTTCAAGAAGAAGGACCAAGGGTTTTTGGGAGTGATTAATATCCGTATTGGCGATGTCATTGACCTTGCTATCGGCGATGATGGTATTTATACGATTTTTTTTTTACCTTCGCCTTTTTGGTTATCCTTTGAGTGAAGAAGAAGAGCTTAACCCAGCTGACTTTTACCATAGAAATGCTTACCAGAGATCTAAAGAAGTCAAATGATAATCTTGTGGTTCATGGCAAACTCATTCTCAACCTCTCTACAAACCTCTCTACGCCGGTTCCAACGTCGCAAACCGGAGCTTCACGCCCTATGAACAATCGCACTTCTACCTCGCCTGTTCCCGCTACTCAGCCGATCCCCCCATCAGCCCCGACTTCTCTCTCGAGTCAGCGCCCAACTTCCACGGCTCAAGAGCCGGTAGTCAACAACTCCAGCTCCCACTTAGTCCCTACACATTCTTCCTCCTCAACCACAGCCGTGGCGCCCCTCACAACCTCCCCCCAACAGCCCGCCCCTCCATCTCGAGCAAATGTAAGCAGCACTTTCGAAGACAGTCAGGGCAGGCTGCCCACAGGCTGGGAGCGGCGGGAGGATAACCTGGGGCGAACCTACTACGTAGACCACAATACCCGTACCACCACGTGGAACCGGCCGGCGCAAAACTATAATGAGCAGACCCAGAGGACCCAAATGGAGGCCAACATGCAGATGGAGCGCCGGGCCCACCGGAGTCGAATGCTTCCAGAGGATCGAACGGGTGCAAACTCGCCTGACTCCCAGCAGCAGGCCCGGACGCCGCCTACTGCTCCAACAGCGAACGCAATGGCAATGATGGCCAGTAATACTACTACCCCAGGGACCGGGGAGCTCCCCCCTGGCTGGGAACAAAGGTACACTCCAGAAGGCCGTCCGTATTATGTTGACCATAATACACGAACCACAACATGGGTTGATCCCCGCCAGCAACAGTTGGTCCAGATGTACGGCCCTGACAACGGAAACCATCTTGCGTCTCAAACAGTAAACCATCTGGGTGCATTGCCTAGTGGCTGGGAGATGCGATTAACAAACACTGCTCGAGTGTACTTTGTGGACCATAACACCAAGACAACTACCTGGGATGACCCCCGGCTGCCATCTTCTCTTGACCAGGGCGTGCCACAGTATAAGCGTGATTTCCGGCGCAAACTGATATATTTCAGATCTCAACCTGGCCTGAGGATAATGTCTGGTCAATGCCATGTCAAAGTTCGACGAGGCGCCATTTTCGAGGACTCGTTTGCAGAAATAATGAGACAAAGTCCAGCAGACCTAAAGAAGCGTTTAATGATCAAATTCGACGGAGAAGATGGTTTAGATTATGGTGGTCTTTCAAGGTATGCGTTCTTTTAGCTCCCTTTTTTTCCCTTAATCGGCGGCAACCCTGCTAACACCGTGTAGAGAATTTTTCTTCCTTCTTTCGCACGAAATGTTCAATCCATTCTACTGCTTATTTGAATATTCCGCCCACGATAATTATACCCTCCAGATAAACCCACACTCAGGCATCAACCCGGAGCATTTGAATTATTTCAAGTTCATCGGCCGCGTGGTTGGCCTTGCCATCTTCCACCGCCGGTTCCTTGACTCATTCTTTATCGGAGCTTTCTACAAGATGATGCTGAGAAAGAAAGTCACCCTGCAGGATATGGAAGGTGTTGATGAAGATTTCCATCGAAACTTGACATGGACGCTGTAAGAATGCACACATACATACTATGTTTTACTGAGGGATTGTGGCAGTGCTAACCTTTTCTTGCTAGTAATAACGATATCGACGGTATTATTGAACTCACGTTTTCAATTGATGACGAGCAATTTGGCGAGCGCAGAACAATAGATTTGATTCCAGATGGAAGAAATATTCCCGTTACAAATGAGAATAAGAAGCAATACGTGGAGTATGTCTTGTGCCATTCTCCATCGAATAATAACTATCAAGTGCTAACCGTTTTACCAGGCTTGTGACCGAGTGGAAGATTCAGAAGCGAGTGGAGGAACAGTTCAATGCATTCATTACCGGATTCAATGAACTCATCCCTGCGGAGCTTGTCAATGTCTTTGACGAGCGAGAACTTGAGCTTCTAATCGGCGGTATCGCTGACATCCATATTGACGACTGGAAGAAACACACCGATTACCGTGGCTACCAGGAAGACGACGAAGTTATTCAGAATTTCTGGAAGGTAATAAGAGGCTGGGATGCAGAGCAGAAGTCTCGATTACTCCAGTTCGCTACTGGTACATCACGTATTCCCGTCAACGGATTCAAGGATCTCCAGGGCAGTGATGGGCCTCGGAGATTTACGATCGAGAAGTCAGGGGATATCAATGCCCTGCCCAAGTCACATACCTGGTACGTTGATCTCCTTTACCCGTATACCCTCTTCAAGCTTTTTACTAACTCACAGTAACAGCTTTAACCGACTCGATCTCCCTCCCTATAAGACATATGAAGCTCTACAGAACAAACTTACCATTGCCGTCGAAGAGACACTCGGCTTCGGCCAGGAGTAAATTTGTTTGTTTTCTTTCTATTCTTATGATAGCGCTTAAATTCCATTCAGAAGTGGTCGGTGACAAAGCTCAGGGGCCGAGGAGACCACTATCCCCTTAACCCCTAACCCTCCCCCGGTGTACTATTAGTATATAGGAAAGCCAATAATTCCACCTTAGACCACGCCCTTTCATCCCTACTCTTCTCTTTCTTCTATTTCCCCTTGGTGTTTTCTTTATTTGATTGAAGGTTTCCCAGTTTGGCGGCGTTTAAGCAATTCATTGGTTGATAAAGTGCTGTAATAATTTCAACAAGAGCATTTCCAACCTAAAGTATTTCAAATAGACAAGAAAATAACTGCTCTGGTCAAACATGCTAGATCAAATGTCCATTCTCCTTCGTTTTCGAGTCCTCCTACCTTGCTCTTTTTTGGGTTCAACGTCAATGTCAACGTCTTCTGACAACGGCTTTGGATCAGGCGTTGACTTTGACGTTTCGTTTGAGTTGACTCCAACGGCAGTAGGCTCAAGATGCCCTATCACAAAGGCAATCTTCTCAATATCTTGCACAGAAAACGTTTGCTTTGTCTCACTTTCTTCAGAAAGCTGCTCGATCCGTCGTCTTAGTTTGGTGAAAGCATCCCACAGATCCTGATATTCTTTGTTGTTGTACTTGAGTTTCGGCAGCTTGTGTTTGGGTATCTGTTTATCCCGCGAGTACAGATCCATGCAAAGCCAGTAGTACAGCTCATCGCTAAAGAATGGAGTTGACGCTTCCGGTGCAAGGGACAGAATCAAGGATGCTGTAGCTGGCCCAACTCCACGGAAACTTTTGCAGAGTGATTGCATGGCTGCTTCGGGGAAGACACCGGCCTGAGAGTCTTCTGCTAAACTTGAGAATGCCTCTTTGCTGATTGATTCTACCTGAGCCTCTGCATTGGAGCGTACCAAGGACATGAGAGCAGGCCGGAAGGAGCCGTGTTTTCTATACAACAGGTTAGAAATATGATAGCTAATCTTGATAGATAGATATTAAGGCCAACCGTACAGCTTCCAGTCCATCAACTGGACCATCTCGTCCTTCTTTACGAAGCCATGCGCAGACTTCTCTTCACCATGCTTCTTCTTCTTATTCGTCTTCTTCTCCACGTCCTCGCTGCCCACTGCTCGTTCACGTAGAATGGCTGGCAGAGATGTATACCGCCAGCTGTCCAGCTCCACAAACTGCTTCACTCGGTCTTCAATCTCTTCTTCCTTTTCTCTGGGTATCGAGGCCTTGCTGGACGTCTTTGCTGCCTTTCCTGCCTTTGCTGCCAGCTTATCGCGGTATACACGGACGAGCGCGCCATCATAGCCCGACAGCAGCTCCGAGAGCGCCGGCAGCGAGATCTCCCCAGCAGACAGCGACGTCATTGTTCATCCCCCGTATCCATCTTATAAATTTTGTTGTTATTTACGAATGGTTAGTTGCTAACTACCTAAATAAGTTGCTAGTTGAAAGCGTTGGCGTTGATAGATAGATTGGTAGATAGCGGCAGCGTCCAAAAAGGGGAATCTCAACGTCCGGCATCAAACCGCCAACTCGCAACCACCGCGCAACCGACGTCTACAAGCATCTACAGACATCTATATCACTGCGCAGCCACATATACCTGCTTGCAACCTAGCCATAACGCATCTGCAGCCACCGGCCGGTCCACGCTGGCAGCTCTTCGTCGCGCCACTCGGCTGTTCCCCGCGGCGGGCGGAGTCAGCGTCCTGGCGCCCTCACAGGCAAAGCCGCGGTTGAGCTTGATCTCCAGGCATTTCGACCAGAGGCTTCCCTTGCCAGCACTCAACACGCCGTTCTCGACCGAAAGGAACGTCTCAGTCGAGCCGGACGAGGTCGAATATAAACCGATACAGCGCACCCTGCCAGATCTCTCTGCAAGCAAAGCCAGCGCCGCCGCCGCCATGTCTACGCAAGCACAACATCCCACCGTCCTCATCCCGGGGCCCATTGAATTCGATGATGCCGTTCTCCAGTCCATGTCGACCTACGGGTGAGTCTTCATCTTTCTCTGCATTGTCTTTACCGTGTGCTTTTGATTGAGATGACGGTGTTGTTTATATTTCGAGTAACTACTTCGGCTAATACAAAATCTACAGGGAGAGCCATGTTGGACCGGCATTCGTGAAGATTTTCGGCGAGACGCTGACGATGCTGCGACAGCTGTTCCAGACAAAGGCCGCAGCATCACAGCCGTTCGTGCTCGCCGGTTCAGGGACGCTGGGCTGGGACTTTGTTGCGTCGAACTTGATCGAGCGTGGTGAAAACGCCCTGGTGCTGCATACCGGCTACTTTGGTGACTCACTCTCGGCCTGTCTGCAGACGTACGGTGCAAATGCAACACAGATCAAGGCACCCATTGGAGACCGACCGTCTCTCGAGGAGATTTCCAAGGCTCTGCAGGAAAAGGAGTACAAGGTCCTGACCGTTACACATGTCGATACCTCTACCGGCGTGCTGAGCGATATCAAGGCCATCACGGAAGTTGTCCGAAAGGTCAGCCCCAACACGCTTGTTGTTGTTGATGGTGTGTGCTCGGTGGGGTGCGAGGAGATTGCCTTTGACGAGTGGGATCTGGACGTTGTGCTCACAGCCGGTCAGAAGGCCATTGGCTGCCCCCCAGGTTTGAGCATCCTGATGCTCTCTGGCCGCGCCATGGACCGCGCAAAGAACAGAACCACCCCTCCGGCAAGCTACTACGCTTCGATCCAGAACTGGTTGCCCATCATGCAGAACTACGAGGCTGGCAAGCCGTCTTACTTTGCTACCCCTGCCACTCAGCTGGTTCGTGCACTGCATACGGCTCTCACCCAGATCATCTCGAAGCCGCTTGCAGACGGTTTGCCGTCCACCGGGAGGCCTCTCAGCGAGTAAAGAAGGCTGTTTTCTGACATGGGGCTGCAGCAGCTGGCTACCAAGGAGGAGAACCAGGCCAATGCCATGACGGCCATTCGTCTTCCCGAGAGCCTGACTCCACCTGACGTCCTTCCTAAACTCTTCCAGAAGGGCCTCGTCTTTGCCGGTGGTCTGCACAAGGAGATTGCCTCCAAGTACATTCGATTTGGCCACATGGGAGTCAGCGTCACTGACCCTAAGCGAGACGACATCGACAAGGCCATTGCTGCTCTCAAGGAGGTCTTTGCCGAGGTCAAGAAGTGATCAGTTACTTTGTATGTTAAAAAAGCTAGAAGACGATTGATTGACTGCTTAATGACTATTTGGATATCCCCTCCTTTATAATCCATAGGTGCAAATGTAAGAAACGTGTAATGATATTAAATAGAATCTAGTGATATTACAACTGTACAGATCCCATCTGGCCTGGCAGGTAAGTATGGACTTCAGAATTATAACAAGCTCGAAACAAGGAGTAACACGCAGGATAGGATACAGGTCGAGAAGCGGTAGAATCAGCAGCAGCAGCAGTAATGGAAGAAGAAGACGACGAAGACGACGAAGAAGAAGAAGCAGAAGAAGAAGAAAATAAGAAAAGCGCCGTGCCCAATGCCACTCACTAGAGGAGTCGTTCTATCAGGAAACGAGATGAGATGAGGCAAGGAGAAAATAGGAAACATATCAGGACTTCAATCAATACCCGGACAACGTACACGCCGTATAACAAGGGAGGAAAGGTGGTTGGTTCGTTAGGGAGGAAGGCAGGCAGGCACAGCTAGCTTCCAGCTTCGCCTCGACGAAGGGCCAGCAGGGCCCGGACATCAGTTACATGCTGCATTGCTTCGAGAATGGGGATCAGGTGAAGGAGGTCGTTGTCTGTAGGGTCGTTGATCCAGCCTTCGATAGGAATTGCATTATCTGGTCCCAAATCAGCATTTGCATATAACAAAAAAAACCAGCATTTATGGAATACTGATAATGGAGGTATGTACCTTCGTGAAATATATAACTCATTGGACTGTTATCCAAGATCATGACTTTACTTAGATCTGGCTCGACGGAGCTGAGATCCTTGATATAAGCGCCGTTGCGTATAGTGCAGTGCTGGCGGTAGTATCTGCTATGGAAGAACTTGCGTTCCTGCTCGAGCCAGTCGATGACCGGGTCGGCGTATTCCTGCACGCTGGCCGTGAAGATGACTAGCTTATACCACTGGCATACCTTGCGTAGAAAGGCGTCGCAGTGAGGGCGTTTGTGGACGTAGTAGAGGATAGGATGCTGGGGGCCGACGATTGTAGGTGCCGCTCCGGGGGAGCCTGCAGAGGCCATGGGCATGGAGAGCTTGACTTCGACCATGTGTCCGCTTGACATGCGGCCGCCTTTGGAGAGAGAGTGGATGAGGGTTTCGTCGAGGTCGAGGATGAGCGTCTTCTGGGGCGCGCGAGGAGGGGGCGCCCCGAAGAGATAGGATGGCTGACGGCGAGGGACCAACGGCCTGGGGGGCGTAGGAGCATGAGGGTATCTTGTCAGCTTGCGTGCGGCTTGAGAGACGGGCGATTTCAAGCTGTCTGCCACCGGGTTGCCGTCCATACCGGCATTGCCAGACGCACCGCTGGCGTTGCTGCCGGCGTCACCGCGCCGGGAAGACCTGGCCTTTGCGTGTCTCTGCTCACGGTTCTGCTTGCTCTCGTTCTGTATCTTGATCCGGATCGAGCGCCGGGGGGTCCCTTCATCGTTGTCTGTCGTGGCCAGGCTGGATTTCCGCCGTGAATGCCGGCTGCGCACGCCAGGCTCGCCCAGGGCCCGGTCAGTCTCTGATTCGGAGGTATTGGAGTACAGCGACTCGGACGACAGAGAGTTCCGCAGCTTCTGAGAGCCCCTGGACAGCCTCTTTGAGACCCTATCCGGCCTACTGCTGGAGTATGCGCTATCCCTTCTGTTCCTCTGGCTGCTGTTGCTGTTGCTGGTGCTGTTGCCAGGGGTGGTGCTGCTGGCGCTGCTGGCGCCCTGACGTAGTGACCTCACAGGCTCAACGAGCGAGAACCGGCCGTCAGTAGAGTAGAACCGACGCCCGAGATAGACGGCAGGCGAGGCAAAGATCGAGAGGATCGTCTTGAGCGTCTCGAGCAGGGCGCCCAAGAACCGCTGGGTTAGGGGCAGCATCACCATGCCGGCCGCTGTCGACGCTGCTGAGTCCTGCGCCAGCCCCGGCTTCTGGTCAGCGTCCTCGACCGTCAGCAGCGACAGCACCTCGCCGCCGGCCTCAAGCTCCTCCTCCTGGTCCTCCTGGTCCCCGCGGGCGCCATCGGTCTGCGTCAGGTGCTGGTGTACGTTGATGTTGCCGTCGCTGTAGGATCTGCTGCTGGCGGCCAGGCCTCCTCGCGGGTTGAGGACATGGCCCTGCGAGTGGGATCGGGCCCGCGACGAATTGCTCGAAGTGGCCTGGCCGATGACTCGCGACGAGAGGATGTTCAGGGAGTTCATCTTCCGGCCTGAGCCATGCGGTGGGTTGGTGGACTTTTTGGTGGACTTTTTGGCCTGATGCTGGTGCTTGTGGTGGTGATTTAAAGGCGACGTTTGCGCAGCGCAAAGACAGGCAAAAAGGCCGAGACGGCTGGCAACTTACAGTCAACTAAATAGCTAGCCAGCTGCCTTCTGAGCTATAGCTACAGAGATGCTACGCCAGTGAATAGGGCGCCGGCGCAGGGTGACTAGGAAGACGGACGAAGGTGAAGCACAGCGGACGAGGAAGACGTAGGCAGCCAAAGAAGATGTGAAAGGGAGGGAGAGGGAGGGGCTTGCATGGCTCTAGTTGGTGGTTTTTTTGATAGCTGGACTGTCTAGCTACGCTACTCAACAAGTTGGCAGGTTGAGCATTTGATATCTCGCCGGCGCAGGTTGATACCGGCTTCTACTCGCATAGGACAGACGGTCTGGCTTCTACTCTACGGCTTCTTCCTGGTCTGTACGCTGGTTTGATGCCCGGCAAGAGGCTGGTGGTTGCTAATATATTTGGACCATTTCTGGATGCATGTTTGGCCTGCTGGATATACCTGCACTATTATTGGCTGGCATTCGGGGGCAGGGCGTTGTTCCCTGTAAAAAAACCCAGTCGAGGGGCATCTCAGGCCGAGTATCAGGTGCTGGAGATGTCTCATATGGTTATACAGCTGGCTATTAAGACTAGAGCTGGCCTGGCCGGTCGTATCTCCCGGAGCTGGCGGTTTGGTAGAGTATCTGTTTGGTAGACATAGATGCAATTGAATATCCGTCATCATCACTATCATCAGTTATATCGTTGAATCGTAACGTCGTAGCATGCGCAGAGCACTTTTTTCTGTAGAGCCAGTTCTCCATCAATAGCAAAGATAGTTAACAGCCCCTGGCTTCCTGGCTTAGAGATGGACGCCTTCAGAGGCGTCTTCCACGCCGTTCGAGTTCGACTGCTCTCTGCTAGGCTGTGGGCTCGCTGACAGGCCACCATTCTGCTGCTCATTACTAGGCGATGATCCGACTGCTCCAGTTGCTCCTTGTCCGTCCTCAGGTCCGTCGGCATCGGCTTGCTGCTCCTCTGGCCACCTCTCGCCGCGTCTCTCCAGCTCAAGCTTGACGAGACTAGCTCGCTCGCGCATCCGTCTGATCACCTCCTCGTTCTCTGTTATAGCGTCCTCGCAGTCCTTGTCTCCGCCGTTTGACTGCTCTATGAATGTCCTCAGCTCGCCGTTGGAGCGCTCAAGATGCGCCGTCGAGTTCTCGAGCTCTGCAATCTTCGCGTAGATCGACGAGAGCGGCAGGTCTTTGAGCGCTGCTGCAAACGCCCTGGGATCAATCGGCCGTGACTCTGCAGACATCTCGGTCTTCTTCTTCTTGTTCTTCTTCTATCCCTTTGTTATTGTTTTCTCTTTGCTTTCGCGTCTTCTTGTTTGTTCTTCTTGGTCTTTTTTGTTGTTTTTAGTCTTTATAAAAGGCAGAAGATCTTATCTTTCACGTGACTCGATCTGATAAGATGCCCTGTCTTTTTCTTGCTATCAAAAGGACGAAAAGAAGAAGAACCGAAGAAACAAACACAAAGAGTCAAGATCAAAGACTCAGCAGTCCAAGTAGGAGATAACTTGATTTAGCGCAGTTGATGAGATAGATAGACAGGTAAGTTGCTGCCCTAACGCCCAATTGGCGTAGAGACCTGGCTAACTTGACTGCTCTACAGCTGCGGTCACAAAGATAAAGAGATGAACAATGCTGCCACGATAGCATGGCGGGCTCCATGTCGATGGATCCATGCTCATCCACGGCCGTCCTCTGTCAGATCCTCCCTGCTAGACCAGCTGCGTCTCCTATACACGCCGTCAACACGGCCGCGAGGCGCAATACGATGTCTGTCCAGCAAGACGCCGACCTCACGGAATGCCGGCCAGCGAGTTCCTGGCCCCCAGGCTCGTGGAAATGCAGCTCTATTCCCTGAGCGCGACCTACCAGCTCCCCAGATTGCTCAGATATTCGGAACAGCTGCCATACCTGCGAAACTGGGTAACCAGCTCCTCCGAGCTTTGCAGGAACAGCGAGTATCGGGCACCCTTGACCTGCCGCTACCAGCTGAGATCACCCGTGTTGCTCCACCGCATATCATAAGTGCTGGTCTGGTGTGGTTACGGACTAAGCACCCCATGGACGAAGATGCCGCTATCATGGCGAGAATCGAAAGGGAGGAGCGGGAGGAGGAAGAGCAGCTGATACGCCGGGCGGAGGAACTGGGATTGTACAAGCCACAGAGCGGGAAGTTTGGCTCTAGCACCACCAAGGAAGGAGATGTGTACGGGAGCAGTGTACTGGAGGAAGTCAGGAATAAGAATATAAAAGAGAGCAAGAAAACGGAAGAGAAAAAGAGACAAGAGTGGCTCGATGGTGAAGCAAAGCGGATAGAACAGCTTCAGGCCCAGGCAGAGAAACTCAAGGGTATACAGAAGTACGAGCCACAGGCGCTCACAGAGGGTGAGTTATAACGCTTTTGCACTTACCGTAACCCCCTTTTATAGTGTATATGCAGCGGTGTTAACAGCCATCTAGCACATCCACGAGCAGATCCCACACAACGACCAGCACTGGCTTGGATTCAACAAAAGCATGTCAAAGCAACTTCAACAACCGATGCTTCAAAGCTTACAACAGTTAGTATCCAGCCGGCGGCACTCTTAATTGTCATGTACAAGCTTAACTAACTTCATCTAGACCGGCCGTCTCTTACCATCCCTTGCTGTCGTCGCTCTGACTCTGGGGCTTTCCTACTACTTCTCTGAATCGTACGAAGCTCCTCTCAATAGCCAACGAATGTGGCCGGATATAAATCTTGCCGCAGCTACATTGACGGCCATAGTCGGCTTGAACGTAGGAGTGTTTCTGCTCTGGAAATTCCCTCCGGCCTGGAGACTGCTGAACAAGTATTTCATCAACGTCCCGTATTATCCGCATGCTGCAAGTGTGGTTGGAAGCGTCTTCAGTCACCAGCAGCTTCGTCACCTAGGCTCGAACATGTTCATACTATGGTTCGTTGGCAAGAAGCGTACGTGAGCCTTGGTGTTGTGTTCGGTTAATGATATTCAAATGGCTAACTTGGGACTAGTACACGATGACATTGGCAGAGGGGATTTCATTGCCGTCTACCTATCTGCCGGCGCATTTGCGACGTTCTCCTCCTTCGCCATCCGAGTGCTATCAAATACCCTGACCGTCTCATCCCTAGGAGCAAGTGGTGCCATATCTGGTGTCGTCGCAATGTGGTGTATCCTTCACTCAAAGTAAGTCAACACTCACCCTATAACAGTAGTGGAATAAGAAATGCACAAGTTTAATCTAACATCGGCATAGTGAGAGGCTCACAATTGCATTCCTACCGCGCGAATGGCAGGAGAAGATATCTGCTTCGGGATCGACATTCCTGTGTGCCATAATACTTGGAGAGCTGCTGAATTTCATACCGGCCTTCCGCTTCTTTGCGGTAGACTTGTGGTCTCACCTGGCTGGGTACGGAGCTGGTATCATACTTGGGCTATTGTGGAAGGAGAAGAAAGAGCGTGAGCGGAGGAGAAATCCTCCTAGCTGGCTGAAGTCGTTTGGACTCTGAGCGTGTACATATATATTCAATGTAATATACCTCTTCTCATTCAATGAAGCCTTTTTGTATCCTCTAGTAATGAGTGGGATGAAATGTAGCATCGTTCGTTGATAGTACATACAGAAATAACATAAAACATAGCATAACAACAACAACGTGGACAAGAGCTGATAATAATTAGTCCAGCTGGTGGCCGAGGGAATAGCTGGGTCACTGCTTATGTGCAGGTCAGGGGGTGGAGGGGAATTAAACATAACGCATTACAGATAGGAATGGGACTTATAACAACAAAGAGGGTACTGCTCTACCCGGAAAGATCAACATTAGTAAACGGGTCGTATCACTGTTTTCCACGCCTAGGCTAAGCTGTGGGAGCAGGCTGGACAAGGGGCGGCACTATAATCGGGTTAGTTGATGTACGAAACAAAAAAATAAAGGTACAAAATGAGAATGAAGATGACATACCACTGAAGCCGTATCCCTCCGTCTTGCCCTCGACATCAGCAGGGTCGATTTCAACACGGATGGCGATGTCCAATCCGCCCAGCTTGCCTGTGACGCTGCTTACTCCGTCTGCAGAGCTGTACTTTGTGCCAGCATTCTGCTCTCCCGGGTGAAGGGCATCATGCCCGCTCTTGGGTTCTTTGGCAAGCTCAGGCTGTTCATTAGAGGTGGTGACTTCGGTGATGCAGGCGTAGTTACGAGACGGCATGGTCACTTTGTTCGCGCCGGAAGACTTGTTCTTGCCGCCGGGCTGGTCGTTAAAGATGTCCATCAGTGTCTCGTCCGTGTAATGGTCGAGATGGTGGATCTTGTTCCTGCTGGCGAGTAAGTTTGCCACAGCCTTGGGAGGAGGCTTATTGGTGATGGCACTACTGATGACATTGATCATGTACTTGGGGTCGTTGTCAATGGGGACATGGTCCTTGACCCGAGAGTAGAAGCGGCCCACGGCTGCCAGGTGGACATCGCCGCCGAGAATGGTGACTCGGACTGAGTAACGAGCGGCAAGCTGCTGGAGACGCTGAATCAGGTTTCTCCTCTCTGCCTTGTGCTGTCTCGCCGTGTAGTGGTCGTCGAGGTCATCGAGCAGATCAACCTGTCCGTCAAACTTGTTGAAGAAGCTTCCTGCGAAGCCGAACCGCTTGTTCAGCAGGCGAAGGGGAGAGATCAGGGGAGAGGAGAGGATATTTTCTAGCCAAGCAAGGCGAGGATACGCAATGGGGACACCGAGCAGGAGTATCAAATGCTTGATCTCTCCGTTGGCGGCGGCAAACTCCTTATCCAGGCGGGCGAAGATGGCATCGTAGGTCTCTGGGTAGTTAACCTGGTGTCTGGTACGCTCAGTACGAGCATCAATTCCAGCAAAGGCGATACGCTTTCCCAGGCGCATGTAAAGGTTTCTGCTGATCTCCTCAACGTACGGTCCCGGTTTAGAACCGACTATCCAACTGGGTTCTTCCTCGGGCTCCTCGTAGACGTAGCAGCCTTCCAGCTGGCGGCGGTCAATGCCTGCAGTACCGTCTTCTCCAGCCTGCATGGTTTGGGGTGCATCTGTGGTAAAAGTGGACATGGGAGGAGCATTGTGGTGCTGGAACAGACAGTAGTACTTGAAGGCAACACCTCCCAGGCCACGGAAGACGGGACACCTCATGAAATGGCTGGTATACGATCCAAAGCCGTCGATGATATCATGGTCGTCCCAGATGTTGATCTGAGGGATCTGGGCGTTGGCAGTAGCAAATGGCTCAGTCCCGTACCAACGTACGTAGTTGTTGAAGTAGAAGACATCACACTCTGCCCTGAGAGTATTGGGGAAGGGGTGAGTCCGTCTGCGGTGAGGGTTGCTGATGTCCGTCCACTCCTTCAGGGGGCCCTCAGTCCTGACGGAATCGTTGTATATCTGGTCACCGCCTCCGATCATGACGTGGAAGGGCCGCTGAGCGTGCAGCCTGAGGACGTCATGCCAGAGCAAAGGGCCCTGCCAATGGCCTAGATCGGTCCCCACGGAGAAGCCGTTGCAGGAGTGGAACATGATGCGCATTGAGTCCTCGATGGCGGGCACGATGAAGTTCCAGGAGGACATGGTATGCTCCTGGTCTACATGCCGGAAGCCTGGGATGGTGTACTGCCAGCGCGCCTCGTAGTCCTCCATGGGAACGGCGATGCGGAAGCGCCAGAAGGCCGCGATGGGGCTGGAGAAGAGCTTGACGCCCTCGACGGTAGGCTCGACGTTGCCGGCGCCCACCGTAGGGCCATTGACGTTGGACACAGCTCCCAGGCACTGCAGCTGCAGCAACGGCGGCTGCTCGCGCGGCCGAGTGACTATCAGGACGCTGCCGTTCCATATCTGGCGCGAGTTGGCATTGGGTCCCATATGCTTGTAGTTGAGCAGCGGGCCGCAGAGAACCTGGACGGTGTCGTCAGGCACGGCGAGCATCTCATTGGCGCCGGCGACTTCGTTCTCAGCTGTGTAAAAGCCATCAGTTAGCTGTCTGTCTTCTGTTGATACTATGTTGATGCTCTGTGATGCTTTGTGGTTGCGTACCTGGCTGGGTGTGTGTGGCTGGTTGCGGTTCCTGGGACGCGACCACTCGAGGCGCTTCCATCTCCATGGCGGCGGCGGACGAAGCAAAAGCTGTCTACGGAGTCGCAGGCGGTCTTCAGGCTCGAGACAAGATGCGATGAAGCTGTCGAAGAGGTGAGACGCTGTGGGAAGTCGTAGGATGCGCTGCGCTGGCTGTGGCTGTCGACGTCGCCGAAGTGTCAACAAGCGCAGCTGAAAGTTGCGGGCTTGAGGCTGAACTCTGGACGTCCGCAGCGTTAGCTCTTGGTCTTTTCGCCTCGTCTCTAGTTACCGAGTCTTTAATTCTGGTAGTCAAAGCAAGACTGTTGATGGCGATGCTGCAGAGAGATGAAGAAGAGAAGAAGAAGAAGACGGGACGTTGCAGAAGTTGCTGCTTGCTTGCCTGCCTTGCTGGTGGAACCGCCTTAGTATAACTATCAACTTTGCAATCTAACCAGGTTTTGCGTTCTACGGCGGTTGATTACCGATTCCTTTTGCTAGTGGCCTTGCAGGAGGCATGCATATAAACAGATAAGAGACGAAGAAACAGGGAGAGAGGGGGGAGAAAGGGACTCGTTTATACAGAGTGCGGCTGGCAAAGCTATGAAAGATATTGTCTGTCTGGGGCGAGACATGGAGATCAAGAACTGGCCGTGGCGTCTGCTGTGAAGCCACAGTGACGACAGGGATGCGGCGGAATTGGAAGGGACACGCCGTGGAGCTTGCTGGCCTTTGAGCTGCAAGAGCTGCGACGATGATGACCTTTTGCTGGCCATCCGACAGGCTCAGGGGAGCAAGGGACCCCCTACCAAGCCACAGCCGGTGGATCCACATCTCGTATCTGCGAGCCGGTAGCTTGCTCTGCTCGATGCTTCCTGCAACAAGGAACCGTGGTCTGGTCTGGGGGTTAATTGGGCTGAGGGAACCAGCTCTGTCAAAGGCGTTTGCTTGTCCAGTCAGTCGGCCCAGATCAAGATACCCTTTGCGTCGCTCCTCATGCCCTCCGTTGGTAGGACATGCAGCGTCTTGTTGTAGTACGAGTCCACGACGACCAGCTGCGGCTGTATCCAGATGCCCCGGCGAGTCGCCAGCAGGCTGTACTGCACCGTATGTCGGCTCAGCGGCACAAGCTGTACCGTCAGGGACTTGGGCCCGCTAAAGGCGAACTGGTCACTCGCTTCCATCGTCAGGTTGAAGGTCAGGAAGTGCATCGACGGGTTCTCCAGCGTGTAGTTTACTTGGACCAGACCGGGTAGACTGCTGCTACTGTCGTTGCTGCTGGATTTTGAACCCAAGGACGCCAGCGCGCGGGGCTCGCTCATTGGGATGGTGAAGCGAGGGATGGCCAGCAGAGTTGTTGCTGACTCCAAGGGGAGAGTTATATCAGGGGAGGCTGTTTCTGCTTCGGAGGCATCTTGCTGGCCGTCTCGGCGCCATTTGACCTCCAGCTCAAAAGTGACTCCGGTCTGCTGCCGGTCATCTACAGCAAGACGCTCAATGTCGACCATGAAATCTGTGGCCAGCGGATCTTCTAGTCTGATACTCCTGGTCCCGGGCTGTTTACTAGCCTCCGAAGAAGTGGTGATAGAGCAGACTTTGCCTGCTTCGATGGCAATGGACCGCAGCTTGACATCCTCAATGAGAAGAGTCTCCCGCGCAAAGGACATCAGCGTGGAGCTGACGAGCCATCGCTGCTGCGTGCTGGAGACTCCTGATTCATCTATATGGAAGAAATCGGGCCACGGCGCCGGATGTAGCCGTGGTAAGAAGTCGTAGTTTGCTTCAAATGGCTGGATAAATGGTAGATCAAGCGAGATGGCTTTCGATATTGGCGTCTCGGGGTCGGAGGTGAGATGGTAGAACGCACTGATCTCCAGGTCGTATTGTATCGGTTGAGGCACCTCGATCACCAAGGCCGGCAGGATGGTATGCTCGCCCGCTCCTAGTCCTGTGATCTTACGACGGATGGTCTGCGTGGCTGCTCCCGTTGTCTGGGAGGCAGACATTTCTTTAGCTTCTTCCGGTTGTTCGCCTGAATCAGCGCCGTCCAGCCAGCTGATAGCTGCAGGATACTCTGAGCGGCCACTAAGCTTCAGTTCTACAACAATTGAAGCAGCCGCATCCTCATTGTTGTCGAGTCTAATGTTCAAGCCGGCTCTTTCACCAGAATAGTACACGTCTCGAAGTCCAGGTACAGATATCAGCACCTTGGGCGGCTTTGGCAGGATCTGGCAGCGAGAAGGGTGTCTGTCCTTGCCAATACGCCTTGCAACGACCCTGCCTTTGCTCTCGGTCCACCATCTTGGCAGTGTATAGGCGTCATTGCTAGTGCTAGTGGTAGTATATGAAAGGTCGAATTTGTCGTCTGCCACTATCAGAGTGATTGATGCTACTTGAACATGGCTGGCCTCTCGTGGTATCAGAGTCAATGTGTATGCGCGCGTCTGTCCCGGGGAGAGGGATAGATTCGCATGGCCTTTGATCTCCTGGGAGGACGTGGCCGTAGCTTGGCCGTCTCCCAGCGATATTGAAGCATGGGTACGGGAGGATCCAGATGCAGCCGCCGCATTGCCATCAGCGAGTATTCTAATCGGCGGTAGGCCTCCCTCAAAGGTAATTTTGACCTCGCTGATGTGAATGGGGGATGACTTTCGGGTGCAGTCTGATTGAAGAACAAGCTGCCCCTTAAGAGGCTCGCCTACGTTTCCCTTTGATGAATTGAATGTAAAGGACATCGAAACTGGAATCCGTTAGATACAGCTTGGGTAGAGTGATGAGGAGAAGAAGAAACAAAACAGATAGGAGAGTATTTACTGCAAGATGCAACGTCTTTTTCGGTCAAAAGTATTACTGGCTTTTCAGATGCGTTTTCATCAGTTGTTCTGGTTCTATGTATATCGTAAGTCCAATCAGGTCTATTCATAAAATCTGCTCTCCAGTTAGCCATTGAGTATGATGATATGCAGCAAAAGTGGCTGGCAGAGGCTTACTTTTGTTCATTAACTCCCAGTCTATACGGTAAACAGTCTCATAATCGTTGCAGCGCACAGCACAATCACGCAGTAGCCACGGTCAAGCAGCGATGCCCGCCCCTCCATCGGCATCTCAGGCGGCCATGGAGCAGCAGCCCGCGCAGCCCGACCAGCGCGACTCGATCAAGTACTTCTTCCAGGAGAAGTACGCCTCGCTGAACGTCAAGGGCAACTTCCTGACCCTCTGTGCCTGTCCGAAGAACGTCGAGCTCGGCGAGTGGCTTGCTCACCAGGGTTAGTCGGTCCACTGTTTCACCTGCCAATTTACACACACCGGTGCCAGATATCTGTCAAAACTAACTGCTCGCGCTACACATTGTCTACAGTG